GCCATACCCTGTCTTGTTATCTATCCCTACAAGAATTAATGTTGCTGGGCTGGACTCCTGGATTAACATCTCCCGAGCCAAACGCTGGACACCAGAGCCTCACGCACCCACCCTGAGCCACACCCTGCTCCACCAGCCTGCTCCTGTGAGCCAGTGGAAGACCTCAAATATCTTTTCAAAAGGAACACCTCAAACACGTAACTTATGCCTTCACTTTCTCCCTTTTTGTGGGCTGTTTATATTCTGGTCCCCTTTATTCCCCCTGAGTGTGTATGTCACCAATGAGTAGCCTTGAGTGGTGGGTATCTCGTCCTGTGTACCTTGCTCTTTGTGCTCTCCTCCCTCTTATAGTCTGTGTTCTGGCTGCGGGTCCCCCTCCCTGCACCCATGATTGCAGTTACTACAATGCTACACCTGGTTGTTCCAACAGCAACTTTCACTGTTTACAAAATGGACAACTATATGGAAAGGCCTTAGGCACAGGCTTCGTTGGCATGTATGGTTCCACCCAATGCCTTGGGAGAGCAGGCCAGTGGGTCTGTTGGTCACAGGAGGGGACAAAGGGAGAAAATAATAATAATAATAATAATAATAATAATAATAATAAAAAGAGGCTATAAAAACAAAAGTTGAAAAGTGGAAATACCGGCTGACATGTCACATGAGGATCATGTAACGTGTGTACGACGGAGACTCCCAATTCCCACTCCAACTCCAGAAGAGCAATAAACCCCCATGGCCTCAGCCACCCCTAAATCTAGATCCCCAGCTGTACAGGTTCCTCACCTCTGCCCATTACCTTGTAAACTCTACAAACCCCACTTTGGCTGAGGATTGCTGGCTTTGTCTCTCCCCAAGCCTTCTACAGGTATTGGCAACCCCCATGGACTCATTTGAGGCCTCACCAGGTAGTAAATTAAACCTTCCCCTAACAAGACCTAATATTACCAATATAAAACTAACCCATCCTGCTCCCCAGTGGCTCCAAAGTTTACAGGGGTTAATTCCACAGGGGGAAGTCTCCAAGAGCTTTGCTCAATATCACACAGTCAACAAATGACACTCAGTGTTTGTTTTCTCCTGGAACTTACTTTGTGGAACTGCCACCTACACTTGCCTACCTCTTGGCTAGAAGGGAATCTGTACTAAGGCTCTCCTAACCCTACAAATTGTTGTTGTTCCTGGTAACCAGTCCCTTCCTATTCCTTTAGAGGCCTACACTCGATCAAAGATTGCTATTTAAGTCATTCCCCTACTGATAGCGATGAGGATCACGGCTGGAATAGGCACTGACTTTGGGGTATCTCCTTGTCGGTCTATACCTACCAAAAGCTGTCAACAGAACTTACTAATGACATAGAACAGGTCACACAGTCCTTAGAGGCTTTACAACATGAGGTAGATTCACTTGTGTCAGTAGTGCTTCAAAATAAGCATGCACTTGATCTTTTAACTGCTGAAAAGGGTGGAACATGCTTTTTTCCTAAACAGGGAATGTTGCTTTATACTAACAAATCTGGGGTGGTCAGAGACATGGCCCGACAGTTAAGAGAACACATTACAAAAAGGAGCTAGCCAATTCGTGGTCCTTCTGGAATAATATATGGAATGGGGCTCCTTGGGCACTACCTCTGGCTGGCTCCCTTTTTATGCTCCTTCTAATATTCCTATTTGGGCCTTCTATAATAAATGCTCTCTCCAGATTCATATTTCAACAGGTCCAATGGATCAAGTTCTAGCTCTTAGTCAAGGAGTACTCACCTCTGCCTATGCATAAACCCTCTGTTCAGTTCTATCTGGGGCCTCTGGAGACTGCACGAGTCAATCCTGAGACAAGTACCACCACCCTTACCCTCGATGCTCCATTGCCAGCATGAAGCACCTAGATGAGTCATTGCCCCTCTCTCCAACAGCAGTTGGGTACTTGTCTCAGAAGGGGATTTGTTGGGTCTGGGAACCTAAGGGACAGATGAGTGAGTATCCCATCCCCCATGAGAGCACTATGAGCCCTGCACCCTGAGAAGGAGTCATAAATCTGCTTTCCTGCACCCTGAGGAGGAGGTACAGGGTCTCGTAAATCTGCCACTGGGCTGATAAACAAAATGCTCTCAAGTTGTCCCCTCCACCCCAATAAGGGGCAAACAGACCAGCTTAGCTAAGAGAGCATGAGTGTGCAAATCCATGGCTCCTCCCTTCCCATAGGTTGGTGTAAGTTTTAAAGAACCTGCAGAAGAGATTCTCTCTATTTCTCTCCACCCCCCTCACCGTGTTAACATTTCTACTAGGACAATTGAAGAGGCAGGATAGGTGACTAGGGACCTGAAACATCATTTTTTAAGAAGCTTATCAACACACTGGGCTTTAGGTGATAGCCTTTGTAATCTTAACAAGATCTTAAGCTATTCTGGCCATCTTAGTGCACTTCCATTCTCTCTCACCCATTGCATTTTCCCCTTCCCAAGTATGACCCACTTAAGGATGCTACACACATTATACTTTTTTTGATTTAAAAAATGAAAGTGGTATATAACTTTTCTTTTTGGACACAGTCTTGCTATATAGCTCAAGCTGGCTTCAAATTTAGATCCTCCAGCCTCAGACGCTAGTGCTGGGATTACAGACGGGCGCCACCATGCCTGGCTCCATATATCTTTAAGGTTAGAAAACACCGTAATTTGGCCCTCATTTTTTTTCTAGATTCATTTGCTTTTCCTCACATCTACCATGGTCAGATTTATAGAGCTCTCTTTTATGGCCAAACTCTTTAAAGTGCTATGTTTGCCCAGCCTGGGATCCAGCACTCAGGGAAGTTCACCTGACTAGATGGACTTAGCTGGTGTGCACGTACTGTTCCTTGGAGACCCAGTTGCTCCTTTGAAGCTTTTCCCCAACACCCTTAAGTTACCGGAAAGTCAGTGCAGCTATCCATCTTGGTCCTTGTGTACAGTGAGAGAAGAAATGTATGAAAGTGATAGCAAAGTTTTTTAGGAAAGAGATACACTTTCAATAGACTGAAAGTCTACAGGGTGAGAATGATATTATAGTACAGTTTATTAGAATAGAGAGACTTCCAGCAGTGAGAGCCGTTCATCTCAGAAAGAGAGGTTGAAAACAATTACTTGTACCCCAGCACAAGTGTTTCTGAAGTGGAAGGAGCTGTGGAGCTCTAAGTCCTTCCCCAGGACCAGCACACAGACTGAAGTCAAGGTCAAGAATCTGGAGTCTAGGATTTACAATAAGTTTTTATCTGGCCCACCTGACCCCAAGGGTACAGTTTACAGTCAGGTCTTTGCCATGTCAAGATAAAGATCTATTGCTCCAGGAACTGTTTGATGTCACTTACCTTCGGATGGATGGGAGACACGAAAACATAAGGACTATGTTGACCTTATCAGAGGTTAAGAGTTGTAAAGTTTAAAGACAAATTTTTCTCTCAGAGACCTTGGAGAATTTTAGGTGCTCTTTGCTTAAATCTCCATCATTCATAGCTAACTGCTACCTAGCACCTTAAAGGACTCAATGTCTTTTAGAACACTTCCTGTGGATTTTTTTTTCTGTTCAATTATCTATGCAGCTTGTTTCATGCAATCCGAGTGTGTAGCCAAATGTAGGACAAATAACATATATGTATGTATTTTAACAGACCCTGGTTCAAGGTAGCCCTGGGCAAACAGTTTGCCAGATCCTATCCCCAAAATACCTAGATCAAAATGGACTGGAGGTGCGGCTCAAGCGATGAGGCACCTGCTTTGCAAGCTTGAAGTCCTGAGTCCAAACCCCAGTCTCACACACACACACACACACACACACAGTTTTCATAGTGTTAGGTCGACGCTGATGGGAAGGCCAAATTGGAGCCAAATAATAAAGCAAGCAGGCTTTAAGCAGGCTTTATTGAGAGCGCGCTCTCGGGTGAGGTTCACTGTCCCCAAAGAGCAGGGCCGGAGAAGTCACGCTGGAGAAATGGCAGCCCAGTTTTTATATCCTGGGTGAAGTCAAGAGCTTAAGGTATTATGGGGCATCGGGATAGGTCGATGTTTGGTGGGGAGGAGCTCAGGATAATATGGGTCGGGACCCATTGCCTGCCAGCGGGAGTTGCCATGGTAATCATGAAGGGAAGGAGGGGATGGAGTGGAAAGTGAGCAGAGAGTCCCTGATCACCATGGGGTGGCTGCCCACCGGCCAAACACATAGGATCTCATTTAATTCCTACTACAATCCTATAAAGTAGTAATCACTTCCACCCTCGCATTTCTTGTTTATAGGTGATAATTTAAGAGGTTGTGTATGTTGCCCGGAGCCAGCAAAACGGATCTGGAGTTGGGCTTTGATTCTAAATTCCTGGCTCTGGACACTGCACAGCTACTGCAGGCCGATGCTGACTGGATACTGTCGCTGGAACTTGAAGCTGCGTCTGGGCGGCACTTCCGGAACCCAGCGCTGAGATGCTCAGGCCTCCTGGAGACCTGGTACCCACGGACTTCATCTCCCAGAGAGGCTTGGGGCTAAGCCTCAAGATGATTGGTTGAAACCAACAGCCAATAAGGCGCGAGGAGGTTGGAACGCCCAATCACAGGCGGGAGGGGGCGGGCCCTCCCGTACGATGCTGGATTGAGAAAAGAATTAACGGCGCTGTGAGCCGCTCTGGACCTGCTGGCTGAGGGCTACGCTGCCACGTCGTGCTCGCCGGCGGTTGGCTCCGGCTCTCGACCACGCGTGTCGGGTGCCGCTGGGCCGCGTGACTGGGAAGAAGCACGTGCCCGGGCGGCGGAACGTCCCCGGCGTCAGGCCGCGCGACCCGTGCGCGTGTCGGCCCGTCCGCCTGCGCTGGCTGTGGTCGCTCGCGGGCGTCCCCTGTGGCGAGCACGCCTTCCCCGCCGCGTCCCCTGCCCGAGGAGGAGACTTGGCGACATGTCGCCAGCGCTGTCGCAACCCGGTAAACGCTGCGACCCCGCCTGGGCGGTTCGGTTGTGTGCACGTGGAGTCGCGGGTGGGGGACGCCGGGCGGGGCTGCCCCGTCAGTCAGCCGCTGCTTGGGAACGTGAGCCCCGAGGGCTGCGTTTGTGGCTCGTTTTCTTTCCCCAGCTGCTCCGGGTCCTCCTCCGGGAGCCGGAAACACATTGTCAACGCAGCTGAGGTCTGCGTTTTTCCAGCAGGGCTGGATGGAGGGCTTGCATGACGTCGCGATCACGTTCAGTAAATCTGTATGGAACAGACCGATAAGGGAAGTTCAGACGCGGGGGGATGAGGAGGAACCCGGAGAGCTGTGTAAAGCGACGCGGAACTAAAAAAGAAAAAAAAAATTGTGGTTGTACTGGGGTTGCATTGAGACGTTTACAGAAGTTCCTACAATATTTCAAAGTTGAAGTCACCCCCTCCGTTCTTTATCCCGCTCTTCCACGTGGGACTTGTCGTTTCTGCTGCTGCCCGGGGAAGTGGCTCTCCGGGTGGGGAAGGGACGCGGTGATCTCCTTAGGTGGTTCTGATGCTGGAGGCTGTGGAGCCAATGATGGGGGAAAGCTAGTTGAGCACCAGAGGAGCGTCGTTTCAGCTTTACCCGGAGCTCTGGGTGTCTTCAAGTTGGTGAGCCAGTCCACCCATAAGAACAGGTACGGTGCGTGGTGAGCACGTAGAAAGGAGGATGGGTTGTAAGATCAGAGCAGCGACTATCCAGTAACAGAGCGAGGAGCGTGAACACTAAACTCGTAACTCAGAAGGAAATTTATCAGAGGTTAGCTGGTGGCTCCGTTCATTCTAGGGACTCCACAATTGGAGGTGGTAGAATTGTGCTTGGGGGGGACTGTGACTGAGAAACACACCACTGTGGCTCTAAAATACCCGTCTCTCATAGAGGTATCACGTAGTTAGTTCAGTCATATTTCTTAGTGCTGCTGGCTTCCCCTTTTCCATCTAATTTCAAAAAGGAAGTAGGTCTTGCTATCAGCAGCCATCTGAACATTTAGAATAGTTTGAGGTGAGTGTGGTGGCACATTTCCATAATCCTAGCAGTCAAGAGGTTGAGGGAGGAGGACCAAGAATTCTAGGCCAGCCTGTGCTACAGGGTGAAATCCTGTCTCAAAAACAAAACAAAAATCCCAAACAAAAACCTAATTAGTTTGAATAGTGAGTGATCTTTTTATGAAAGGAAAGTCGTTGGTGTTTGGATCTAGCTGGGTTCTCCATGGTTGAACACCAGGTCTAGGGCTCCTTAAGCAGCTCCAAGCCAGGCCTGGGCATAGAAAACACCTTAGATGTTTTCTTGATTCTCTGTATGTGAGCAACACCGTGTATTGGGATTGCAATCCTGTCTTCCTGGAAACCCTTAGTCATTTACTGGTGTCCACTTTTCCCCCCTGTGCTTTAATTGTCCTTCAGAATGTGGAGTTTTAATGAAGGTATTTCATGAATAACTTGGAATTCTTGAATCTCAAGGTTGGGCCTTAAGGCTAAATGTCTGATAGGAAAGCATGGCTGCACCCCCTGGGAAGGGAGGCTGGTGAGAAAATTTGAACTCCAGCTTCTAAAGTTTCATCTTGCTTAGTACCATGCATGGAACTCAGCTAATGAATGACAGTCAAAGAATGAATAAATAACCCAGTGAATTTTATCAGTATAATCCACCTCTGGCTTTTTAAAATCGAAAGGGGGAATTACACATTTCAAAAATGAAATAGGTACGAGCAGAGAGATGCCTACAAAGTAAGGCAAGTCAGTGCGAACTAGAAGGTAGAGCCCCAAATGAAAGGAGTATTTTTGCAAGAGACTTAGGGTGGAAGACCTATCTGTAATTTAGGGAAGGCTGGGAAGTGCTGAAAGCATTGAGATCAGTGCTTACAGTGCAGAAAAGAAGAGGTTCCCTCCCCCCCATTTAGCACAGTGGAAAGGGAAGTCCTAAGTAAATCAGACCTACATGGGGTCATTGTGTCTCCAGGGAGGGTATAGGGTAAGAACAGTGGACTCTTACACCAAGTCTTTTGGAGGAAGACTTCTTAGTTTCTTTAAATGGGAAATCTTACAAGGTCCCTTAGAGGCAAAATCTGCACGTGGGTGATGTAGAAGCAGTGTTTTTTGTTGTTGTTGGACTGGAGTTTGAACTCAGGGCTCAGCATTGCAAAGCGGCCCTGTACTGCTTGAGCCGCATCTCCAGTCCGTTTTGTTCTGGTTATTTTGGAGATGGGGTCTTGTGAACTATTTGTCCAAGCTGGCCTTGAGCCTGGATCCTTCCAATTTCAGTGTTCCAAGTAGCTAGGATTACAGACGTGAGCTACCAGCACCTGGCTGAAGTAGTGGATTTGTAAGAACCTCAGTTGCCGAGGAGTTTTGTATGCAGTTCCTGTACTTCTCACTGACTTGTTTTATTACTTGAAACTTTTTATCTGTATTTCCTGTTTACAAACTTACTTCACATGGATCCATATATTTGTATGTGTCCTGATGGATCCTAGTCTGTGTACACAATTTTTTACATTTTTATTAGCATATATTGTGTGAGAGGGTTCATTGTAACATTTAAATATGTGCTTACAATTATCTTAATTAGATGCATCCCCTCCATCTCTCCCCTATCCTCTCTGCCCACAATTGGTGTACATATTTTTAATTTACATAAGTGTTATGGTTAGTAACCATTTCTAACTTTCATTCAGTATTCCACTGAATACTTGTATTTAGTATACAAGAACCAGTTGTATGGCTGCAGCACATCTGGTATCGCACAGTGAGTGTCCACCACACTTACTTAGCCATTTCCCAAGGTTGTCTCCAACCTGCCACTCTTTACTTCTCTGTAGACCCTCGTGAGATTTTCTTTGGAAAATACACCCAGGGGTGAAAGTGCTGGGTTTTCTGCATACTGAATTGCACTGAGTCCTAGACTGCTTCTAGCCAGCAGTTCAGTAAGCACACATGAGGATTCAGATTTTTTTTCCCCATGGTCAACTATTCTGAGTATTTATTATGTATTGGAAGTAAATAGTAAATTGCTAGCATCTTGTTTTAGTTCACATCACAATAGCTAATGTATTTAAACATCTCTCCATATGCTTGCCTGGTTATTCCATTTTCTCTACTCTTGTCTAGGTTTATATCTTTAACTATTTGGTTTCTTACTGATTTGTAAGCTTTCCTTGTATGAAAATTCTAGATATTAGTTCCTTTTAGTTTTAGAGATTGTAACATCTTCTCCCAGTCTTATCACCTGTGGTTATTATCTGTGCTGACCTTCATTTAACAGAAATCCTTAGTTTTGAAGGAATCAAATTCATCTTTAAAAAAATGATAGGGGACTATGGTTGTAGCTTAGGGGCAGAGTGTATGTTTAGCATCATAAGGCCTGGGTTCAGTTCTCAGTGCCCTCACTCCCCCCACGCTCGCACACGTGCATGTACACACACACAATTTGCCTTGATGTTTGAGCCATAAGAATTTCCTTCCTATTCCAAGTCACAGAGGTCTTCCACATAGATTATAGAATAAGTTTGGCCAGTTTCTAAAAATAGAAATCAGGTGCTTTGTTGAGTTGTAAAAATTCTTTGATCTCTTGCTTATGTAGTGACTCAACAAACAAGATCTCAGAATTTGTGTGGGGGCTGGGTTTTTTTATGTTAAATAGTGAACTGTCTTAAAGACTGAAAACAAAGTTTATATTTCTAGCTGAAAGGTGAGTACAGAAGGGGCCCCATTGAAAAGTACCAAGCCCTTTGTGAAAATGGGAGGAGGAGCAGAGGCACTCTCCACAGTGAGGTTTACTAGATGTGTGCACTTGCTCAGTGGAAGAGATGCAAGGGAAGAGACGTGTAGTTAACAAGATACTGACTGACCATTTGGCTGATGTCAAAGGCTGTATTACATTGTGGAAAAGATGGCAGTTTCTCCCTGGGCAGCTTGAATATCTTCTAAAAATGAAATCTCACATGTGTGATCTGTTCTGCCAGTGCCACACCCTGTGCTCCCACCAACCAGTCTTTTTATTTTTGGGCTACGAGGGCTTGAACTTCAGGGCCTCATGCTTGCTAGGCAGACACTTTACCACTTGAGCCTTGAGCTACTCTATGAACCCTGTTTTGTATTGGGTATTTTTGAAATAGTCTCTTCAACTATTTGTCCAGGCTGGCTTCAAACCTTGATCCTCCTGATCTCCTTGATCTCTGCTTCCCAAGTAGCTAGGATTACAGGTGTGCACCACCAGCGCCTCGCCATAGCTGCATCATTTTAAGATGACAGGAATTCAGTTGGACATAGTCTAGGTTAACGTTTTTAGTCTTCTCTGCTCATTCCTCATTTGAAATTGTTCATTTAAGTGTTTTCACTGAGCAGTGTCTTCTTTCTGTCAGATTGTTCTTCACTTCCAAACCTGCAAATATGCCATTCCTGCCCCAGCATGAACAAGGCTAAGAGCTTTAGGCGTTGTATAAGTTCTATGTTTTTTCACAGCTTTGGACTTCATAGTATATAGGACACTTTATAGTATATAGTATGTAAGATTCCAGACTGTGTGATAATAGCAGGATAATAGAAGTAACTTATCGGGTGTTAACCATATATCAAGTACAGATGTCTAATTTCATGACCGTGAGTTAAGAGGTCCAGTTTTTAACACATGGGCTCATTTTATTATCTGCAGTTCTTTTTTTCTTTTTAAACATTCTATTATTATTATTATTGTTATTAATTATTGTACTAGGGATTGAATCCAAGGTCTTGTGCATTCTAGGCAAGTGTTCTACCACTGAACTGCATCCCCAGACCTTATCACAGTTCTGATGATGAAGATGGGGCCGTTTCCCCATTTTGCTGAAAGTAGAGAAGTCTTACCAAAATCCCTTAGCTACATAGCTAAAACCCAGATTTCTTGACTTTTCTCACTGCCATCTTTAGCTTAACCATGCCGGTGCTTACTAGCTGATAGGACAGTCACACTGTGGCTATTCAAATTAATGGCACATCTAAACTTGCTTTGACCGTTGTTTGAAATGGCTGGAGCACTGCCTGTCTTTCTATTAGACATGCTTCATTCAGCTCCACCTTTTCTCTGTATTTCTCAAGGAGTGACTTCCTTTGGTACTTGAAGTACTACTGTTCGGGTCACTGGATCTTAATTTTGTTCTTTTGTCAGGAGGGTTTTCTCTCACCTGCAAGTTCAGTAAACACAATTAGCAGTGAGCTAGCTTTAGGAAAGGATGGACCCTTAGAAAGAAGCATAATGCCTTTGGGAAAGAAACCAGATCTTATATTTCCTTTGCTGGCCACCAGAACAGCCTTCCTGAGGTCTATGCCTCAGGAAGTAGTACTCAGTAGGAGTTTAGTCCCTGTTCCTGTATTGTGTGCCTGAGACTGGACAGTAGGACAGTGAGAGTTCTACGTGTGTATCCGGTGCCAGCTTGTGAGTATTCATAGACTACTGGTGTGTGTTTAAACAACCTTTGTCTCTCTTGTTTCCCCTCACTTTTCTGTTATTTCCATTCTGGAAATTTATTTATTTTAAAAATGTTTTTGCTGTACCAGGGTTGAACTCAGGCCTCGAGCTTGCTAGATGGTGCTGTACCACTTGAGCCACACTCCCAGACCTTTTTGTTTTATTTTTTTCAAGTAGGGTCTCACATTTATGCCTGGGACAGCCTGGACTGTTACTATACTTACTGTGTAGTTGGGGTGACAGGTGTGCTGCCATACCCAGCTTGTTTTTGTTGAGATGGGGGTCTCATGAACTTTTTATCTGGGTCTCGAACCCTGATCCTCCCAATCTTTTCCTCCAGAGTAGGTAGGATTACAGACATGAGCCACCACACCTGGCCAAGGAATATTTTTTTGAACATTTAGATGGCAGGTACTGCCTTTGGTGTTGCTAGGGATAGACATGAGTTAGTCTAGGCAAGTCTTTTCCTCCAAGGAAGTCATATAGCTTAGGACCAGCTCCATGTAAGTTGGTCTTTTTTCCCCTGTCAGGGAGGACAGAAGAGAATGTTGACAATACAAGCTGATGTCATTGCAGTTTGTTTTGAGTAACTTGGCAGTAGGCATGAACAGGGGAAGCAACTGGTTTAAAATTGTTCTCTTGACAGATTATTCTAGTAGTGGTACAGAGGATGACCAGGTATGGTGGTGATCTCTTACCTCTGTAGGACACTCAATAGTGTGTGATCTCATTTGCCTGGTGCAGACTGAAGTTCAGAGAGGATTTGTGTTGGCTGACAGGTGCAGTGAGGGCTTGAAGAAAGGGGTTGGTACTAGGGCTGGAAGATGGGACCAATGTGAATGGTATTTTGGAGTCCAGATCTTTATGGGTTGATCAGGGAGAGCGGGAGTCAGATAATACTGAGAGGCAATGTTAGATGTCTGGGAAGATAAGCCATTCACAGAAATAGGGCAGTTGTAAGGGAATATAGCAAGTTTGGCTTTGAATTTTAGATTGAGAAACTGGTGGGTATTCTAGGTGGTGATATCAGGTGGACAGTTTGAAATCTGGATGTAAGGGTCAGGTGTTAGAGGTAAAGGTAACTAGTAGGGCATTGGTGACTTTAGAAAGTAATTTCAGGACAGAGGTGGAGGAGGACGCCACGCCAGGAAGGTAAGGAATCAGTGGGTGCTGAGATACAGCTGCTGGAGTGGGAAGGGGTAGTGGGAGAGCAATAGAGGTGTTGGTGTTGGTGGTCATGTGCAGGGGGGAGGACCGAGAGTGAGCCAAGCTGCAAGAAGATTTTGAGGTGGAGAGGGTCATTTGAGGAGCTTCCGACAAAATCTGTGCACAGGATTAGGCTTCATCACTTGCAGAATGAGAAGGATAAGAAGAACTTGTGCTAAGAGAAAGCAGAGGTTGGGACAACAGATGTTGACTAAGGGAAGTCAAGAAAAGACGAACAAAGAATTGACTTTGACTTTGACTTGACTCCAGTCAGCATAGTTTGTGACTTTTCAGTAGCTCTTAGAAACCATCAAGGAAGATAGCGAGGGGTGGGATTGGGGCCTTTTCAGGGCCAGGAATTTGAAGTCCAGGAGCATGCAGAGGGCTGGGGAGCTTGAGGTTGTCAGCAGTTATTAGTTCATAGACAGAGCGAGGTGAGTGGGTAAAGCCCAGTTGTTGGGGGGACAATGGTCAAAGCTAACTCTCTGAATGTCGGTTTGGAATTATTGATGGTTTTCAATATCCATCTTGAATCAACATAGTAAGGGAACATCTGCACAGAATTAACAAGCCAAGAGCCCCGAGGACTTTCTCCTGCAGCCTGGCCTAGCCTTAGTTCACTTGGTTCCCTGCTGCCTGTTTTCCTTGTCTTTGAAACAATAAACAAGGTGACTACTGTCATCTTGGTTTGTTGCTTTGTCAGTAATTTTGTGCTGCGTATAAATTTTTTTTTGTATTAGATGTTGTTATGACTTTATGACAATGTTTTTAGGCTACAGGTTTTTTTTCTTTTTTCTTTTGGTGGTACTGGGGTTTGATTTCAGCCTCTGCCATTTGAGCCACTCTGCCAGCCATTTTCTGTGTTGGGTAGTTTTTGAGATAGGGTCTCTTGAACTGTTTCCCCGGGCTGGCTTTGAACCATTATCTCTGCCTCCTGAGTAGCTGGATTACAGGCGTGAGCCTGGCTAGGCTGCAGTTTTCTAATGCCATAGAGTTACAAGTGCATGTTTCATGAGCTCCACTTACTGTCTACTGTGAGTTATTATGAATTACTCTACACATCTTTTTTATCTTTTATTCCCTAAAGTAAAATTTTTACTTTGTTTAAAGAAGGGATGAAGAAACCCCTGCAGGATGAGATCGAAGCCATTCTGCGGAAGAGGATTATGGTGCTGGATGGAGGCATGGGGACCATGATTCAGCGGTATAAGCTGAGTGAGGAAAGCTTCCAAGGTCATGAATTCAAAGATCACTCCAGGCCACTGAAAGGCAACAATGACATTTTAAGTATAACTCAACCCGATATCATTTACCAAATCCATAAGGTAAGTTATTCCCAGGTTCTTATTCATTCAAAGTGTTTCATGCGCCAGGGTCAGACCACTGTACTACATGCTCTTGAGAATACAAAGAAAGGTGATTTATTCAGAAAGCAGGTGTCTGACACTGTTCAGTATGTGGGATAAGCAGATGATGAAGGTAGGTTTTCTGCCTTTGAGGATTTAAACATTAGTGAAAAAACCCACAGAATCCTGGACAAAGTAGGGGATTCATGCTCATTGTCTTATTTAAGTCACTACAATAGCCCTTACAAGGAAGTACTGAAAGTTGGTAACTTAATCAGTTTGGGCTACTGTAACAAATACCACAGATAGGTGGCTTAAATAGCAACATTCATTTCTTACAGTTTTGAGAACTATGCCAGCAGATCTGCCTGCTGAGGCCATCTTCCTGGTTCATAGATAGCCATCTTATGTCCTTACGTGAGGGAGAGCAACAGGGAAGCAAGGTCTCGTGTTTCTTTTTCTCAGGGTACTGCTGAGGTCCTCGTCCCCCACATTAAATTCTTAATGTGATGGTGTTAGGAGGTGTCCTTATCAACAAGGTCCAAGGGAGCGTGTTTACCCCTTCTCATGTGAGGACATGGTTTCAAGACGCCATGTATGAACCAGTGAATAGGCCTTCACCCATTGTAAAACCCCAATATGTGGGCTGATAGATGGCTGAAGTGGTAGAGCACCTGCCTGGTAAGTGTGAGCCCTGAGTTCCTGGCCCAGTACTGCCAAAACCAAAAAACAAAAAAAACCACAAAACCCCAAAATGTAAGTGCTATTCACATAGTCTAGTTTATGTTTTAGTCTAGTTTTCTACACTTGGATTTTTAAAAATGAAATTGCTTCATACTGTTTTATAATTTGAATTTTTATTCACATATCACAAACACCAAATATTCTCAAATATGATTTTATAACTTCATAATAATCTGTCCTATGCATTTGTCATCTCAACTAATCTCCTTATTCCTAGGCATTAAGGTTGTTTTCACTCTTTTTTTTTTGCTTTTCATTTATTTAATGTTTGTCACCCACTTCATAGTCAGCTTCATGAGGGTAGGTCAATCCCAGGCATACCACTTTTATCTACAGCACAACTGCCTTGCACATAGTAGGTTTTTTTTTCTTTTATTTGAGTGGTAGTGAGTTTTGGAGTTTGAACTGAGGGCCTCACGCTTGATAGGCAGGCTCTCTGCCACTTGAACCACTCCACCAGCCCTTTTTTTTGTGTGTGTGTTGAGCATTTTTGAGATAGGGTCTTGAGAACTATTTGCCTGGGTTGGCTCCGAACCTCCGTCCTCCTGATCTCTGCTTCCTGCCTCCCAAGTAGGTGTGAGCTATTGGCACCTGGCTACATTAAATTAATATAATTAATAATTATCTAAGGGAATCTGTTTCACCTTGAATTTTTTTTTTTAAGTAGCCCAATTTTCACTCATTTATTCACACTTTAATGGCTTGTAGACTGGTGATGGGTCAGTTCTGGACGCAGTGGGTGAGGAAGCGAAGATGAAGTGGTTGTGTCCCATTTCCTCATAGCTTAGTAAGAGAAGTAGGCGTATGCACAGTTAGCTACATTGCAGGTTAGAAAGAATAAGTGTTTTTGTTGTAAAGGGTGGGGTGTGCAGCAGAAGTGCAGAGAAAGAGCTGGGCCTGGAAGGATGAGTGTGTGGGACAGACAGTGCTAGGACAGGAGCCTCCTATTCTGCTTCTCTTCCTGGCAACATCAATTCATCCAGCAGGTCAAACAGCCCCTCTTTGGGAAGCTCCCAAGATCCTCAGTTGTAATAAGCATTCAGTCACTCCTGTAGCACTTTCCTCCTCTGCTCTAGCAGTTAGCTTCTTCTGCCTTATAGGACAGTGGTTTGCATGTTTGTTTTTTCATTCCCTAGCAACCTCTGAGAGGAACAGGACTGAATCGCAACAGTTTTGTAAACGAAAGGATCTGGAAAGACAGACATCAACTAATAGTGGTTATCTCTGGGGGAAAGTTGCAATTTGTAGTAGCAGTCAGACAACTCAGATCTGGATGTTAAATAAGATACCAATCCACATTTGTTGAATTTAAAATGGTGATAAGAAAGAGAACCTATTAGGAAGTAGGGGTACCTGACACTGGCGTAAGGGAGATGAAGAGAAAGAAGTCAAAGATGAATAGGTTGGGACCAACGAGTTGTCTATCATTCAGTCAGCGTTAGGGGAGCAATATGAATACAGTGGTGCTCTAAAGAGATTCATCTGCCAATCATATGCAGAATGCCTTAGAAGGAGAGAGTGGAGATGGAAAGATTAGGTTTGCAGCTGTCAAAAATTTGCACATGAACAGTAATGAGATCCTAAGCTGGTACCCACAGCTTTGAGGGTAAAGATGAGTGGCACCCAAGGGCCTGATAATTGAACCATTTTTCCTACTGAAAAAATCAGATCAAACAATCCGATGAATGCTCATATTCTTTGGGAGAAACCAAGAAGGCAAAAATATGGGTTTAACTCCTGAGTTTGCCACTTGCTGTACTAAGGCTTATTTTTTGAAAAAATTGAATTTTGGGCTAGGTTCAGTGGGGCCACGCCTGTGATCTCAGCTATTCAGGAGGTAGAGATTGGGAGGATTGGGTTTCAAGGCTGGCCTAGACAAAAAGTGAGACCCCCATCTCAACTAATAAAAGCTGGGCGTGGTGGTGTATACCTTTCTTTCCAGCAATGAAGATCAGCTATGCTGGGCGAAAACACAAAATCCCGTTTGAAAACCAATTAAAGGGCATGGTTCAAGTGAGTAATGTACCTGCCTAGAAAGTGCCAGCACCTGAGTTCCAACATCAGTACCACCAAGAAAGTTTTTAAAAATTAATTCATTGTTGGAGTACATTCCTATCTGACTTCTACCCCAAATTGCTATTTTTTTACCCCAGAGATCACCACCATTAGTTGATGTTTGTCTTTCCAGAGTCTTTTGCTATGAATTTATGTATGTATATAAGTATGTACGTATGAAAAGCTCATAGAACTGTTTGTGCATATATATTTTTTTAAATTTAGTGCCATCATGCTTTGCATAGTTTTCTTTTTTTTTTTTTCATTGTCACATATATTGCTGGACGCCAGTGGCTTATGCCTGTAATCCTAACTACTCAGAAAGCAGAGATCAGGAGGATTGTGGTTCAAAGCCAGCCCAGGCGAATATTTTGCGAGACCCTATCTTGAAAAATCCCTTCACAAAAAAGGGCTAGTGGAGTGGCTCAAAGTGTAGGGCCTGAGTTCAAAACCCAGTACTGTAAAGATTTACCTTTGCTTTGTATATAGAAGAATATTTTCTGACCAAAGTCATCTATGAAAATATATTTCAGCAGAAAGGCATTAATCCCCTTTAAGAAATTTTATCAGGTACTTTAAAAATCACTCAGTGTTAATTTACTTTGCAGAAAATCAGTATGGTAATTATAAGTTGATTTCATTTATTTACTTGCATGGAATAAAGCTGAATTGAAAAAACCAAAACCCAGTACAAAAAAAAAATTTCACATATAGTTTCTTTATACTTTATGGTCATTGCAAAAAATTGCACAAAATAAAAAGTAATGAAGAATCAAAGCACAATTATGCAAAAAAAAAAAAAGTGCAAGTATAAAGTGGGCTGCTGTGCCAATATGCAGGCTGTGAAATACGTGGTTGGGAAGGGTGGCAGCAAGGGCCTTTCTCGTGATGTGGCCACGTGAGATATTGAGATTCCTGGGCTTATCAGTGTATGCTCATGTGAGCCAAAACTTGTAAGCATATTTTTTTCACATCAAAGCTGATGTAAATGATACAGAATTAAGCCTCTTTTTAGGCTTAGTGCCAGTTTTAACATCCAAAAACTAAGGAAAACAGGAGGTGTTCCAAATGTAACTGTTTTGTTCTTTTTTTTTTTTTTTTTTTTTACTTTTTTTACAGTACCGGGGTTTGAACTCAAGGCCTCATGCTTGTGAGACAGACACTCTATCATTTAAACCATGCCCCCAGCAGAAGAACTATATTTTCAAAAAGAATTGTTGCAAACCTAATAATGCTGGTGGTTTTCCAGCCTTAACTCCGGGATGAGGGTCTCTGGTTTGACTTCTGCAGCCTTGGGTCTGGCCTTCTCCTACTCCCCTGCTTCCTTTCCCTGGCATCTCTGCCCAGGCTCCAGGCAGTATTGTGTCTGGCTGCTGCATCTGCTTCCAAAGCTGTGACTTCAGAATTCAGTCCCACAGTTCCAGGACTCAAGGCCCCCACACTGATGAGACTTGAGGGGCTTCTCCAGCCAGCAGACCCCATTTATGCACTGCCACAGCATCAGGCTGAGGAACCCTCTTTCTTCCCCAGCAACAGTTCAAAGGTTTTGTAGACAAAGGTCCAGGTCCCTGTCATTGCCAAGGTTCTGTATATCTGCTGAGGCTACTGCCTCCCTGGGATGTTTTCTAGCATCCCCTGGAGGATGACCTTGGAGAAGAGCTGGTCAGAGAAGGATGTCATAGAACCCTAGAACAGAACAGAACTCACAAACAGAAACCAGTGTGGGATCCAGGGTCAGGATAGGGGCTCAGTAATAGAGGTCCCCATATTTTTATGAGTTTTCCCTCCAGTAGCTCAAGAAGGTCTTAACTGTGAAGATCACAGAGATATCCCCTCCACTCCTGTTGTCCCACCAAGACAGAGGCAGTATCAGAAAAAGAATATAATGATTTCCCATGGTACTTGAAGCTACCTGAACAAGGATCCTTTTTTAAAATATGAGGTGTGTCAGAGAATCTTTTTGGATAGGGTGACATTTGAGCAGAAAAGTGAAGAAAGTGAGAAATGGTATCTGATAAAGGTCTGGTAGCCAGAATAGGTAAAGAGCTTTTGCAACCCAATAACAAAAAAGATGAAAAAAAAAATTAAAAATGGCAAGGAATCTGAAGAGACGTTTCTCAGAGAAGATACATGAATGTCTAACCAGACAAACACATGACAAGATGCTCACTATCCTCAGTCATTAGGGAAAATCAATCAAGAGCACAATGAGAAGTCACTTTGCACTCGTAAGGAAGTGTTCTTGCTGGTAACAAAGGTTGGTGAGAATGTGAGAAACTGGAACCCTCGTACATTGTTGTTGAGGATGTAAAATGGTTCCATCACTGTGGGAAAACAGTTTGGCAATCCCTCAAAAAGTTAAACATGGAATTACCATGTAACCCAGCAGTTCTGCTCCTAGAACTGAAAACAGATACTTAAAGCAAGTATACAGACAACATGTACATAGTAGCACTTTTCACAAGCACCAAAAGGTAGAAGCAGCCAGATGTCCAGCTGTTATGTGGACAAATTGTTATGTATGTAGTATAAACAATGGGATGTTATTTGGCATCCCAAATAACTGGTATATGCTGAACGTGGGTGAACTTATTTTGTTTTTCTACTCAGCAGTACTTTGGAAGGGCTTACCATGATGATGTATGTAGATACACACTTTATCTACATATAGCTAAATAGTAGAGTGAATAGATTTGATTATCTTTATATTGATGATATTGAGGATGTTTGTGACTTTTACTATAAATGTGTTTATCTTGGTTTTCATTTCCCACTTCATTTCTTTCACTTGCTAATAAATGCAAATGTTTATTAGCATAGGAAAGGTTGAGTTTACTCACTATTAGAAAAACCAAGAGGGTCAAGAGATAATAGATGCTAGTCAGGTTGAGACTGAGCTGGTCCAAAGAGTGAACCCAGGACAACAGATTTCAAAGGGGGAGAACAGGTTCCAGTAAAGGTGCAGAGATGGGTCAGAGGGTTTTGGAGCTGTGGACTGAAAAAAACTGGTCAGAATTTGAGATCTCAGCGGTGGTGCATTTCTCAGTGGGGATCACGTTGTGCTGAAGCAGGGAGAAGGTAAGGGAACAGAACTGGTATTTGTTCGGTGCCCAAGAAGTGCCAGACACTTTAGATGTTACCTTATATTACACAGCCACAGTTTGCAGAAGAGGGTTCAGAGGAGGAGATTGACACTCAGAGAGTTTAAGGAACTTGACCTTGGTGTGTTTACTTTGTCTGAATTCAAGTTTGTGCTTGTTTATTAAACCATGTGCCTTTCTGTGAAATCCTTGTATCTTCTGGCATCTCTAGGTAGTGCACTACCTCACTTTTGATAAGTGGTCAGAAGGTGGTTGGTGGTGGACTGTGATGAAGGAATGTGTTAACTACCTGTTGAGAGCAGGGACTCTGGACTCAAAGGTTGGCATTGTTGTCTTGTTGCAGGATTACTTGCTGGCTGGAGCGGATATCATTGAAACAAATACTTTTAGCAGCACTAGTATCGCCCAAGCTGACTATGGCCTTGAACACTTGGTGAGGATTCCATTTTCTCATTTCTAAGGTGCTCTGAGCGTTTGCTGCATTGCAGGTGCTAGTGAGAGACCATGTGAAAGCAGCAGAGTCAAGCTAGTGCCTCACTGTGTGTTGCTTGTGTTGAGACAGGGATGATGATTTGAATCTTTCCTGCTCATGAGTACAGCAGCTCATTTTATGGGTAAGTAATAGTCCAATAAAGATGGGACTTGTACCAGGCACAGGTGGCTCATGCTACTTGGGAGCAGAGATCGGGAGGATCATTTGTTTCCAGCCTGAGCAAATAATTGTGAGAACCTATCTCCAGAATACTCAACACAAAAAAGGGCTGGCGGAGCAGCTTAAGTGGTAGAGCATCTGCCTAGCAAGTGTGAGGCCCTGAATTCAGGACCCAGTATCCCCCCATCCCCCAAAAAAGTTATGTAGTGGTTTTTGATAAGGCATAATCATTGGCTGTGTGCACACAGACAGTATGTAAATAAATGGTTGTGACTGTTGCAGTAGAACTTTATTTAGATTTGCCCTATGACCCATTGCTCGCTGACCACTGTGGTTTCTTAATTATCTGATGTGAGGATCCAAGGCGTATAGGACTTAAAATTGGAGGAATTAATGAAGAGTACAGATCCAGAGCCTCCTGAGCTGGCTTGTGGAAGGACTTTGAAGACCCGTGAACCTCCCTAACTTGGAGGCTGTATTTTGTGTGTATATGCATACTTCCTGATTACTTCCTAGTGAGAGGTTTCATGGTCCTTTACCAGATTCTTAAGAGGTTAATAATCTATAAAAACTTCAGAACTACTGATTACAACCATTGTACAGTGGAGGAATCCAAAGCCAGGGAGAGTTGCTATGGGAACTACCTGGTTAGGCTGTGACAGAGCTAGTTTTAGAACTCAAAACTCCTGTCTCAGAAGCCTGTGGTTTTTTTCCCATTAGTATGCTTTCTCTTAATTTGCAGTGTATTTAATTGTACCAGCTTATACTTTGACCTGCCACATATTCAGGGGTTGCCCTTTTCGCCAGTTGGCTCATGGTATGAAAGAAGAGCCTAAAAGCAGTTCCTAAGGATTCTTGTTCATCCCTCTGCCCTTTAAGGCTAGGGCAACTAGTAGGGCTTCTTGGCTAAGATTTTACTTAGATTTAAGATTAATTAATTCCAGCTGGGCACTGGTGGCTTGATCTGGAGGATCAAGGTTTGAAACCAGACTGGGCAAATAGTGTGAGAGACCTTAGCTCAAAAATATCCAACACAAAAAAGGGATGATAGAGTGGCTCAAATTGTAGAACACCTGCCTAGCGAGCATGAGGCCCTGAGTTCAAGCCCCAGTACTGCCAATAAAAGAGATGAATTCATTCTGTATTTTCTTGTTGAGTACAACTAAATATTAGATGGCTGTAGATTTCTTATTTATTGCTGGAGGCAAAGCAGGACAAACTAACATTGGTGGTTGATGTATTAGGCCTACCGGATGAACAAGTGCTCTGCAGGTGTGGCCAGAAAAGCTGCAGAGGAGATAACTCTCCAGACAGGTAAGGGACATTGTACACATGAATTTTTTGATGTTCTTAGCTATAATGTGCAGTTTTTCCATACATGACCTTTGGCCTACAAGCAGCTGCAGATAACTGTATTTTACTTGTTATATGTTACTTGTCTGTGGTTTCATGATGAAGCATTCAGTGTTTCCGAAGTGATGTTGTCCCTGTGGGCCTTGAGCTCAGGATTTACTCTTTTAACCTGCCCGTGGGATGACTAGGCCCGTGACCTCTGTGTATTTAGAGCTAAAACAGTTTTTCTCCCTTTGGAAGCACACTGTTAGGTTATTAAAGTAATAGCTGGCTCGTGTGATTATTTTGGTTCTCAATAGGATATTTGATCTCAGTCTTCTAAAGCTGCCCTTCTCCCCACGATTGGCTTATTTAAGCAGAGATTGCCTTGTAAACAGTTTCTCCTTTTGACTACCCATGACCTTGAAGGCTGTGCAGCACACAGGAGTGTGTCATTGGATTCAGTCTTGCTGGGACTGGAACAGTGGTTCCTGAGATAACTAACCTCATTAGTTGCCATCAGAACACTTGAGCACTAGCTGATAGGATGCTTTGAGCGAGGGAGAGGATAGTAGAAATATATACGGAGTCCCTTACGGTTTAGAAATGTGGTGTTGTTGCCAGTGGGAAAGATACAAAGCAAGGTTGCTAGGAAGTTAATGACAGCATGCTAATTAAGAGCAGAGCAGTTAATAGGAACTCTTTCTAAACAGACAGTTTAAGTCCATGGAAATGCATAGTGCCCAAGAGGGCAGTAGGCAGAGGACAGCAAGCCAGCTAAAGCAGGAAGAGATAAGGACTTTTTTCTTATATGTATGTTATTGCTAGGCTTTTTGGGGGCTAAAGAATACTGTGATACTGTGGCCTGTAACCTGTCACAGTTGGTAGCTGTCTCCAGTTCAGCTGTAAAGCATAGTCCAGGTTATTGAGTGGGTAAAATCATCAAAGGTAATGAGCAGTAGGACTCCTGGTTTCTGTTGTCATATACAAACAATTTCCCAAGCACCTTGACTGACGTAAAGGCAAGTTTAGTTAAGAGTTACTAAGGCAACATTCATCTGCCTCACACTTGCGTTCCAGGCTTTGAAATTGTTAATTCTGACTCACTGTTTACCTTCTGTGAAAGGCCTGCGACACGGGCCCAGAGAGTATTTCAAGGTGGATGCTACTGGGAAGCACATTGAGGTTCAGCACCTTCAAGGTTTCATGAGAATAAGGAGAGGGTCTGTCTAGACACTGCTGTGGTGATGGAAAAGAACACTCTCACGCAAAATCTCATTGAGATGAATTCAGCTTGTTGATTGGCTTGGTGGTAATATTTATTGTCCCTGTTACATGATTTCTTCAGGGAGGTAAGGGCAGCGTCTAGGCATCTCAGTAGCCTTTATGTTCCCCAGAAGTCAAGTTTGTTGTCAAGTGAGCTCAGAAAACAAAGTTGAGGCTTTTAGCACTTTTGGATTTCTGAGTTGTGGACACAGGATTTAGCCCTGTGTTCTAGGAACAATCTTAAAGTCTATTGATTCACAATAAAAAGCTTGAGCTACTTAGAGATTTCACACTTGCTTTTCTTTTTCTAAAGGAGTCAAGAGGTTTGTGGCAGGAGCTCTGGGTCCAACTAATAAGACACTCTCTGTGTCCCCATCTGTGGAAAGACCAGATTATAGGAACATCAGTGAGTATTTATCACATGTGATCATGGACTGGGGGAAGTGCTTCAGCAGTCTGCAAATCTGTAAAGTGGGCCCAGTAACATGTTCTTCTCAGGGAGATTGTGACTTTAGGTAGAGGGCTTCTAGCAGTGCCTGGAATATAGTTACCATCTAAATAAAAAGTTGCTATTTGTATTTGAGCTTGTTTTCAGATGTACATGCTTCTTAAAATGAATTGAAATAGTGCGTAGGTTGGTGCGGTGGTGTGTGCTTATAATCCCAGCACTTGGGAGGCCAAGGCAAGAGGAACTCAGTTTAAGGCTAGCATGGGATAAATACAGCAAGACCCTGGCTCAGAAAACAAGAAAGATTATCTGGGGAAGAGTGGTATATTTTAAAGATGTTGAAAGTAAGGTACCTGTTTCACGAAATTGACATACCTTTCCACTCGCTCCTAGCTCACATGGGAGGGGAGTTGTGTGACAAGTGTTGAGGAAAGGTTGTATTCAGCTTACTTGTTTACCTCCCATCACCACCTTGTTTCTTCATTTGGCTTCTTAAAAAGGCAGCATGTTGTCTTTAAATGATGCTGCGTCAGACCTGAGCTCGGCATCACCTGGGGCCCCAGGGGGGTGCACTCCCTGGTGTTCTCACTGATGCCCTGGTGTGATTTGCTTTTTTGCAGCATTTGATGAACTCGTTGAAGCATACCAAGAGCAGGCCAAAGGGCTCCTGGACGGTGGGGTTGATATCTTACTCATTGAGACTGTTTTTGATACTGCCAATGCCAAGGTGAGTGGGGGAGGAAAAGGGACAGGGCTGGACAGAGGCTGTGAAGAATCCCACATGGGAGTGAGAAGATAATGGCTGTCACCAAAGTTGTGTAACTTTTCTGTATTTTCCCCATTTCAATCTTGAAAATTTTAGCTGAGGCCAGGGTAAATACATAAAATGTCAAAAAAAAAAAAAAAAAAAAAACCAAAACCCAAAAAACCCAACCTGTCTTTAGTCTTTAAAATACACATTTTCTCATTACAAAGTATTTCCATCCATCACTACTATGTGTGCATACACGCATATGCAATGAGTATGTGCTTATGGTTCTAAATCCTGCAGATGCGTAATGTGTGGAATGGAAGTCCTTTCTTCTCATCTTTGGTTTCCTGGAACAACTACTATTACCAGTCTGGGGGTCTTGACAGAGATTCATCACAGACAGGAGAGAGAGACAGAGAGAGAGAGAGAGAGAGAGAGAGAGAGAGAGAGAGAGAGAGTGTGTGTGTGTGTGTGTGTGTGTGTGACCTATGTACTATAGGCACATGGTATGTGGAGTGAAAAATAGCCTTATACACAGTGTATCTCTAGGCTACATTTGTACAAGTGAAATAAGTTTTTGTCCTTTTCCAGTTTGACAGGTAGAAATGGAATCTCATTGTAGTGTTCTTTTTTCATGTTATTTGGTGGTCCTGGGGTTTGAACCCAGCCTCTTACTTTCGAGGCAGGTGATCTTCCACTCAAGCCACGCCCTCAGCCCTTCTCACTGTAGTTTTAATTTGTATTTTTTTGGGGGTGGGGAGACTGGGATTTGAATTCAGGGCTTTGTGCTTGCAAAGCAGGTGTTCTATTGCTTGAGTCACACCTTTAGTCCATTTTGCCCTGGTTATTTTGGAGATGGTGTCTCAGGCTGGCCTCAAACTATGATCCTTCTGATCTCAGCCTCACAAGTAGCTAGGATTACAGGTGTGAGCAGCTGGCGCCTGACTCAGTATTTTTTTTTTTTAATGAAATCTTTAGTTTTAGAACCATTTGTATATACTTTTTTGTCCTGTGTTCTTTTTCTGTTGAATTTTTTGTTTTAATTGATTCCTTTACAAAGGAAGTCAGGACTTTGTCAATAATGAATAACAAATACCCAACTTATTTGACTTTTAACTTTATTAGTGGTGGTGATACTATTGTGAAGTTACTCATTTTAATGACAGAGAATTTTACTTTTGTACAGTTCATCAATGTTGTTTTTGTTTTTTTGGTGAGGGAGCTGTACTTACAGGGATACTCCTTATTTTAAGATAAAGAGAAAACAATCTTTTCTTTCCCCTAATACTTTGCGGTTTTATCCAGCCTTTGTTTACTTGTTGTGGAAATATAATCACAGAGTCAAAATTTCCTGAACTTTTCACAAAGCACTTGTGCTGGGCTTGGTGGTGCGTGCCCATAATCTTAGCTGCTCAGGAGGTGGGTGTCAGAGGATAGCAGGTCAGGGCCAGCCTGGGCAAAGATAGAGTAAAACCCTATCAGAAAGCAAACCAAAAAAATAAGAACAAACACAAAAAACAAGGACTGGGGCCATGGCTAAGGTGGTTGACTACTTGGTAGAAGGCCCTGAGTTCAGTCCCTAGTACTGTTAAAAGCAACAACAAAAAAAAGAAAATTAAAAGAAAGACAGAAAAGAAATGATTTGCTAAAGTATGTGCACGTGGGAAGGCAATCCAGCACTGGATGACTACCTTGTTAGGCTGCTTTCCATCACTATAATGAAACACTTGAGATAAATAAAAAGGAGCAAAGGTTTACTTTGGCTTGTAGTTTGGGAGGGTAAAGGCTTCTGGTAGGTGTACCCGGTGGCGGTGATGGGGAGTGTGTGGCAGGGCACTCTGGTCACCTCATGGTCAGGAAGTAAAAGGCAGCAGGAAGGGGGTGGGGATTCCCAGTCTCCTTGAAGGCTGTGGCCTCAGCACCTGAGGGACTTAGGCTAGCCTCACCTCCTGCCAGTCCCATCATTTCCCAGTAGCACCACCCTGGGGGCCAGGCCTTTAGCACTTGGATCTTCGGGGAACATTCAGGATCCCAGCTGTAGAAACTGCCCTTCCTCACTTTTTTTTTCCTTTAGTACTGGGGTTGAACCAAGGGCCTTGCAGGTGCCGGTGGGTACTCTGTCACTTGAGCCATACCCTAACCCTTTCGGCTGTAGGTACTTTTGCCCGAATCAGCTTGGATTTCAGTCTTCCTGTTTATGTTTCCTGCATAGCTGGGAGGACAGGCAGGCACCATCCTGTCCAGCTTTTAATTGATTGAGATGGGCCTTGTGAACTTTTTGCTGCAGCTGGCCTCTAGCCATGATCCTCCTGATCCCTGTCTCCCAAGTAGCTGGAATGACAGATGTGAGCCACCAGGCTTGGCCCTACTTCACTCTTTTGTTGTGCTGCAGTCAAGCCCAGGCATTTTGCATTCTGGACAAGCACTCTACCATTGAGCTACATCCCTAGCTGTCTTCTATCACTCTCAACACATCCCTTTGTTGGGGATCTTTTTATATATCTTTTCAAAAATTGTATTGTGACTCTCAGGTAAACAAATTATAATTCGGTAGTAATTCATATACTCACTTTGAAAATAAGAGAAGTGGGATTAAGATGTACATTTGAAAAGAGTCACAATATTATTTAAGTTGAAATGAGAGGGGGAGCTGGGCCTGGTGGGCATCCCTGTAATACCAGCATTGTGGGAGGCTGAGGTAGCAGGATCATGCATTTGAGGCTAGCCTGGACCACATAGCAAGACCCTATCTCAAAAATCAAAAAGGAAAAAAAGTAAAGAAAAATGAGATGGGTAAGACAGTGTGAGATAAGGCATTAAGAATATATTTTACTGCACAAGGTCCTGAGTTAATTCCTAGCACAAAATGGTACATTATTGAACTGCAATTTTAAAGAATTTAAATTTTAATTATTTATGCTTTTGAATTTTTAGTTTTAAAGTGTGTGGCATACATTCTTTTTATAGAGGTTTTCCTCATGATGTATCTGGAATTTATTTTGGAGTAGAAAATTGGGTAGAGATTGACTTTTTTTTGGGTCTGAGGTCTAGGACTGTCTAGTAACACTGTTTAATTCCCAGTGGTAGGACGATGTGAGATGCTACCTGTCTCACTCTCAGTTCGTAGTGCACTTGATCTAGTCTTTCCTGCAGACTGTCTGCTGATGCTTTACTGTTGTGCTGGTTACATAGCATTAGAATAACTGAGTAACTGGTTAGCTTAATCTCTTTTGATTAATCCACCCTTTTTCCTAGAACTTTTCTGGCTATTCTTATGTGCTTGTTTTCCATAAGATTTTTAGGATTAGTCTTTCTCATTCTAAGAAGGACATTTTGATACTGTTGACTTAATAACTTTCCATGAAAAAACCCTACCATCACAGGAAGGGTGCACAGGAATTACAGTGCATTCTGATTTCAGAACATTAGTTATGAAAATACTACACCTCTGAACCAGGCAATGTAGTGATAAAAAGAAAGAGAAGATTCATTGCCTGGGACTTGAAACAGATGGACCAGTGTAGAGTAACATGGGATTTGAAGATTTACAACCCAGTGCAAGCTTACAACATTTTCTCAATGATGTGCACTGTTGGTTCATACATCTGCTATGTGTGTGAAAAGACGAGGAAGGTAGGAACATTCTAATCTTAAACTTGATTGAGGGAGGAGAGAAAGAATAGCCCTTCAGCTCTTCTTCAGAGGACACATTAGTTCACAATGAACTTAGCATATTTTTTTTCTTTTCTCTGCTGGGGATCAAGCCCAGGGTCTTGTGCATGCTAGGCAAGTACTCTTCCACTGAGCTATACCCCCAGCCCAAGCATTTGTTTTAATGTGGACAGTATTACACTTGAGAAAGGGGCGCTGAGGTGCGTTATGGAGAGATTATTTTCTTCTCCCTCAAGATCTCTGTGTGTATCTAACTGAAGAGGCCTTTGAATGGGGTATTTTCTTACTGGGCAATTGGACTGATATTAGACACATTCTCTTGGAAATAAAGGTGTTCTTTTCTCCCTGGCAGGCAGCCTTGTTTGCACTCCAGAAACTTTTTGAAGAGAATTATACTCCCCGGCCTATTTTTGTAAGTCTAAAATGTTTGCACATAACTTTTCTCTTTATTAACAGTCATTTTGAGCCTAGGCTCTCCCCACAGCATAGTAGAATGGTGATAGATATCTTTTAGAAACATATATCTTTCTGTTCACCGCCTTCCTAATAGCACATCTATGTCAATAGCAGACTCACCTCTGGAGAGGCAAGAAAAATGAACTTGGAGGTGATGTTGGAAGGCAGGCTGTTCAAAGGAAGCCTCTTTGAAGCCAAAGGCTTAAAGAACTGGCCTCATCAGGGCCCATAGAGGGATGGTCTTGCATACTGACTGCCAAGTACCCAACACTGAGGGCTCCAGATAACAGTTCATTAGCTCAGTAGGCAGACCCACACGAGAGTCAAAGCGATGGTGTTGGAGAAGTCAGATGTTAGCAGCAGTAGAACTTCCTGAGATACCTCTGGGAAGTTCTTCCAGTGGGCCAGGCACGTGAATTCTAAGGTTTGCGGCATTGCTTTTGCCTCAGTGACTCTCCTTCCCTCTGTTCTAGTGACTTGCTACCTTCTCCCCAGGGGTTACTTGGCCTGTGTCCATTCTGACCCTGATGAAGCACGGCCTTTGAATTTGAGTTCCACAGTTCTCTTCCTTATGAAATAACACAGAATGTGAGCTTATTTATTTTATTTTGTCTTTGCAACTATGTTCTTTGCCTGAGTCTGTGTCACTGACTGCTTTGTTAATTCAGATTTCAGGGACAATTGTTGATAAGAGTGGGCGGACTCTTTCTGGACAGACTGGAGAGGCCTTTGTCATCAGTGTGTCCCATGCAGACCCACTCTGGTGAGTGACTTTCTTCCTTTTGGGGAGATATTTTGCAATCATTACAAAATGTGACCCAGTAGGGGATTGCTTCTATGTTTCCACTGAGCTGCTCTATGGTACAGTAGCTTTCCTTCAGACTCCTTCCCCACCCCCCTCCGAGCTCCAGATGACCACTGCCGAAATGGGTCACTTTGAGGGACTGGGAGAGCTGTCTTAAGTCCTGGGCAGCTAAACGTTTGCCTTCTCTCTGCAGGCATCCCTTTGTAGTTTGAGGCTGTGCTTGTATTGGTAATGCTTTAGAGCTGTTATCATTTACTTGAATTTTGGGGACTGTGCTTTACAAATTTTAGGGCAATGCCTGTCCCTATTTGTGGGGCAACCAGAAACGGTCTAGTTTGGCATAAGGTGAGAATTCTAAAGGTCGGGTTTTTATTTTTTGGAATCTGATAGATTGAAGGTGCAAATAGAAGGCAGAAAACAACATATGAAAAGGGAAATATGTAATAAATCTGTTTACTTACTTATTTGTGTTTATTAAGAACTTTACATGTTAATAAAGAACAGTGGGACAGAGCCCTATATTATTGTTAATTTACTATTTACTGAAATCCTACTGTATATTCTGGAGTAATGATAGATGTGAAGCACTCTATTCTAGGAGAAATACATAAGTAAATGAAAATACAAGAAGTAGAAAAAAATCTGGCCAGCCATAGAACAACCCTGTGGGCTTGCTGTAAGATTCAGAGATGGCTCTGTAGAGATGGTGACATTTGGACTATGTTGGAAAACATGAGCCAGAGTTTGCTAAGCACAGAGGGTCAGGATGACGAATCAGAGTGAGTTAATGTCAGTATGAGAACTGTATAGTTCACACAGCATTTCCAGATAGGGTGTTTAATTTGAACTTTAGCAAAACCCAGAGAGCTGAGTGGCATTGTTTTCTTTGCTTGACAGAGAAGGAACTGAAGTCGTGTATTGAAAAGGGGAATTAGGATTGGAACTAAGTTTGGAAACAAGTCAAGGATTCTTTCTAGTGGTAATGCAATGCTTTATAATTTTTGTTTTAGTTTTTTTTTTTTACATGGTGCTGAATCCAGGTGACAGTAGCATAAGATGAAAAAAAGGTTAAATTACAAAATGGGACTAGTAAAACAGCTAAATTTAGATCAGTCGAAGGTTTGCAAGCTAGCTGTGCAGTGAACCTAGCATTTTAACTGAATTGTAGTTGTCAGGCACCGTTGACCAGAGTCGTATTTGTTTTAGATCAGTTCCAGGTTTACAGAACAATCGAGCAGAAAGTATAGCAACTTCCCTGGTTCCTCCCCTCCCCCACTGGTTTTCCGTTACTAATATCTTACCTTGATTGACTCATTGTCACAATATGAACCGTTATCAATACATTACTCACTGAAGGTTGTCTGTCTACGTTAGGGTTCACGCTTGGTATTGTACCTTCTGTGACACTGTCACAATATCATACAGAGTGGTTTTACTGCTTTAGGAGTCTCTGGGCACCACCTGTTCACCATTTTTTTTTCTTGCCTGCAGCCAGCTAATCTTACTGATTTTACGGTTTTGGCTTTTCTGGAATGGAATATGTAACCTGTTCAGATCAGCTTTTTTCATTTAGCAAAGTGTGGTTTTCCTGTGTCTTTATGGCATAATAGCTTATTTCTTTCTTCTTTTCTTTTTTTTTTTTTTTTGCGTCTAGACACATCATTAAGTATGATATTAGGTGATTTGTTTTTTGTTCTTCACTAAGTTGAGAAATTTCTCTGTTGCTAGTTAGCTTTTTTTTTTTAAATCATGAACGGGTGTCAGGTGTTTGTTAAATAAGCTTTTCTTTTTTTTTTTTGGTAATAGTTATGGATACATAGAAAAGATAGTACAGAGAATTCCATATAGCCTTTTATTTTTTCCTAATGTTAACATCCTACATAACTAAGGAACTTTTGTCAAAACTAAGAGTATGTCAACTGTTACCCAAATTCCAGACTTTATTTGAATTTCAAGAATTTTCCCACTAATACCCTTTTTCTATTTCAGCATGCAATCTAGGATGCCACATTGCACTTAGGAATCACTGTAATAGAAAATAAAGCAAAATACAAAAACCAAAGATCCCACATTCTAGTGGCTCCACTGGGCTCCTGAATTCCAGAAGTCACTGGGGCTTCCCTGGAGGGTTGCAGGCATTTCCACGGTAGCTTCTTTCTACTGTTTCATGTTCCTTCCATCAGCACAGTTTCTCTTTTCTCTTTCCTTAAATATTTTTGTGTTGGATTTTTGTTGGCAGTGGTAATTTGCTCGAATTTCTGTCCCACAGTGTAACGTTAATCTGTGAAGGTATTGAAGGAGTCACATCTGCCAATGGGGTCCTTTAGCTGTAACATTATTTGAAGTCAGAAACGTGAGCAAAAATATTCAGTGCTGCAGGGCCCTCAGTGAGATGGCTTTGATTACATCTGAATGTAGAGTTTTGTTACGTGCTTGGTTTCAGTTCCATTACTCTTATAACTTTTACATGTGTAAGTATTTTGAATAACATAATGTTTCTGATGTCTGCTGATGTCTTCTTACTGTTTTTCTAGCATTGGATTAAATTGTGCTCTGGGTGCAGCTGAAATGAGACCTTTCATTGAAACAATTGGGAAGTGTACCACAGCTTACATCCTCTGTTACCCCAATGCAGGTGTGTGCTTCAGGGTTGCTCGTGGGAAATTTGTGCACTCAAAGCATGGTACAGGAGCAGCCAGGTCTCCGGTGAAGACTTTGTGTTGCAGGTCCAACTGTGCAGATGTTTAGCTGAAAAGGAAGTTTCCAAATCACTGTTTAGAAGGAACAGTTTGGCCTGAGGCTTCAGAGGAGGACATAACTTCAGGAAACAACTCTAGTCACATACTGACCAGAGCCTTGCCTTTGGAGCTGGGGCCCACCATGTAGTCGTGGCCAGAGAGATCGAGCCCTTTCTGTTCCACTCTGTTGGCAGACAAGCAGCAGGATAGTCTGTGTATTGTTTTCCTGTATAAGCTAAGACTTCTAGCTTATTGTGTGTGAAAATGCCAGAAAATATTTGTAGGTAATTCTAGATATTGGTAATTGCTCTTGGCTAGTGAGGCTTCTCAGTGCATGTGTTTTGAGTCCTGCTCAGCTACTTATGGTGAAAAATCACTTTCCATCCTTTTTCTCTCCAAACATACATTTTATTTACTTATTTTTATCTTTTGATGGCACTGGTATTTGAACTCAGGGCCTCAAGCTTTCTAAGCAAGTGTTCTACACTTGAACCATGCCCCAGCTCTTTTCACACAATTATTTTTCAGATGGGGTCTTGTGTTTATGCCCATGATTACAGTCCTTCCATCTGTGTTTCCCATGGAGCGGGTGCCCCATTGTAGGCTTGTTTGTTGAGATGTGTGTCTTGACTTTTTTGCCCACATTGGCCTCGAACCACAGTTCTGTTCTCTACCTCCTGAATAGCTGGAATTTCAGGCATGTGCCACCATACCCAGCCCCCAAATATGTACATTTTAAAGTACACAATAAATTTTATTTCCTGACAGGATTAAGGTAATTGGATGGGGAATAAATAAAACAGGAAGCTGGATAGTTAGAGGCTAAAGTCTTTCTTATGGAAATGTTCTTGAAAGAAAACTTTTTATTTTTGTGATAGTAGAGTTTGAGCTCAGGGCCTCACGCTTGCTTGGCAGGTGCTATACCACTTGAGCCACTCCACCAGCCCTTTTTTGTGTTGATTGTTTTTGAATTGGGGGTCTCATGAACTTATTTTGCCCAGTCTGGGTCTCAAACCATGATCCTCTTTATCTCTGCTTCCAAAGTAGCTATGATTACGGGTGTGAGCCACGGGTGCCTGGCTTTCGTATGATTTTAATTGAGTGTCAGGCATTCATTAGTTCAAAGGGTGTGCTGTGCCTCCTCTCCTGCTACCAAGCAGCTTTCTAACAAAGTTTCTGTTATCGGCAGGGATTGGAGGTGGGGTCAGTGTATTCTGTCTCATATAGCATGAATCTTTCCTGTCAAATGAAAAAGAAGTAGTGAATGTTTCTTTTCCTCTGAATTTTTTTGTGTGATATTTCTGTTTACTAAATATTATGTGTTACTTGCTTTTTCAAGTAATTACCATTTGATTTATCAGTACAAAGTTGTATAATTTTTAAAGTCTTTTACAAAAATTGATTTTGCGTTAGAGACATGACTCAAATGTCTAGTAAGTGCAAAGCCCTGAGTTCAAACCCAGTACTGCCACAAACAAAAGAACGAACAAACTAAAAAACAGCAGCAAAAAAGGATATATTATCTTCTCTGCTAGTTGTGAATAATAGTTGAAATGTCTTTTCTCAGGTCTTCCCAACACTTTTGGTGACTACGATGAAACACCTTCCATCATGGCCAGACACTTAAAGGTTAGGGATTCTCTTCCACTTTTGTGGGTAAGGGGTGGAAAGGTGGGATGAAAGTTTTCATTTGTTTTTTGAGAAAGGGTCTGTTGCCCAGGCTGACCTCAGCCTCCCTAATAGCTAGGATTACAAGGGTATGTTACCATGTGCTGTGAGAGAGAACTTTACATTTAGAGTGTTTAGAAACAGAATTTTCTCCTAAAGAAATCGCAGAAAAGTTTAGCTGCTCTGAATTAAGGTAGTGGAGGAACAGGGCCTCCTTATGCTGAGTAACACTGGCGGCTGTTTTAAAAGTCCCAGTGAGGTACACTCCAGATGGAATGAGGTGTAGCAATCCTTCTGTGTTCCTTCCTCTGCAACCTTCCCAAGTAATGACTTCCTTTCCCCTCTTGTTCCTCAAACTGCAAGATGTCCACCTGGCCTGCTATTGTCATCCAACATTGGCCCTCTCACCTGCCAGTTTTTGAATCATGCTACCTACTACCATTCCTTAATGTACTTGTCTACATTCTCTCCTATTTTTGACTTGAATCTTAAGATTTAAGTATCTTTTTCTTGACACTGGCCTTGAATTTGAGTTCCCTTGCCTCAGGCTCCCGAGTGCTGGGATTACAGGTGTGCCACCCTGCACACACCTGGCTCTCAGAATCTTCTGTGTTGATCTCTGTGCTTTTTCATCTCCTTGACTTCTGTCTCAGTTATCATGTTTTTCACTCACCATCCTCTGGTTAAACTCTGGACCCATGCTGTCCTGTATGGAGCCCTACCACCTGTGCTTTTTGTAGCAATTCCAGTGTGGGTAGTGTGACAAAGGAACTACTGTTTTTACTTAAAAAATTTTAAATTACCGCTGGTGGAGTGGCTCTAGTGATAGAGTGCCTGCCTAGTAAGCTCGAGGCCCTGAATTCAAACCCCAGTACTGGGGGAAAAATTAATTAAATTTAAAAACTGATAATTCATTTTATGTGTTATTTGAAAATGCAATATCCAGCTCACATTCATTGAGCTCAGCAAATGGATAAAGAGTCTTTAATATCATCTTATAGTCAAATAAGCAAATACCCTGCTGCGTTTTAAATGGCACAGAGGCTCTCATGGTATCTGCACTGTTATTCTTATATCCACTTTTATTCTTATATCCAGGGCCTGTGAAATTTTTATATCTAAAGTGAAAAATGTATGCATACTTTTGTTTTTAGTGTAAGCTTAGTAATTCAGGAAATGTAGAAAGTATAGGCTTTTACACTGGATTGGTTCTTGTGAATCTAGAATCCAGATGAACTCACTGATGCTTCTCTAAATGCAGGACTTTGCTGTGGATGGCTTGGTCAACATAGTGGGTGGGTGCTGTGGCTCGACACCACATCATATCAGGTAACAGTCGCTCCAAAGACTTTTCCTTTTCACACCCACCGAATTGTGCTCCCCCAAGTTATATTGAAGGCCCAATCCCCCTGTAGCTCAGAATGTGACTGTATTTGTAGCTAGGTCCTTAAAAAGTGACCATTGAAGTAGAATAAGAAGGTTCATCCATGACCCAACATTATTGGTGTCCTTATAAGAGAGGACAGATGCACATACAGAAAGAAGGCCACCTACAGACACAGGATGCAATCAGCAAGCTGCAAGTCATGGTAGAGCCTTAGAAGAAAGCAGGGTGACCAACACCTGAGTCATAGGCTTCTGTCCTTCAGATGGTGGCAAAGTATATTTCTGTTGTTGAAGTCATGTTGTATGGCAGCCTAGCAGACTAATGTATCCAGAGAAATAATAAAGCAAGCCTCTGTGCGCCTATCAAAGTTTTGTCATTTTATCTATCTATAGCTTTTTCCTCCTGGAATATTGAAAAGCAAATCCCATATATAATACTCTGACTGTACAGTATTTGATATCTGAAAATACCACAGTATTTTGAAGTAGCATTTGAATGCTTAAAGGACAGCTCATGTTTCCTGTGGGCAGTGCATGGCTCCATTAGAATCTCTTCTGGAAGGAAAGGCAGTTAGGCCTCAGAGGACAAGCATGGAGAGATCAAGACAGGCACTTCACCTGGCGCCATCTTGGCTTAATTTGTGCTGTCTTGTGATTGTGTGTCACGTGAGATGAGAAAGGCTATGTATGGACTTGAATTCCATAGTTTTGTGGCTTATAGGAAGATGAGGTCAGTGGAACAGAGCAGAGCTTAGGACTGTTTGTGTTTGTCCTTTCCCTAGCGTGAGTGAGTGATGGTCATATTTTGAGCCAGTAATCTCACTTTTCTAAGTCTGTTCCACGTGCATGATGTGCTTATGCTATTGAATTGCCTAAAATAGTTCACTGATTTTGCCTTTCTTGACTTCTATGATACTTTTTTTTTGTATAAAACATTTAATTTATTGATCTTTTGGGGGAATTATTACAACTGAGTCTTAATCTTGTGACTTCATCAACATTAACTGGTTCATTTTCATGATGCTGCTGAGGAATCAGCAGCAGAGGAACCTTGCAGAGGTTCAAGAGAAAGGCCTTTTGAGAAATGTGCCATTTCTGTGTGTTTACAGAAGCTTTATTCACTCTTTAATCATCACAGTGTTTATCTTCCTAAGGTTAGTGGTAACTGGTTTTGCTTCATTTTTAACCTTAAAGTTTTTTTGGCTGGCTGTGTGAAATGCATTCTGGGACTTCTGCCCTCTTAGTTCTTGGCCGCTGTCTTAGTTGGAGTGAGGCTTATGAAAATTCCTTGATAGCCATGTGGGAACTGTGACGCTCATAGAAGCAAAAACCTGAACCTGCCAATGCATGGCACCAGGGTTTGGGCCTCGTTTAGTAGGCTCGTTGTCTGGTAAAGCTGCCTGAAGCAGAACGAGACAGAACCGAGCTTTTTGGGCCACAGTAGCATAAGGCTGGCACAGATCTGCCTCAGTCCCTGTAAACTTGAAGCCAGCCTGCTGAAAAATTCCATTTACCTCTCAGCAGTCCTTCCTTACCGTGTGTCTGTGACAGACTCTTAACAAACATAGGGTTCTGTTTTGTCTTGGTGCTGGGAATTGAACCCAGAGTCTTGTGCATGTGGAGAGCACACCACCACTGAGCTACACCCCGGTTTTTTTTTTTAACATCTTTTATATCATGCCTGAAAGCTAGCAGTAGTTGAAGTAGCTTATCTTTGGCTTATAGACTATTTCTCTTTTTTCCAGGTCATTTCCTCTTTGAAAAGGGGAGTTGTTTTTAAATATTTGTATTTATCTTTGTGTGTCTCTGTATTTGTGCTTTTACTTAGACATCCACATACTATTTAGGGGTAGTAGAGTGAGCAGTTCTTCCTGGTCCTGATAAATTTAGTAGAGTTGCCAGGTTTTTTTTCTGGTTGGTTAAAGACATCATTTATTAAGGCTGGCAAGGTTAAAGAGAATATGAATGACGAATTTTGAGGAGTAATTGTTTTGAGATATAAAATGCTTTACAGCTGTGTTCCCTGTTTGGCGTAGCAAAAGTGGAGTGACAGGACCTGGGTCCTCCCACTCCTAGCCCATCTGCCCTGTTTGCTTCTCCTCAAAGTTGAGTCCTTTTTTCAGTTGAACTGTTGAGTTGACACAAGGGCATGTTTTATGTATAGATTTGGTGGCATGAGGACATATGTGAGCTCAAGTAGGTTTACAGTTTGTCTCTGTATAGACCTTTTTGCAGCTCTAGATTCACATCTCTGAGAGCAGAGCCAGTGTTCAGGTGACTGGACAGGCACTTAGAAGCTAAGGGTTTTAGATTCCTTGTCTGTGTACTGAGAAAAGTAAAAGGTGATTGCTGCTGCACATGCAGAAGTATATAATTATGCATAGTTATGTTAAATAAACTTAATTCATAGCTGGATATTACTTTAAATTTCTTTTATTCTGAATTAATGAATATAGTGTTTTCTCTTAACTCAGGGAGATTGCTGAAGCTGTAAAAAATTGTAAGCCTAGAGTCCCACCTACTACTGTTTTTGAAGGACATATGTTACTGTCTGGTAAGTCATGAAGATGGGTGGTTATGATTTTGGGAGCCATTTATAGAATGTATCAGTGTGATGATTCTAAGTGGTAGTGGTGTTTGTGCCAAATGTCTTGTTCATTAGGTCAGAGAAGAGTACATACTTTTCTTGGCACTTGATGAGTTCTAGGGAAGAATGCTTTGTTTTCTAGGGTGGACAATAACAGCTTCAGGGTAAATGCGAATTAAGGCCCAGGTGATGGTTCCTATGAGAATTCTGGGGTCTTTTTTGTTTGTTTGTAGCTATTGTACACTGACATTTATTTATTTATTTGGTTAGACTGAGGTGAACTTTGGGCTTTGCGCTTGCAAAGCAGGTGCTCTACCACTTGAGCCACTCCTCCAGTACATTTTGCTCTGGTTATTTTGGAAATGGGGAGGTCTGTCAAACTATTTGGCCAGATTGGCCTCCAACCACAGTTTTCCTGATCTCTCAACCTCCCAAGTAGCTAGGATTACAGGTGGGAACCACTGGTGCCCAGCTTATTGTACACTGTTTTAAAAACACGCTTGGCCACGGCCTAAGATTTTTAATTGCCAAGGCTCATTGTTGGTAATGGTATCAGCTTCTTCCTGGGGAATTTCATTTGCTTCCAAAACATTATTTGCCATATGTTTGGGACTTTTCAAAGAGTTGTATTTATTTTCTATTTGTTTCTCAACAACTCTGTGAATAGTCAGCCTCCTTTTTCAGCCATGTGTTTTGATATTCAAACAAGGAATGCTAGGAAAATCCATCCTGCCAACTGTTAGAAAATAATGTTTATATTTTTGCCTCAATTAGTGAAGTATTAGAGAGTGAGTTTAAATAGAAGAGTACATTTTTTTAAGAGAAATTGTACATAGCACTTATGGGGAATTGCATAGTAGCTTACAGTTTCACAGCTCTTTAAAAGGAAATAATGTTGTTATGTTATCGTGAGAAAATCAAAATAAACTTCAAGTGATAACAAGAGTAATATCAACTTTTCTGAGTCAGAATTAAAACTTGAGTGAGTGAGTTTGAAGTTAATAAAAATACATCTTCAGACCACCCTTTTCTATTTATGCTCCATGAGGCAGAGGATGAATTAGGAGAAGTGAGATTTATGATTTGGGGTAGATAGAGTGGCTTTGTCAGAGAGAAGCAGGGCAGGAGCATTTATTTCATCCCTGGAGGTCAAGGCTGTGTGTCACTTTAGCTGAGCACTTAACAAAGTATCCAGCCTTTGCCAGAATCAAGACAGCCATTTACATAGCATGTTTTAGAATTTATTTATAAGAATAACAAGATGCTTTTTCTCCAGTTTGAATTTCATAACACTGTTTCTAAAAGTTCTTTAGCATTCACCTTAAATTTTGTGTGACATGAAGCATGATTCGTTTTCTTTCTTTTTTTTTTTTTTTTTTACCTTTTTTTATTGTATTATTGTAATGGGGTACATTGTGACATTTACAAAAATTCTAACAACATGTCATAGTTGAATTCACCCCCCCCATCATTCTCCTTTATCTTCCCTCCCCCCATTCCTTGAATAGTTTTAGCAGGTCTCATTTTTCCATTTTCATTCATGAGTGTGTACTATTTCTACCATATTCACCCTCATACACCCTTTCCTTATATCCTCCCCCTTCTCACTGGTACCAACCCCCAGACAGGACCTGTTTTACCTTCCTGTTCTCCATTTTTGAAAAAAGACATTTTTGTTGGTTTAAGATAGTTATGCAGGGAATTTCATTGTGATATTTCTATCTATCTATCCATCTATCTAGATGTAGATATATTATAACCAGAATTTGTTCATGCCCTCTGTTTTTCTCCTTTCTATCTTAAGTCCACTTCTTATAGTAATTTCAATGATTTAAAGATTCTACATTCATTCTTTTTTTTGTTTTGTTTTGTTTGGCAGCATGGGATTTGAAGTTAGGGCTTCATGCTTGCTAGGCAGACACTCTTCCACCAGCCTATATTCATTCTTGTATGGAAAGTACATCAGCTGTATTCACTGAAGCATGCTTTCTTTATTTGTTCTTTAAATGGCACTTGATAGAAGTGCTGCTTCTGTATGGGGTACTTTACATTCACACTGGATTAGAAGCACTTTGTTGCAGTGCTGTTAGTGGTCACATGGGTACTCTTAAAGGTTAGCATCCCCGCTCCTGTCCAATGAATCTCCAGGTTGACCTAACAGTCAGGGCTACTGGAAGAGAAATCACAAGCCCAAACTGGAAAGTGATTATTTTGTGATTCGGTGAGCAAAAAGCCTGGAGTAGTGTTGTAATAACCCAGCTTATCTCATTATTTTCCTTCTCTTCATCTCTGTTTCTTCCTCTTCCGATGCCCTGGCAAAGGAATCATGAGCCATTTTCTTTTATTAACAACAGCACTGGTTGCTGGTGCTAAGTTTGTGCTGATCAACATTGCCCAGCCTCATTTGTACAATAACAGTATAAGGCAGGGACTTTACTGTCCCTGTTTTATAAACTCAGAGGCTGTGTGTGGAGACAGTTGCCTCAGGTTGTGCAGTCAGGTAAGTGTTCTGAACCCAAGGCTGCCTGTCCCGAGAGCCAGCCCACAGCCATCCAGGAAGACTGCTCCTCTTATTACTGTAGAAATAACGTGTAGGACGGAGGCAGTTCAGAGCATTTCCGTAGGGGTGCTTAGTATACCGTGTCCACATGTGTTACTTGACACTTGCCCCTGAATTGACCTGTGTCAGAGGAGATGGTATTACTCCTTAGCAGACAGGGAAATAGGTGCCAAATGCCCAGTAGCTTGCCTTGGGCAGCTCATTAATGAAGGACTTGCCACAGTGACTTCTGTCTCCTGGGTGTCCACCTGGGTCCCTTCTGGGTCCCTGGTTTAGCCTAGCTGGTTATGGGTTCTTGATCTCTAGATCAAAGAGATGAAGTCTACCAGAGCTGTTGGTGGGATCAAGAGAATTTACTCCTTCTGGCTTTAAGCCGATGTATGAGCAGACAGCAATGGAACAATCCTTTCTCTCATTCATTCTTTTCTCCTTCCTTCTCTCCCTTCCCCACTATCTTTCTTTCCTTCTTTTCTTCTTTTTATTTTTTTTTCCAAACAGGGTCTTACAGTGTCATCCAGGTTCACCTGGAACTCACTATGTAGCTTGGACTGGCTTCAAACTCAAAATCTTAAAATCCTCCTCTCTTAGCCTCCTGAGTGCTGGAATTATAGGCAGTACCACCACACCTAGCTCAATAATTCTCTTTTTATTCTAACTTCTTCATGACTTTTGCCCCCAGACTCTTGGTTAAATAAGAATATGATGGTAGTGTTTCTTCTTTCTAAGAGATGGTATGGTTCAACCCATTGGGATATTCACAGTATAAATCCCTGTGGTATTTCTTCCTTTTGGAATTTTGGTTCTAAATGTGGCTGCAACAAGTGGCCTTTGTTACACTTGAGTCTCCCTAAAGGAGGTCGTATCCTTTTTCCCTATTGGCTCTCCCGTGTGCTCAGATGAGCTTTGGCATAGAAACTTCTTTCTTACTGAAAACATTTGTGTCCTTCTCATGTCACCCAAAGGATTTTTTAGGAAATTTTCAAATGCTTTTCCTTTCAAGGTCTACAGGCCTTCCAGATTGGACCGTACACCAACTTCGTTAACATTGGAGAGCGCTGTAATGTGGCAGGATCCAGGAGGTTTGCCAAACTCATCATGGCAGGAAACTATGAGGTAAACATTTCATGAGACCCCAGAGCCCTGCCCTGTGCTTGGCTAGGCCGCATGTCACTGAGCCGCACTCTGCCCCTGGTAGTGCTGTTAGCAGAGCTGCTAGACAGTGTGTGAAGACAGTAATGTGTTCGAAGCGTGGGCCTATGGGAGGATGAGGCTTGGAGAAACTGGAGCTGCTCTTGTCAGTAATTGTCAGAGTACTGCATTTGGAGCATGAGGGAAATGAAATCTAGGTTCTAGCTGTTAATTGTTAAGTAAGAAAATGCATTTTATGTTGGCCTGTCAGAAATCGTTCTAGGGAATGGAAAAGCCAAGAAAATTCCTACTCACTTCTTCCCAACCACATAAATGCTGATTGATGAAGGTATAGACTGAAACCAACTAACAAAAGAGATAAACCCATGCCTTGGGAAGTTTGTGTGATGGTTTTAGCTATGGTTTTTTATTGTGCTGTGGGGATGGAACTGGCCTTGCTCATGCCAGTTAAGTGCTGTCTACCGCTGAGCTACATCCTCAGCCCAGCCATTGTGTTTTAAGCTTGGTCACTCAGTGAATGAGCAAAACTTGATGTATACACAGCCTGCCTAAGACATCTTGATCAAGTTTGTTTTTTTGCAGGTAACCAAGTTGAAAATGGCTGAATTTGGTTTGAGTTTTAATGATGGTTAATTTTATCATCCACTTTTCTCACTTTAAGGTTTTGAAACCTTAAGGAAATAGATCTTCCAGAAACTAGTATCAAAGCAGATTTAGTTTTCATCAAACAGAAAATGACCCATTAACCTCCCTCTTTGGACGTGTTAATTACTCTTCATGGTGTCCCAGAGTTGTGTCTCTCAGTGCAGGGCCTTGTTCCCTGGTTCCTTATCTGTTGGTCCCCTTCCCTTTATTCTTGTTACTCCTCTTTGTTGCTGAGTTTCCATCTTAGCTGTCCTCTGAGTTTAAAAGTTCTGCAGAGCAATGTTTTCTGCATGCAGGATATAATCCTTCTGTCTTCCACCTGGGCCTGGAGCCTTCCCACATGATCTGTCATCCGTGCGTTCTGGAGGTTTGCTTCTGCTCCGTATCTTGGCTCGTTGTGCCCTTCTGATGCACTAATGGATGTGCAGGTCTCCTGGTCATGTGGCGTTGTGCTCTGTAATTATAGCAGGGCTTCTACTTCTGTTTTCATTCTTCTGCTCATTCCGTGGTGTCCCTTTCAGCTCTTGAGTTGATGGACTTGACACTGGGAGCAGAGATCACTTTAGGAAGAAGCAAACTGGTGGATGTAATATCATTAAACCATGGCTTTCTGTGTGCCAGTCACTGTGCTGAGCATCCTGTCATTGCTCACTTAATCTTCACAGCCCATGAATAGGACAGTTCGTTGTCATCCCCATTTTACACATGTGGGAGGGGCAGCTTGGGGAGGTTAAGTTATTGGCCTGTTGTTTCACAAGTCAGTAATTGATGGAACCAAGTGCAGGTCCGTGATCACCCAGCTGCCTCTGGTGGAAACAGTAGAAGGGTGCAGTACATGCAAGCAGGGACAGTGGAATGGGTTCTCATTTGAATCTAGCATTCCTTACTCAGTGATCCCTCACTGCTATGTGGTTTCATGGAGAGAGCACTGACCTGAGAGCAGTGCCAGTCCAGCCTTCTTGCTCAACTCAATTCATCTTAAAAGAAGCCATGTCACATCTCTGAGCTTGTTTTGGAAGGTTTAACCTTTAAATCATTATTCCATGACCGATGAAATAGGTCAGGTATTGGCATCTCCATTTCCCAGGTCTTCTGTTCTCTGTTGCTTACCTTGTCTCTCTCTCTGCTTCCTCAGTCTCTCCCCCAGTGGCTGGCTGAGGACTTTCCCTCAGTTGGCTCTCTTCATTGATGAGAGAATTTCACTTTCTAAATAATTCTAGGTATTTGACTTGGACCTTGAGTGGCAGTTCCCAGTAATTTAATGTGATTGTGTCATGTACCCCCAACTAGATGTAAACCCTTCAAGAATAGGGATTGTGAGTTATGCCTCTTTTTGTTTTTTGGTGCTAGGGATCGAACTCAGGGCATGATGCATGCTAGGCAAGTGCTGAACCACTGAGCTTCACTCCCAGCTCTGAGAACTTTATTTTGATTTGCCAAATTTGTGATTGTTTTTCTCTGTGTAAACTTGGCTCACTAGTAATTGTGTTTCCTGTGGCATATGCCAGAGGGCTTCATGCCTGTTCTGTCACAATGACTGATAAAAATTCCTATTGATTTTCTTGGACTAAGAAAAAATCAGGACAACGTCAGCATCTGTTGTTGATTTTATCCTTGCTTATTTTGTTGCACTGTGAAGTATTCAGTGAAGACAGTTGGCAAGTAATATAAACATGAATATTTTGCCACTAGGAGATAAATAAGACCTTTCTTGGTTTTCAGATACTCCAGATTTATTTGGAGGAATAAACTAGTGCTCAGAAAAGCCATGAGGAAAGGACATGATAAACCTTGTGATGTTGGTGTTAAGAGGCCACGGGTCACTCTGTTCTTGGAGAGTTGCAGTACCAAAGGAGTCTTCCAGTATGAAGATGTGCTGAAATTTATCTCACATTTCTTTTCATGTGATTTGGATTAATAGCCCATGAGAAATACTTTGTAAATTTTGGCAAACACTAAAGAATTACATGAATTTTGAGTAGTTTCTCTAAGGACCTTTCTTAAAGGAGATGGAAGCAGTGTGGAAAGGTAGAAGCTTTTGTTTCAAGCAGAGGGGTCACCTGATCTGTGGCACGGAGCTGGAAATGTGCTTGGCTAGGTAAAGAGTCCAGTGGGGACCAAGTGGGAATTTCATTTGAGTGAAGAGGTGGAGTTAGCTTAAGGGTTTTGATCACTAGGCTGAGGAGTTTAGCTTCTTTATGTTAGGAAGACAGCCTTGCTGGATTCCAAGTAGTGAAATGATGTGATGGGAAAAATGTGAGAAAGCTTAATCTGTGGTGAGTGCTGGTAGTGGGGCAGGGCCAGAGTCGGGGTCTGCTAGGTTTAGTCTGGCACAGTTAGAACGAACCACTGGGGGTGGTGAAGGATTACTTTTGTTAGCCTGCTCTGAGTTACTGTCTTCCTCTTGCATTCCTTCCTCAGGAAGCCCTGAGCGTTGCCAAAGTGCAGGTGGAAATGGGAGCCCAGGTGCTGGATATCAACATGGATGATGGCATGCTGGACGGTCCAAGTGCAATGACCAGATTTTGCAACTTTATTGCTTCTGAGCCTGACATTGCTAAGGTTGTACAGTGTTTACTGTGTGTAATGTGAGGGAATGTACTCCACTTGCTATGTCAGTCTTTTAGCTTTGTTACTTGTTTCACAGATCTGTGCACCATAAAACTGCCTTTCTGATTTCTTACATTGAGCACACAGTGGCTTCTGATTGTCAGCTTTCTTAACTAATGGTAACCTTTCCAACGTAAGGCAGAGTTTGGGCAGAGATTCAACTTCAGGTTAGCTGTTTCCAAGACTTCTAAGATTGATCATGAGCACTGATGTTCTCACGTGTCTGGACAAATGAGAGCCACCTTCCACAAGTTGGAAAGATGTACTTACCTGTTCTGCCACACTGGTTCCATTCTTGCCATGGCCAAGCGAACTCAGTTAGCCCATCTTTCCTGTAGGAAGAAGGGACCCTGTTAGGCTTATCAGAATAAGACAGCGACATAAAGAAGGGTGAAAGCAAGGTCAGTTTTAACATTTGTTCTTCAAAAAAGGTGAATGTTAATTTTTGTATCAGCCTTTAACAAATTTTAGAGGGACTCTAAAAACTTTAAAGACATTACTTCATTTTTTTGGTCATTAAATCTGATGAGAAGTGAATTTTGAAGTTGTTTTGGTTTTTTGCTGGTACTAGGGTTTGAGCTCAGGGCGTTGCACTTGCTCAGGCAGATACTCTACCACTTGAGTCATGCCCCCAGCCCAGACTGTCAGCTTTTTATTAGGCATCAGCAAATGCTTTCTTAAGTTGGACGTCTTAAGTAAGCACTGTATTATATTCATCCATATTCATTACTGAAAGCCTCACCATTTCCTGGAGTAAACTTTTTGAGATTTTTAGGGGCAGAAAAGCTCAGTGGCCTTTTTGAAGTTGGTTCATAGTGGGCCTAAGGCTGGCTCCTCTCAGCTTTTGCTCCTGGTGTCTTCCTTATTTCTCAGATGGCTGGTCATACCTGCTGTACTTGATTCATGAACTGTAATGATGAAAGTGCCTTGTCAATTATGAAGGCCCTCAGGTAATAGAAGAGTTTATTACTTTGTGTTCTGATTGCCACAATAATTTTTCTTTCTTACGTTTCCTGGTTTTGATCTATCACTGAAATTTACTGGAGGCCAAATATTAGTCAATTGGGGTAGAGTATTTAAAATGTTTTTCTAGGACCTGGAGTGGTGGGTCACACCTATAATCCCAGCTGCTTAGGAGGTGGAGGTAGGAGGAGTGCTTGCCTACAAGTGCGAGGACCTGAATTCAAACCCTAGGACTGCAAAAGCAAAACGAACAAAAAGTTTTGTTAGCACATTTTCATCCATAGGGTGAAATACTTGAGACAACAAACTCTTAGCAAGCTCTTTAAAACACTGGTTTGCTTTCACCATTCCATTGGACTATTTTTCCTAGCAAACCTTGTCATAAGGAGAAGCAAAATCAGCAGAGTTCTTGTTCTTTTTTGCTGACTTTGGAGGGGTGGCTTAGGGAATCGCTGACTGCACACTTAAATGTATTCTGCCCTGAGAGATGTTCCTGAATTCACCTCTCCCTTCCTCCCTTTCATACACAGGGTTTGGAGCCTGAGCTCTGCATTCGTGGCAATCTGTGTGTGCTTCAGGTGTGCTAGCATTTACTGTACTCACGTCATTTATCTCTATAGGCTTGGTGAAGCCAGGGACCTGTCTGCCACACCATTGTCCCTGTATGGAACCTAACGTGGCAGGCAGTGATTTATTGACTGCTTTCAGTGGCGGGGCCTTGGTCAGCTGTCCTGCTTCATTTCTTTGTACTAATCACATCCTTCCTCTTGCAACAGAGGCATGGCTAGAAAGGAACCTGTTCTCATTTGCACGTTGCAGTTTTGTCCTTTATTTTAGTTATATGCGTTTGTTGAGAATTAGATCTACTTTTCTTTCTAATAATAAAACTTATTTAAAATGTTTCTCACTCAGGAACTTTGAAATTTTTTTTTTTTTTTTTGTGGTACTGGGGTTTGAACTCAGGGCCTTGTGCTTGCTAGGCAGGTACTCTACCACTTGAGCCACTTCACCAACCCTTTTTTGTACTGAGTATTTTTGAAATAGGGTCTTGAGAACTGTTTGCCTGGGGCTGGCTTTGAACTGCGATCCTCCTGATCTCTGCCTCCTAAGTTGCTAGGATTACAGGTGTGAGCCACCAGCGCCCAGCTAGGAGCTTGATTTTCTGTAGGGAAAATTGAGTTTGGATCTTTGTTAGAGGACTGTTCCCAAAGGCCATATGCTCAACATTAATCCCTGAATACAACAAGGAATGTCTGAATCCCATTTGATGTATTTGCCTTGGGGTTTAGGTGTTTGAAAGTGTAAACTGGTACTGAAACCAATGAACTGATCTCACTGATTCCATTCTGGTCTTTGGGTAATAAATCCTGCTCCATGCATGTATTTTTTGGCAAGCTGAAATTACTCCCTGTATTTTCGGCTTTAGGCTTCAGCAAGTATATTCAAATTCTGTCCCTAATACACTATGATTATTTATTGGAGTCTACTTGGGAGCCCTTGGGAGGGTCTTGTGACTCGTGGCTGCGGCCTCTCTGTGGTCCTGCCCTTCTGCTTCAGGTACCCTTGTGTATCGACTCTTCCAATTTTGCTGTGATTGAAGCTGGATTGAAGTGCTGCCAAGGGAAGTGCATCGTCAACAGCATCAGTCTAAAGGAAGGGGAGGATGACTTCCTGGAGAAGGCCAGGAAGATTAAGAAGTTTGGAGCTGCTGTTGTGATCATGGCTTTTGATGAAGAAGGACAGGTGAGTGATTTCTGTTGGCCTAGCTCCATTGCATCACCCAGTTGAGGTGGTAGTGGGAGAAAACAGAGCCTGGAATACCTCTGTGTCTATGAACATGCATACAAACATACATATACATAACATGTATTTATATGAAAATTTGGAGAAAGGTTGAATTACTCAGTAAATGCTATCAGGACAATTGGTTATACCTTTGGAAGAGAAAGGGCCCTGTTTTAAACCATTTTGTCCTGCTATAAAAGAATACTACAGACTTGGTAATTGTAAACACTAGGAGTTTATTTTGCTCTCAGTTCTGGAGGCTGGGAAGTCTGAGACTCAGAGACCAAATCAGGTGAAGGCCTTTGTAACAAACCACTCTCCAGTTGAGGAGCCCTCTGTGATGACAAGATGACTCCATTTGTAAAGGAAGAACCCTCCTGACCTCATCACCTTGTAAAGGCTCTTGCTCTCAGCACTAGCCTCTTTCCTACCATATACCAAAGTAAAGTCTTCATCAATTAAAGATTGAAGTGCAAAAGTTCTGAAGAGCATAGAGGAAAACTTTAGGTGTAGAAAATGTTCTTAATTTGAGGCCAGAAAGAAAATTGATAGATCTATCTACATAAAAATGTAAAACTTTATATGGTGAAAGACTCGGTATATCTGCAACATTCCTTATTTGCAGAGCTTTTATAAGTCAGAGCAAAACAATCCCAATCAGCAACAGAAAAATGGACAAAGGAAACGAGAAGCAGTTTGTAGAAAAGGGAGTACAAATACACAATAAAACTATGAGAAGATACTGAGTTTTGTGATGATTAAAGAAAAGCTTCAGTTTTTATTTACTTTCTACAGTGATTCAGGATTTAGTTCTTAGCATTCCCTTTCCCCACTCCCTACATCTTTATTTTTATTCTCCATCTCCCAGTGTGGTTCATTTTAGTTGTAACTAGTTTCCATGCTTACATATTGTGTAAAAGCTGACCCACGCAGTGCACTGTGATTGTTTTCCTCTTCTACAATGCTTGTCTTTCAGGGTTAATACTTGGCCTTGTTTCCTATTCATTTTACCTTCAGATTGTCCACTAGTTGTATAACTCTCCAATATTCAATGTGTCCAAAACACATTAAGTGGGCTGTCATTTGTCTCCTCCCCTCTCCTTCCCTTCTTTTCCTTCTCATACCTTGCTCCTCCTCCTCTCTCATACCTTGCTCATGTTAGGCACGTGCTCTGCCTGGTGAACTACATCCCCAGACCTGTTATCTGAATTTCTTGAAGCATTCTTTGAGTCTTCTGGCAGGACCTGGAAAGGCTGACTGTACCGCTGTCATTATGAGGTGTCCCTCTTTCCTATCTCTGAAGTGTTTAGATTTCTGACTCCCTTATTCTTGGTTAACACCTCATTTGGTAGAATGTCTCCCAGCTCCCTGGCAGCTTCTTGTGAAAGAAAAAAAATGACAGTGAATAATTTTAAGATCTTATATGTCTGCAAATGGCTTTATTCTCCTGTTGTACTTTATTGATAATTAGATTGGTAAAACAGTACAAGTTCAAAATTGTTCTCTGTTTGAAAAGTATTGGTCCATTGATCCTGGTTTCCACTGGTTCTGGTGAGAAGTCCAATGCTGTTCTAACTGTGTTTTGGTGTGGGCAATAAAGAATGCAGCTGTTGAGACAGGAAGGACAGCAAAGAGCCGGACAAGTCTGGCTTTGGATGCACTATGTTTGCAGTGGGTATGTTGAGCATGCAATTGCACAGTGAATCTGGGTTTCATGGGCAAAGCCTGGACTTATAATAGGATTCCCTTACTTGAGAATTATTTGTGCATAGATAGTATTAATAGCGAGAATGACTGTGCATATCAAGGAAGTAAGAGAAGTCTTAGGACCGAGTGAGTCTTGGAGCTGTAGTGTTAGTGGCTGGGGTGGGTAGACAGTATCAGAAGGATGTAGGAAGAGCAGTCTGTTTGGTAGGAGGGGAGCCAGAAGGATGCTTCACTTGGAAACCAAGTGAAGAACAAGCTTCACAGGGAAGGGCATGATCAGCTATTTAAAGAACTGTGATAGATCAAGTAGGATGAGACCAAGAACTCACTATTGAATTTAAATGGGTCATTTGGGATCTTCCTTTACTATTTCCTAGGAGACATGAGCTTTGTTGGGAGGGCCTTAAGAGACACTGGGGGAGCAGTTCTGCCAGAAAGGGGACCAGAGAAACGGGGTGGAAACCAAGGTAGGGATCTTTAAGGTTAAGAAAGGGTGTGTATAGGTCACATACAGCATGTTTGTGTAAGCTCACGAGCGTGATCTGGTGGGGGTGGATTGATGCAGTAGAAAAAAGGAGCATTTGTTAGATCCATGACCTCGTGAGTCCAGAGGGGTGGCAATCAACATGCAAGTGGATCAGGAGCTGAGCAGTCCACTGACAGCATGGGAGAGGAGCAGATGAAGTGTACACATCTGTATGCATGCTGGTTAGTGTGCTTGTGTGAGTCTGGTAGCATGCTTTCTCAGTGAAGTTGGAAGCAGGGTCACCTCAGTGAAAATAGGATGTTGTGTGCTTCAGGGATCTTCAGTGTTCAACTGGGAGTGTAAAGCAGAATCTATCTGCCTGATAAGGAAGGACAGAGTCGGTGGGACCCACCACTTCTCTGGACACTAGCCCTTGAGGTTCTGACTCATTTGGTCTGGGATAGGGCCTGGCTTCAGTCACTTAAAAGCTTACCACATCATTCTCATACGTACTCTGGGTGAAAACCACCAGCAGGGTTTAGCTTATTTGGTCACCTCCAGCTGTCATGCCATTTCACAGTGACCCACCATCATGTTTGGGACATGATAAAACCGAGTTTCATCCCTGGTTTGCCTAGTTTGAAGACTGACATCTGATTCCAAATTCAGTGTCATATCCCTTCTCCAATGCTTTGTTATTAACACTTCTTCATGCTTTATCCCATTTAAGGACAGATTTTCCCAACTTAGATTTGAATGTGACTACAAGTGAATAAATAGGTTGGGAACAGAGTTCAGTGGTGGAGCCAGCACTTGCCTGGAAACTAATCCCCAGCACGGAGGAAAAACCAAAAACAAATCATAGGGGGAAAAAAAAAGTCTATTTGACTTGCTAGTTATGAAAGAAATGCAAGCTAGAGCAACATCGTGGTCATATTTTACTTCTACTGAATTTATGGAAGTAAGCCAGGCATGGTGGTGCCATGTGTAACCCCAGCACCTGGGAGGCTGAAGCAGGAGGATCAGGAATTTGAGGCCAGCTCAGGCTGTAAAGCAAGTTTGAGTCCAGACTGTGCTGTATAGCAACACCTTGCCTCAAAAAACAAGCAAAAACATTCATGAAAGGGAACTTAAAAAATGATTAAGGTGGGTGCAGGTAGAGCAGGTGTAAAACAGAAAGCCTCCAGATTGTAGCATGTCTTATAAACTGGTATAGACCTTTTGGGGAAAAAAAAAAATATCTAACACCTGTCAAGAGACATAAAATTGTTCATGTCCCTTGAGCTAATTAATTATCTCACTTCTGGGGAATTATGCCAACAGAAGAATTTAACATAATAGCATAAGAATACTGTATGTGCAAAGATTTTATACCAGTAGTCTTGGAAACAGTAATAACCCAAGTGCCAAGTGATCATTCTACTGGAATATTATCCAGAGTATTTAAATATGCAAGTGTGGAGTAGCATGTGTGTCCATTGTCAATTTGTTCTCAGTATTCAAAGTTAAAAAGAGCAAAGCACAAAATTCATATACCCCAGAGTTCAGAATCGAATATGGATGTTGTGGTTATGTAGGCATGTCTTCATCAGGTGAGTTCTCCTAGTGCTGCTGGATGTAGCAGTCAGGATTAGCTTTGCTTGGATGATACCACCGAATCCAAGGAGAAAGCCACTCCTTGAAATGGAGAACCACTGTTGCAACCAGAGAAAGCAGAGGAGCTTGGAGCTCACATTTGCTTTGCTTCTGTATCTGGCTGCTTTCTTTGGGTCTTTGGTTTATGTTTGAGGTCCAGTGTGACAGAGAAGACTGCCTCTGAGACTTCTGGATTGAAAGGCAACTAGGAAACATTTATGTGTTTTTTTGGTGTTAGTTTTGATACACTATCACCATTATTATTTTATTTCAAGTCAATTTGAATGTTTATTTTTATTTTTTGGCAGTACTGGGGATTGAATTTAGGGCCTCACACTTTCTAGACAGGGGATCTACCATTTGAACCATGCCCCAGTCCTCAACTATTATTTTTAACACCACATAGCAAAGTTTAGGATACCTTTATTAATAAATAAATTAATAATAAAAGAATAGTAGAGAAAATAATTTACCACTGCTGTCTAGATTTAGTTCTTTTCTAATTGAAATTATTTTGGTATGTCAGATTTTGATAATATGGAGATTGTTAAAGTATAATTAAGTATAATACCAGAATGGACTGTACTATCTTTATATATGTACAAGCTATAGAATATCATCCCATAAGTGCATCCATTACATACAAAACATTTTCCTGTGTTAAAATGATTTTTAAAAAATTCCAATTTATGGAGACTTAATCCCCAGGGGACATTGATTGAATTTAATTCAAACCCACAAAATAGTGAAGAATTAGTGTCTTGCTACAGTTCAGATTTGTTTTTGGGAGCCATGGAATGTCTTTCTAGGTAGGCACTCTACTGCATGACCTACTCCTCCAGCTCTTTTTGTTGTTGCTGTTGTCCTGCTTCACCCTCTTGGGGTCTCATGAACTATTTGCCTGGGCTGGCTTCGAGCCTCGATCCTCCTGATCTCTGCCTCCTGAGTAGCTAGGATTACAGGTGTGAGCCATGAGCGCCCAGTTGTAGTTTCTTTTAAATAGTGTCTCAAAATCATTCCTAGGTATCTTGTATTGGTTTATTATTGTCACACTTGGCTTTTCCTTTGGTACATATTTTTCCTTTGGTAGTGATTTTTAGATTTTTATTTCATAATCAGCCCCTTCATTGAATTTGGGTGAATTGATGCTTTCCAGTTGAGAGTCTTGGATTTTTGTGTAGGTTGTAGCTGTTGTAAAGTAAATAGTTCTCAGAGACGCAAGTCAATAGCTTTAGTTTTCCTTTGTTTTACCTTGCAAAAAGCAAATTGACCTCATATTTCTTTTTCTGATCTCCTTTAGACTTTGCTAAAACCTGACACCTACTTTTGCATTTCAGGCCCCTCCTTTTTAGTGGCTTCAAATAGATCACCACTCCCTGGGTAAGATGACATGATTGTTTCTATTCTTGGGTCTTTCATTAAAAGATGGCTTATATTTAAATTTTTTGTAGGCGACATACTCAGATTACCTTCAGAGACCATGTTTTCTGGCAGAAGTGTGAGGGGTATGAGGTCTCCAAGCTTCTGCTGGCACCACACCTCTAGGCCTGAGATTTCAGTGTCCCATAGAAAGAAGAGCCCAGCAGACGGGTGGCATTCTCCCAAGCTCAGTGTCCCAGCTCCCTGGCATGCTCCTGCATTTCCCTCCCCGAATAAGAACTGAGTGGGTTCCTTTTGCCGTGGTTAGAATGTGATGGCTTATCCGACCTGAATATTTGGCCTTGCGGAGAAGGGTCTTTCTGTAAGCAGCTTAAAAAGGCTGAATCTCCTGTCACTGGTTCTCATGCTGGCACAACAGAAGCAGCACTGGGGCTCCTAAAGATACTGTGGATGCAGCCTGCCTTAAGAGTGGGATGCAGCTGGTTATCAGTGAGGTATTAATATTCAAATAGACAAGCAGACATCTTCCAGGTTATTGTGATACACACCCAAGGCTGAGAGCCCTTCCAATTTTGTTGAATTTCTGTCTGGATGTATGAAATTCCCAAGTATGATTGAGACTTACCAGCATGTTTGTGTCTCAGCCCTGGCTGAGGAGTAAAACAGAGGACCTTGGAGAACTTAGTCTGCTAGGACCCATTCCTGGCAGAGGCCTATATGCCAAAGCTTTGTTCTTTCTGAGACCAGTTTGTTTTTCAGTGGACAGAGGCTGAGTGTTCATGTGACATGCACAATTTGACAAGGGTCACAGCCTTAAAGAGGTTATAGTTGGTGACTCTGCTTTGGCCCTAGAAATGAACTCCTATCCCATGAGCTTACTCCTGAATGTCCCCACGCGGTGTTGCCTGTGGTACACTGCCAGACCCCACAGCCCCACTCTATGTACAGAACTTATTCAGCGTGCTGAACTTGGCCCGAGAGCATTTATGGCTCAGAGACAGAAATGACCAGTGCCATGGCTTCATTTGCCAGCCTCGCTGGGTTGCTGAGAAACACCAGTAGCACTGGCAGCTTTCTGCTTTAGTGAGCCTCACTGGGTCTGAAACTAGAGCCTCAGGCTCTATTGGGCCCTAAGTTGAAGGGCGAACTGAAGTCTAAGATGAAATGCAGCTTGCAAGTAGCTAAGATTACAGGTATAAGCCACTGGCACCTGGCGTGAAAGTTTGATCTTAGAACGTTTCCATGACAAAGTTCAGAAATGCTTTGAGTAAAAGCAGCATTTATTCATTCATTCCTTCAACAGATAATACAGAACACACTCTGACAGGCCCTATCCAGTGTACTGGTGATACAGTAAGACTGATGTAGCTAGCAGGAGATAATAATTAGTAATAAAACAACCAATAATCAAAATAATAAACAAGTTGTTCTAATATCTGGAAAGGGAAGAGGTGGTTGGGAGAGAATGGTTAAGGCAGGTTATGAAAAGGGACAATGGGCCAGGTCCCTGTGAGATGTGAAGCACAATGCCAGGTCTTGCTATGCTCTGGGCAGTGGCAACAATAAATGGAAGGCTCTGAGGTGGCAACAAACTTAGCAGGTTTGAGGAATGTCACAGGAGTGGTGTGGGAGAGGGGAGTGGAGTGGAGGAAGGGACAAATGGTAGAACATGGCTGGAGATGGGGGCCCTGATGGAGGACTATGGAAGCAGCTGGGAGGACAACCTTGCTGGAGTCTGTTTTGCCTTCTAGGCACTCTGTTAAGAAGGATGACACTAAGTTGTGTTTGTTAAAAAGTCAGTACTGTGGAGGGTCACGTGGAGAGTAAGTACATGTGGTTGAGTCTACGTAGAACGTTACTGCAGGAAGACCCAAGGAAGCAGTGGCAGCACTGTCTGCACACTGCAAGCAGGTCAGCAGAGGGAGGGACACAATTTTTTAATCTACTTATTGGTAGTGTTTGAATTTTTATCACACAAGTGTATTTTAGAAGCCTGTTTATTAATACTTTTTTTTTTTTTTGTGGTACTGGGGTTTGAACTCAGGGCTCACCTTGAGCCACTCTGCCAGCCCTTTTTTTGTGATGAGTATTTTTGAGACACGTCTCATGAACTATCTGCCCAGAATGGTTTTGAACTGTGATCCTTCTGATTTCTTCCTCCTGAGTAGCTGGGATTACAAGCGTGAGCCACCTGATCAGTAAATCACTTACGTGTGCATGGAATTTGTTTTTTGCATAAGTTCTATGACAGTTGCGTTGATGAAAACAGAAAGAGATCTTGAAACTGGTTTCTTCTTTGAGATAATTTGATAAATGTTTAGAGATGGTTTGATAGCTGGATTTCTATGAAATTCGAGCACTGAGATTTGAGTGCTTTCATCAAGTGATAATGCTTTGTTTCTGTGTCACATAGGCAACAGAAACAGACAACAAAATCAGTATCTGCACCCGAGCTTACCATCTCCTTGTGAAAAAATTGGGCTTCAATCCAAATGACATCATCTTTGACCCCAACATCCTCACCATCGGTACTGGGATGGAAGAACACAACTTGTACGCTGTCAATTTTATCCATGCAACCAGAGTCATTAAAGTAAGTCTGCATATTTTTTCTCAACCACCCAGTACATCACATGGATCTAGTGAATGATTAGAGCTGGAACATATGTTTATTGGTTGGGAATGTTAACATTCTGGTTCTTAGTAAATTATTTTTGTGAAAGTAGGGATTGTTTTTATAATACTGCTTTAAGTTGTGAAGTCTAACACACACACTGGAGAATATATAAAACATAAATATAGGCTGCAGTAAATCAGTCAGTATGAAATATGTAAATGCTTTCACTTAGCCCAGAATGAGGAGCACATGGCTCATGCTCCCTGTGGGGTTCCTTGTCTGGGTGTGCCTCACCTCAGCTTTATGAAGTAACCTCATCCTGGTTTTTATGATTTTGATACTTCATTGTTGCTTTTGTTCATAATTTTATTACTTCTTTATGTACATTCAATTTGCATTATTTATGGATTTTGTATTTTAGAATGCACCTACTCACTCACATTTTCTATGACCCACAAATCACCCCTGAAGTATCCACGTGTGGTTTGAGTGTTCTGACTCAGATGTTCCCAGATGAGAATGAACTTGGAGATGATCTGCCTCCCTGTGTCAGCTCTCATTCTGTGATAAAGTGTCTTGTTAGCTGTCTGTGGTGCATCGTGTGTCACATTGTTTTATTTGTAATACCTTTTTTTTTAAAGTATCCCTCTGGCATAGTGCTAGTGCTGTCTAGTTTATGAGTCCAGGAAGGCTGTGATGTGCCTGATGGGGAAAACATGTGTTGGGCATGAGTTGTCCAGGCAGGGGTCATGGAGGAGGAGGTCACTCAGGAGTGGTCCTTCAGTGGTCCCTAATTCAGTGTTTGCAGTGACGTTACTAGATGGAACTACCAAAGAGTAACAGGAATCGGCTAAACAGCTAGACAGTGTAGTTCGGTTTTGCCTGTTTTTGAGTATGATGTAAATAGAATCATAAGATGATTATGTCTTTTTTTCCGTCTTCAACCTTATTAATTTTTCTATTTTTTTGAGACAGGGTCTTGCTATGTATCCTGGGCTGGCCTCAAACTCATGATCCCTTTCCTCAGTCTCCTGAGAGCTGGGATTACAGGCATGCACCACCATGCCTGGCTTCCACCTCATTTTGAAGTTTCATCTGTATTGCTTGCTATAGCTGCCATTTGTTCATCTTTATTAATGTGTAATTTCCCATTGTGTCACCATGGTCCAATTGACCATTCTGCTGTTGATGGACAGCTGCCTTGCTTCCAGTTCTTGGACATTAGGAGCAGTGCTTGTGTGACACTCTTGTCCGTGTATCCTAGGCATAGATGCCATTTCTCCATGGCATTTTACCCAGGACTGGAGTGGTTGACAGTGCTGAGCAGTGATGAGCTTTTCTCCTGAAATGCTTGAGCTTGAGCCCACAGTTGGTGAACGTTCCTGTCGTTACATGGGCCTGCTGATGCTTGTCGTAGTTGTGTCTATGTAGGAACCTCATTGCCTTTTGTCCTGTTACAATGAAGTAGGGAGCTCGTGTTTAAGCTAGGGAAGTGTTTCAGTAGGTTGTACTTTCAGTGAGTAGGGAATGTGTGTGTGCACATGTGTGGATGCATACACACATGCTCTGTCTGTCTGTCCCCTTCTTTTTCTGTCACGTACCCAGCAACTATTTTGTGGCGCACTCACTGTATGTTATGCCCCATCATGGTCATTGTAGAGGTATACGGAGATAAAGTAGAATTTAGTGTTTTTCCTTAGGGAGATCAGAGTCTAGTTCTGATCTCTAGACTGGAAAAACTGTTTATGAAGCAGCACCTGGAGACATGGTAATATGCAGATTTCAGTCTATATCTAGTAGCAACAGCTCTGAATTACTTTGGACTTTACGTTTTTATTTCCTACTCTTACATGTAGCTCTTAAGAGGTGGGATTGCTGTCTGCTTCTGGAAAAACAGGAGCATCTTTACACATTTTAAAATTTTTGCCAGGAAACATTACCAGGAGTCAGAATCAGTGGAGGTCTTTCCAACTTGTCCTTCTCCTTCCGAGGAATGGAAGCCATTCGAGAAGCAATGCATGGGGTTTTCCTTTACCATGCAATCAAGGTATGGTATACACCAGCTTTCACTTATGATGGGTGTGCAAACTGGCCTGTTTCTGTGAGAGGTGTCATTGGAGCAGACAGTTGTCCCATTACCCCTGCCTCCCAATCCACACATACCTGTCTCGTGCCTAGGGCTGTTTTTAGGCTACAACATAACACAAGGTATATCTGAGACTGTGGCCTAAAATTTCTCTGACCTGTGATTTAGCACATTATTGGAAATCCTCACTTTTCTTTTTCTTGTCCTCAGTGTGGCATGGACATGGGGATAGTGAATGCAGGCAACCTCCCTGTGTACGATGACATCCATAAGGACCTTCTACAGCTCTGTGAAGACCTCATCTGGAATAAAGACCCTGAGGCCACCGAGAAGCTCTTACGCTATGCCCAGGTACAGTGAAAAGTGTCCAGTGGCATCTTTTCCTGTCTTTGAATTTATTACTCACTCACAGTAATTGAGACTTTGCTGTAGACTACAAATAAATATCTAACTTGTGATCCTTCTGAGTCCTGGAATTAAAGGTGTGTATCACTGTGCCCAGCAGTAGAAGGTTCTACCTATAAAATGATGTGCAGAGGAGACAGCTCTGCCATCTAAATAGGGGACCCCTTATTTCTAAGACATTCCTACTTAAGATTTTGTTGGGGCTGGTGGAGTAGCTCAAGTGGTAGAGCACCAGCCTAGCAAGTGTGAGGCCCTGAGTTTAAACCCCAGTAGCACCAAAAAAAAAAAAACCAACCAAACCAAAAAAAAACCAAACAAACTTGTTGGCATTACATTTTATGTTGGTCATTCTTTCTGATCTGTGTTGAGTTTTAGCTCTTGTTACAAATTTTTGTTTCTGTGTACCACAGTGAGCTCAGTGAGCTCCCAAGAGGTTTTGCTCTTGGAGGAAGAGCTACACTGAGGGCTTTTTTTTTTTTTGGCTATAATGCAAGTTTTATTTTTGCAGAGAGGGAGTGTTTTTATGCACAGGGAAGAAGTAAAAGGAAACCCAGGTTTTTAGCCTCTTTTTCCATCCCAGAAATGGGTCCCTAATCCCTCAATAGCAGTGCTCCATGCTCAGAATCTTCACTGGAGACCAGAGATGTTGGAATTGTGAAGGTCAGCAGTTCAGAGTCACCCAGGCTTTGTGGAAGTGATGAATTTTTAGGGTCAAGAGCTGACCTGTTTTCAGGGATGGACAGGAGACCAGTTTGGTCCTGGGCTGCTGCAGCAAGGTTTGATACAGTGTCACATCCTTTTCTGTCCGCTGCTTGCCAGAGAGGACCCAGGCTTCTTGACAGCAGCCCCTCAGGGCCGGGCCCTCCAAATCGAGTGCTGTGCTGACTCAGTGCATGGATCTGACCCCTGCACTCTGCCAGCACCCTCACAATGGTGCTGCACAGTTGCTTTGCCCACTGTGCTTTCCTCCGCTCCCACATCTGCGGCTGTAACTACAGGAGTTCAGTGGTCATAGGATGGCAGAAAACTTCTCAGTTGTCTGGTACTGGTCAGAGGTCGTTTCTATCAATGGATCCAGTGAGAAGAATCATGGAGAAGGCACTGTTGGACAGTGGGCAGTCTCTGTGATCTCCGTGGACCTGGGTCTGGGGTATGGGCATCAGAGAGGCTCAGACAAAACCCATTTGGGGCCTTGTGGCATCACCTCTTGGTTCATCACTGCCACCACCTCCTCCTGCTGAGGGGCATCTTAATAGCAATTACAAGAGTTTAACAATCTAACATATAAGAAATTGCCTCCTTCTTAATGTAATCACAAGACTTATGAACCAGTGACCTTTCTGTCAGTCAAGTAGGCTGGCAGTCTACAGTCAAGGTAAGGGAATTACTAACAAAACGGGTGGGATCTCTCCTAGGAATCACCAACTTGGTTGCATTTCCTCGGGAAGCACTGAATGCAGATGGGCATGAAAAGCAGGAATAATAGGCAGCAAATAAGGGCCAGGGAGATTTTATATAGTCGTGTGTTTTGTTGTTAAATAAAGAAGTCTGCCCCTAAGTTCCTGTCTGATACATCTTTGAAAATGACAGGAGGAGCCCCACCTCTCACTTTCCAAGACACTGCTCCCACACTTGGGGAGTAATGGTCTATTTTGAGTCATAAAATTTCCTAATTTTATACAGACTGTCCTGTGGTGAATAATTATTTTTGGTAATAAAATGGTGCCATGTAATTCATGTGGAGTTTCTGTGTTAAATGGTACTGAATGGAGTCCAGGTCATTTCCCAGTAGGTGGGAAGACCCCTGCTCTGCACACACTGACTTGCATGACTCTGGATCTCAGTGTTCGTGATGCTTTTTGGGGAGAGTTCCTCAGTTCTTCCAGTTGTCTGTTCCTTGATATAGCCTCGATCCTTTTCCTGGTTCTGTGAGCTCACATTCTTCTTTGGCTTTCTCTGGAGCAGTTTGCTTCCTTGTTACTAGTTCAGTTTGATATCAGGAACGGTGAGATCCCTGTGAAGCAAAACCTGCTCTCGAACAGGAGGAAACTATTTCTGTCATCAGGTTTCTACATGCACAGATGTAAGGAGCAGCAGATGGACAGTGACTACTGATGGGTCATGTCAGTTTGTTAGTTTTCCATTTAATGGACTTCCACAGCAAGCCTGGCATTGGCCTTCCTTACTGGGCACTGTGAGAACTTCAGCATCTTGTCTTTAGAATGGGGAGTTCCCTGTTACCATCAAGGGTCCCGCTGAATACTGGAAAGCACGATGTGCTCAGCATGCCATCTTGTACTTCTGAAATAACTGCTTCGTTTTTAAGTATTGATTGTTGGATCAAGTTCATCAGGTTTTGGGTACTTTCCACTGGGATGGTTTTCGTTCAGCCCTCAGCACTTGAGTGAAGTCTTTTCTGACCTTTGTGTCCTCACTTACCACTGTCTGTATCACATACTTATTTCCTTGCTGCCCCATGAGTGTGGCACAATGTGGTACTCTCTGAACACACCAGGTTCCCTTTCAGAAGCATCTGGAGTGGTCTGCTCTGTTTGTCTGGTGTGGCTGAGGGAATAAGTAGTGTTATCAGTGACGGGAATCTGAGCATTAGGAAGACTTTCTTTTTCATCACCACCTTGATTAAGTTTTCCCATATGATTGGCCCTGCCTCATCATTATTCTAGTTACTACCCTGGTCCTAAATCTTGACATTCTCCTAATTCCTTCCTTCTCTCCTTTAAACTCACTGTTATTTAGTGTCTTTATGTTTGTCCTTATCTGTCCTTCCTGGTACTAGCACTGAGTTTAGATCTTCGTTGTTGACTGCAATTTTTTTTTTTCCTCCTGAGTTACCTTTAAAAATGCCACTTTGGGTGTGAATCTGTTGCTATAGAACTTTGAATGATGTCTCCTGTCCCCACCCATACAATTGCCCGTAGGTTTAATCCAAACCGCACAGCATCCATTCTAGTCCTTTGTGACTTGGGTTCTACTATCCTGCATTGTTTCATTGAGCTAATGTTCAGTTGCTCTGTGCTTTGTCCATCACTCAGCCTGTAAGGTCTGACTGGTGGAACGTTGTGCCCCTGCCTTCCAGAGCTTGTAGTTTACTGAGATCTGCAAAGATCTATAGAGGTGGCTGTAATCAACAAAAGTGCTGTGGTAGTGAGGTACAAGATGATTCAAGAATGCCAAGGGGAGGACACTGACTCTAGGGTGAAGGTGCTCATGGAAGCTTTCCAAAGGAAGTGGTGGGTCAGGTGACACCTGAGAGGGAGGAATAGGAGTTAGCCAGGCCAAGGGTGGGGTGAGTGTGGTGCTGGTTGTGTCTGCCGTGGAGAGGCTTGCATATCGTGGAGCCTGATATTGTGGTTGGTCCTGAATAAATGTCTGTCAAGTGAATGAATATGCAGGCCTGAAGGTGATCAGGTGATAGAGAGTTTTGGGAGCAAAAACCCACTAGATAGATGAGTGTAGTTGGTCAGGAATGACTTTACGTGGCATGGAGGAGTCATCAGTACTGTGTCCTAAGAACAGTGGGGAGGGTTTATCCACCGGGGAGCAGTTGATTCAGACTTGTAAGTTGAGGGCCCCTCTGGCTTCAGTGCAGAAGGCAAGTTGGAGGCCAGAGTGCTGCTGGGCTGTGGAGGCAGTGGGTGAGTGGCAAGTGGATGATGGATGGAGAGAAGAATGCCAAGAGGTGACTGACTGGATGTGAGAAATGCAGGTTCAAATGAAAGGCAGTTTCCCTTTTAAGCCACTGGTGCCAGTAGTGGAGGTGGAGTAATGGAATGCCATCTGCTTGTGCCATAATTGTCATGCTGTTGTCCCTTTGCTGCCTATGTCCCCTTAAGACCCAGTATCTTTGAAGCCTTTTATCACCAAGCATTATGGTGACACTCCTTCCTCACGTTCCTACTCTGTATCATCGACTTGTTGAGCACTCAACATGGAATTCTTTTGTAGCTTCCCTTTCTTTGTATTTTCAAAGACTTGGAGGTGTGACCTGTGTCTTAAACCTCTTGGTGTGCTCACCTCCAAGCCATGTCTGCTTGGCTTCATTCCAGCTTTTCTACCTTTGTTTGTGGATGATGGTAATTCTTGTTGAGAGCCTCGAATGCCTCAACCTCTGGGGTGAGTGCATCACTCATCAGGTTTGGCGAATAGCTTCCTTACTGTCCTAGAAATATTTTGTTTTAAGTTGTTATCTTAACAAAGAAAGAAACAAATGGAACCTCCTCCTTTCTCTACTAGAAGTGCAATCCTAAGAGATTTCTCTCCCTCCCTCCGCATTTACTCAGATCTTAAAGCATGCAGCACATTCTATGAGGGGTGGGAAATGTAAAAGAAGAACAAGACAGTTTTTTATTTGCTATTGAGTAGTTCAGTAAGTGCCCACTTGTACCCATTTCTTGGTCCTAATTTCAATTTAGACTCATGGCAAAGGAGGGAAGAAAGTCGTCCAGACTGATGAGTGGAGGAACTGCCCCGTCGAGGAGCGCCTTGAGTATGCCCTTGTGAAGGTGAGCGCGGGACCTGCATGAGGGCTGGCTGTTCCTTGTGGCTCTCTGCTGCATTGCTGGAGTGTTGGTGCTGACAGTAGCTGGATGGGGAGATGCCGCTGACATTGATTCTCAGCTTGAGACCACCCCTCCTCAAATCCGACACTGATGGGAGATATTCCAGGAATCCGGAGATCAGGAATGCTGCAGAGCGTCCTCTAGTGCACAGCACAGCCCCACACAGGGAGGGATTTCCCAGCCCAAATATCACTAGTGCTGAGGTTGAGAAACTGCCCTGACCAAGTTGCTTTCCAGTCGGTCAGTAGTTAGTGCTGGCTCTTCTACAGATATTTGAATTTTAGGCATGATAAATCATTGCTTGGCTTTAGTTTATCCATTTGTGAATCTGGAGAATTTCAGAGATTTTGTGGTTTTTTTTTTTTTTTTTAACCTGGCTGTATAATTTAACTTTTTAAACTCTTGGACCTTTTGAGAACTTTCAGTAATGTCCAAGGATTCTTGAGTAATTGGCTGGAGGGAGAGGGCTTGTCATTGAATGCCAGGTAAGTCAGATGAGGTTCAGGTAAATCAGGAATGACCCATGATCGCTCATCCTCCAGCCAGGAAACATTACAGTGAGAACACGCTGACCTCGCGGGTATTTATTAACTCGGACCCTGTTGGCTGGAGCTCAAGCACAGGGCCTTGCGCTTGCTTAGCCTGTGCTGTACCTGAGCTACATCCCAGCCTCCACTAATCGCCACCTTTTACGAGCACTTACTTTGATGAACAGAGATAGCTAAGCTCTTTACATGGGTTATCACCCAGGAATCCTCCAAATAAACATGTGAGTGAGGAAACTGAAGCTTAATAAATTACCTAAGCTAGCAGTTGGACCCAGGATTTGAACTTAGGTTCTGATTCTGGCATGTTACTCCTTAATGTTTCTGTGATTCGTTGTTTGTTAGCTATTTGGACATAAGCCAATTTTCTATTTGTTTTTTCTTGGATTTCTTTCTTTCTTTTTTTTTTTTTTGAAGGGCATTGAAAAGTATATTCTTGATGATACTGAGGAAGCCAGGTTAAACCAGGAAAAGTATCCCCGACCTCTGAATATAATCGAAGGACCCCTGATGAATGGCATGAAAACTGTTGGTGATCTTTTTGGAGCTGGAAAAATGTTTCTACCTCAGGTTGGCACAACAAAGGGAGAAAATTTCACAGTTAAAGCTTTTCCTTTTCTTTCAGCAACTAGTTTGGGCATTTTTCTTTGGTTTCAGTTTGACCAAGAGTTCAAGAACATTATCTAGTCATTCCTTTAGCAGGTGTATTTCAGAGTCGGGTCTGAAACAAAAAATCCACTTGAAGAGTGGTGCGGTGCTTCGAAATGATGAGCTGCATGCCTGACGGTCGCGCTGCCTGCTGTCCCTGTGCCCGCCTACCCTAAAATAGAGCAAGGGCAGGGGCGCGGGAAAGACTGACGGGTGAAAGTGAATGCATGGAAATATCACAGTGAAACCCTTTGTATGACTGACACATGCTAAAAAGCCCTCATTCTACATTACTCAAAAAAATAAAAGCCAAGATAAATTTAAAGTTAACATGAATATTTAATTTGACCAGCCAGTGTTAGGATGCATACTTTGAAAAAGTATTACTTGTATAAATAGTGCTATATTAAATGGTATCTTTCAAGTAAAACCAGAGCTCTTTATTTTATTTTGGTGGTACTGGGGTTTGAACTCAGGGCCTTACTCACACTTGCTGGGCAGGCACTCTACCACTTGAGCCACACTGATAGCTCTTTTTTGGTATGTTGGGTATTTTTGAGATAGGGTCTTACTTTTTGCCTGACTAGGCGTCAAACTGTGATCCTCCTGATCTCTGCTTCTTGAGAAGCTAGGATTATAGGCGTGAGCCCAGAACTCTTTATTTTAAATTACAGGAACTATTAATCACCTCAGTTAACAAACGTGTTGAGTATGTAGATTAGGGCTCTTGAGGCATATGAATAACTAAAAGGGCCTCTTCTTGCATGAGACTTAATTTTAAGTGAGTTGTAATGCAGAGGATTGAAATAAGAATGATGGGGATGAACTCGTGGTGGAGAAACTTAGAACCTGGGAGGTGCACAGAGTTTACAGATCTGATAGAGGGACTTCTAGGCAGAGGAAAGCAAGCAAGCAAAAGCTCATTTGTTTCTCTTGTGCTCTTCTGCCGTGCCTCATTCATTAGCTTTTCCCACAGGGAGCTTGTTCCTCTTCCTGCTCACTGTCGAGAGTGCCAAGGCCAGGACATGTGTTCTTCATTTGTGCTGACGTTACACAGGTAGCCATCAGAAGCCATGAATTGGTAAACATGCCTGACTCTGCTTTTTTCACAGGTTATAAAGTCAGCTCGGGTCATGAAGAAGGCTGTTGGCCACCTGATCCCCTTCATGGAAAAAGAAAGAGAAGAAACCAGGGTGCTTAATGGCACAGTAGAAGAAGAGGCAAGTCACTTTGTCCAGGCCATAGGCCCTGGCAGGAGTTGGCCTGAAGACTCTTTTTGGTGAAGGGAGAAGTTTGTTACTGAAGATCAAACAGAGAAATGATCTAACATCTGATCATCTTTTCTCCAAGCTTTAGAATACCCTGGGGTTTTCATTTGAATGTGGCTTTTTTAAATTTAAGCAGTTTTTCAAAGCCTGTGATTTCAGGACAAAGTCAGTTCATTCAGTCTTCATTAATTGACCACTTAGAAAATGTCTACTATGCCAAGTTCTGTGCTAGATCTGTAGCTACCAAGATTTGTCCTTGCTTTTGAGGTAATTGATAATACTTGCTTTTGGAAAATTCTTACCTGAATATTCTGTAGCTACTGGTAGTATCCTTGATACCACTTCTGGATTCAACTTGATTCTTGCTGGCTGCACCTCCAGGGGAAATCATTAAGCCTTTTTTTTACTTTGTTTAGCTCCCTGTGAAGCACAGACAGTGTCAGTCCCAAGGATTCTGAATTCTCAAACTGATCTGAGTTGGCAAATGACTCGGGCACAGATAGTGTTTACAAAAGTGCCTTGCTTGCCTTTCCTTTTTTCTTCCAGGGTAGGGGATGTGGTGGTAGTGCATAGAACATCCATGTGAAAGAAACAGAAGGCTGGTCAAGTGCCTTCTACAAGGGCTATTCCCAGAGTTTGAGGGAACATTCGCAGGTAGCCAGTTAGCCAACTCCTCCCTCCCTGCTCCCTCCTTAGTCATCTCCAGCTAGAGTCTCATGTTTCTGCCCAGGGCCACTCTCAGACCAAGGTCCTCCTATCTATGCCTCCTTGTAGCTGGAATTATATTATAGTCCTGTGCCACTGTGCCTGGCATTCCCTCTCCCTGTCCAGTAAACATTGTTGTACAGTTTTGGGGGTGAAGGGTGTGCTCTTCAGCTGTTGGACTGTTTCTCTGTGTTTGAGCTTCAAGTTAGAGATGATGGAGCCCTTGATCTGAACTGAAGCTCCTTGGGCTAACCACCTCAGCAGGCCTCCTTCAAATGGCTTGAGAGCCCCTAGTTTGTCCTGGGCTTGTCTCTGAGGTGGTCCTGGTGGCATTAATTCCTTTCTGTGCTGGCACCTGTCTAGCCATGCTCAGCTACTTGGCTTACTTTCCAGGACCCCTACCAAGGCACAATCGTGTTGGCCACCGTCAAAGGCGACGTGCATGACATAGGCAAAAACATAGTTGGAGTGGTGCTAGGCTGCAATAATTTCAGGTAAGTTAAGATCTCACCTCTGTCGATCCTTTACTGTTTAAAAAAGGAAAGTCGACAGAATAATTCATTACTGGGTGAGAGGAATAGGTATGGCAGTGGATGTTGAAGGGTTTTAAAATTTATTTTTACGTACTGTTTTTAAACTGTCACAGTGAGTATAGCTTTTGCTATGGCTGCTAGAGTTCTCTTCTCTGCTGTCAGGTATTTTCTCCATTTTTGCCTGCAAGACTAATTCCATGCATCCCAGGCCCATTCAGGAAGGCTGGGATTGGCGGAGTGGTGTCAGGAAGGCACTTACCCCACACACTGCCTTTCTGTCTGCCTGCTCTCTCAATGTCTCGAGACCAAGCATCATCCTGCACCTGCAAATGAGGAGTGCTGTTTCTGTCAGTGCATTTGTTATTTGTAAAATTTGTTATTTGTGTTTTTGGGTGGGGACAGAAGGATAAATAAATGCCCCTGCCTTCCACCACACCCCCCAAAAAAGGGAGAGGAACTTTTTGGTGTTGGTTGATGTAATAAGAGTTTACCTACATAATAAGCATTTGAATAAGGTGTTCACTAAAATGTACATGACACTTCTGGAATTGTCTCAGTTTTTCAAACATGACATTGCTAGTTTCCATTTACATTCATGACAATCAGTTAAAATGCAGTAGAGTTAATGATGTTTGTAGATCATCTAGTGCATGTGTGTGTACTGAGACACTGAGACAACTATGTTGACTTTCCTCAAGAAGTTTATCCTGCCCAACAGCCAGACCCACAATCAATCGTGAGGAGCAGCTCCTGGAGGTGATGTGTAGGTAGACATCTTAAAAGCAGTTCTTACGATGATGTCATCGTTGGATTGTTATTTTGATCAATAGATAATTAGCAGCGAGGATCATACTAGGAATGTTTTTCCCCCAAGAAAGACATGTTAAACCACCAGGGTGATGGGTACCATTCCTCCAGGGTGCTGCGAGGGCTGCTTCCTTCCTGTGTCCTGTGTGCTGAGGGTCTGCTTGTCTTTTCTTGGTAGGTCTAACTGGAGAACCATCTTCTGATGAAAGACTTTTTTGTGTGTGTGGGGGGGTGCTACTAGGGTTTGAACTCAGGGCCTCTCATTTGCTAGGCAGGCACTCTACCACTTGAGCCACGACCCCTGCTTATTTTGCCTTAGTTATTTTTAGGTAGGTTCTTGTCTTGTTTTTGCTTTTGTTTTGCCTAGGTGGGCCTCAGACCTTTATCCTTCTACTCATAGCCTTCCATGTAGTTAGAATTATAGGTGTGCTATCACACCTAGCTTATCGCTTGAGATACGGTCTTGTTAACTTTTTTGCCCAGGCTGGCTTTGAACCGTGTGCCTCCTGATCTCTTTCTCCTGAGTAATTGGGATTAGAGGCATGAACCACTGCAGATGGCCTTTTTTTTTTTTTAAAGGCAGGTTCTTGCTATGTAGTTCAGGCTAACCTGGAACTCACTATGTCGCCAGGCTGGCCTCAAACTCAAGATCCTCTTCCTTCTGTCTCCTGAGTGTTGGGATTACAGGGGTGTACAACCATGCCCAGCAAAAATGTCTTATTACGAAAGCAGTAGTGAATTACAGTATTCCTACCAGAGGCCAACACCCCCTTGGCTTCTGTCTCATAATCTAGCACTGGGCTGCCGTGCTCGGGATTGTCAGGTAGCGTGAACAAGTCCGCAGGCTGTCTAGGACCAGATCCTCATCTTTCTTTTTGTCACCCATGCTGCAAATTTCATGAAGTAATGACAGTGTTTTTTCTTCGTGGGTAAAAAAGAGGAGGACTTAAAGTGACAGTTGTATTTTAATACATGGTGCTGTGGTACAATAGATTGCAGATGATGTAGAGAGGTCTCACCAGGAGCCCGCTCGTCCCCAACATTTGCTTACCACGTGACCTTGCGCACACTCAGTACTTGCAAGCACTGATTTGTCTTTGTCATCTTCTCTTCTCCTGATTTCATTTTTATTCGTTACCGTTGTTGCTCCCTCCTTCCTTCGTCCCTCCTGCTCCCTTTTTTCTACTGGGCTTTGATCTCTGCCTTGCACTTGCAATGCAGGTGCTTTTCTGTTTGAACCACAGCCTCAACCCTTTGAAGCTTAAGTTATTTTTCAGGTAGTGTCTTGAATTTTTACCAGGCCAGCCCTTCAGACTGTGATCCTTTTTATTTTTTGGTGAAACTGGGGTTTGAACTCAGGGCCTTATAATTAGGCAAGGTGCTCTTACTGCTTGAGCCTCTCCACCAGCCCTGTGATCCTCTTAACTATGCATCCCACAGAGCTGAGACTACAGGTATGAATCATCATACCTGTATGTTTGTTGAGATGGGGTCTTGCTCATTTTTTGTCTAGATTAGCCTTCTCTTTCCAGGTAGATGGAACTATAACATGAGCCAGTACACCCAGCTGGTTCCTTTCTTTTCTTTCATCCTTCCTTCCTTTTCATGGTTTTGATCCTCTCCTGCCTGCCTTGGAGTTACTTGGAGTCACTGTATTTCTCATTTTTTAGATAGTGAAATGGGAGCTTAGAGAACTTCAGCGACTTTTTTGAGGTCACACTGCCAGCAAGTGTCAGAGTAGGCAGGGCTTTGTATTATGTCACTTTACTTTCCAAACGGTAATGCTGGATTTTCATATTCTAAGTTTCCTCTAAGAAATACGTTAGGCCCCCAGGGCTCCCGGATGCTGAGGGCACGGTTAGTTGTGTGCTGGGCTGGTGCTGGGCCACGTTTCTCGCAATGCCCAGAGTCTGCCCAAGACAAAGCACCCTTCAGCGAGCTGAAGTTCACTGATCACGTCAGGTAAGCCCCTTGTGTCCTTTTTGGCTTGGAAGGATTCCTGTGCTTTACCTTGCGTTTAGACGTGTATATTCTCAAAAACTCAGAGCAGGGAAGACACTTAGCAGATCCCAGAGCTATTTAAACACAAGTGACAATGGTGCACGACTGCCTGCGTGGTGCATGTGTGGGAATTAACACTTGCGCTTTTGAAATTTCTTTTGATTTTTATTTACTTACTTATTTTGACATTCTGTGAATAAGATGAGCTTTTGTGTTTGGGAATGGGTTTGGTCAGGTGTTTCATTAATGAGAATGGATTTTAGATGTGCTCTTGTGACAACTACAGAAAAAGAAAAAAGACATGCTTTTCTCACGTGGCAGTAATTACACTAACTTACAAGAAAAACTCATGTGAATAGACTTTGAAAATTATATTGTATGTCTAGTACTTTAAAAAATAAGGATCTGGTGAAAGGAAAACAAGGCATTTGCATTTTTACCAGTTCAGTATTGTTAAAAAATAAGCAATATATGGCTAGGCACGAAAACAGTTTGAAATTGTGATGATGCGTTCAGCCCACTGATCCAAGTCAGGGGCCTGCTGATCCAGTCTCACCTGAGTCCCTCACCTGTCAGCAGCAATTATTTGGAGGCTCTTGACCTGTTACAGTTTGAGGAGAAACTGCCGCAGGCTCTACCTGCCACTGGGCTGTGGGCTGGTAAGGTGCTTCCACCTAGTGGTACGACGGGCGAATTGCAGGAGCAGCGCTGCTGCCAGTCAGTCCAGTGTCATCTCCTGACAGGGACAGAAGGCAGGTTAGTTTTCTTTTCTACACTTTTAAAATTCTGATTAACAAGTGCCAATTGGATTGCGGCATGGTATGATACTTCAATACACGTGTATGACGTGTACTGATAAAATCATGGCCATTAGTATTTCCATCTCCTTGTCATTTCTTCATGTGTGGAGTCTTTGGCTTCTCTCTGCTAGCTCTTCACAAATAGAACTGGGTACCGTGAAGCAACGCCATCTGGCTGTGCGGTACATGCTGGAGTACTCCTCCTGGCTCTCTGTTTTGGTGCTTGTTCTCCAGCCTTGACTCTCCTCCCTCCCTTGGCCTTGCCAGTCTCTAGTAATTACTACTGGACTCTATTATGCTTTGAGACCAACTTCCACACAGGATAAGGACATCTTTCTAAGTCTGGCTTATGTCACCTGACATAGTGTCCTCCATTACCATCTATTTTGTTGCAAATAACATAGTTTTTCATGGCAGAATAATAATGTTTAGCATGTAAACACCACATTTTCTTACCTGTTCACAATGGATGGACACCTAGGTTTATTCCATACCTTGTGTGCATTTTACTTTCCTCCTTAATTTTTTCATTATAGATCTCATAATACATAGTTTGTAAACTTTATATATTCTTAAGTAGTATTGGAAGCCACTGATAAAGCCTTTAGTGTAGCTTACATTTTTTCTGAATTGGAAACCCAAATTAAATAGCATGCGAATAGCTCTGTAAAGTCAGCATTTCCTATAACTTTTCTTTGTTTCTTCTTTCCTGCCTCCCTCTCTTCCTTCCTTTCCATTTTTTTTTTTTTTTGAGACAGGCTGGTCTTGAACTCAACTCACCAATCCTTCCTCTGCTTCTGTCAAGGGCTGAGATTACAGGCGGGCACCACCACACCTGGCTAACTTTTCATTTTTACTCTCTTTTGTATCTCATGTGGCAAATACAAGAATATGTAAAGGAGAGACCTACAGACATGGGGTATGGCTCAAACTAAAAAAGGGAGACCAAGGGAGAACGGAGGAAGACGGGGGTGGGGGGTGGGGGGATGGATTCCAATCCAAGTTAGATTTTTGCAAAATGCTCCTCTCGTGATTCTATGTGTCTCCCGGCTCAGGCCTTATTCCTAAAGCTGTCCTTCCCCATTCCTGCGCAGTCACCGTGGGTTCCTTCCCCTTGCTCATTCAAATGTGAAAGATACTCCTGGAAGAAACACTGATAAAGCAAGAAAAAGCAGTGAGAGCAAGGCCATTCTTTAGATTTCAAGTGCATGCATCCTTGAAGAAATCAGCTTTGAAGTGCATGCTTTTTGTCTTGATCTAAAAGTGCTATTTTTCCTTGTTTCATATGCAGTGGTCCATACTTAGTCATTGTTGAACAGACTTTCTTTTTAAAAAAGAAGTGTGTGCATTTCGCTCTGCTGTGGCTGCAGGCTACCCAGTGTCACCATCTTCGTGTTACCCACTTAGCTCAGGAAGCTGAATGTGGTTGTCACTGATGTCACTGATGTGCAATTGCCTTGCTGTTCACTGAGGATGCAATGTGTGCTTGTTTATTTATTTATTTTAAAATTCTTTCTTTTGGCAGTACCAGGAATTGAACTCAGGGCTTTGTGCTAGCTAGGTGTGCACTTCACCACTTTAGCTCAACAGGACTGAGCCTAGTCCTTTTGCTTTGAATGTGCTTTTGCCCAGGCCAGCCTTAGATGGCCTTGGGTAGTGACCTTCCTTCTCTACCTCCCAAGAAGTTGGGACTGCAGGTGTAGCTCAGCTGGCCTCACTTTAAACTCCTTAGAAAGTAATAGGGGAACAAACTAAAAATCCAACAATTTAGTCACCTAGTGAGAAGCAAGTCTCCTTCTTGCCAGCTGGTGTTAGGTGTGTTGTATAAAGTTCTCAAACAGACCTTTTAAAATGTAAATGTTTGCCTGTTTAGTTTAAAAAATTGATAATGCACACTTTAATTTTAAACATCTTTTAATGAGTACTTAAGTCATTGTGAGAATGCTGGCTTTATAGAGTCTAGTGCAAGATGAAAAAAGAGTGCGTGTGGTGTCACCTGAGTTCCAGGGTGCACTCCGCCCCAGGACTTGAAATTCCTCTGCCATCATCATGTCCTCAGTGCCTTCCTCCCAAAGACGGTGGGCGTGCCCACCACAGTCCACGCTCCCTTCCCATGGCGGCTCTGTGTACAGGAGCCGGCCTCTGTGTGCTCTTTCTCCACGCGGTGTCCATGCTAAGTACTTGTTGAGAAACTGCCCACATTTCGGTGTCCTGAGTGAGAAGGTAATAATAGGTTTTGGTGTCATCTCTGCTGCCAGTTAGTTGTGTGACTAGACGAGATGCTGACCTTACCAGAGCCCTTCCTTCCTTGTTAAAATGGGACCAACAGTAGTGCTTTCTGCATAGAGTTGCTATGAAGGGTAAGTTAGCTTTTTAGCATAGGCTGGGCACCGTGATTCATACCTGTAATCTGAGCTACTTGGAGGCAGAGATTAGGAGGATCACAGTTCAAAGCCAGTCCAGGCATAAGTTGAGTGAGACTCCATCTCAGTCAATAAGCCAGGCGTAGTGGCACGTTCTTGTGGGTGGTTCTAGCTTTGAGGGAGGCTAGGAGGATTGTGGTCTAAGGACAGCCCCAGGGAAAACAGGAGACCTTACCTGAAAAAATAAAGCAAAAAAAATAGTAGAAACAACCCAGGTGTGTATCAACAGATGAATGAATAAACAGAATGTGACATGCCAGTCCACTTTTTGTCATGATAACAAATATCTCAGATAATCCACTTATAAAAGAAACAGTTTCCTTTGGCGCACGGTTTTGGAGGTTTCAGGGTATCCGAGCCTGTGGTGAGGCAACACATCATAGTGGGAAGTGGGTGTCGGATCAAAGCCACCACTTCATAGCTCTTTGAAAAAGAGAGAAAGACAGAGGAAAGGGCTGGAGACCCACTGCCCTTTCTGGGCCTGCCACAGCTAGCTTGAAGACCTCTACCGGCCCCACCTCTTAAATGTCCACCACCCCCAATAGTGCAAAGCTGGGGTCCAAGCCTTTAACATATGGGTCTTTGGGAGAGATTCCAGGTCCAAACTGTAGCATGTAGTATATCCATACAGTGGAATATTAGCCTTAAATAAGAATGAAATTCAGATACACACTAACATGTGGATGAACTTTGACATTGTGCTAAGTGATGGACACAAGAGGACAGATACCGTATGGCCCTACTTAGAGGAAATATCCAGATTAGGCAAATTCCTAAAGACAGAAAGGGGGCTAGAGCTTAGGGTGGGGAGGGCAGGAGGGAAGAGGAAGGTGTTACTGCTTAATGTTTCCAGTGTTTCTGTTTGGGGTGATGAAATTTTTTGGAAATAAACAGTGATAATGGTTGTACAGTATTATACCTAATTAATACCACTGAATTATACTCTTAGAAATGGTTAAAGTGGAAAGAACAGAATAAAGAAAGGAAAAAAATTGGTTAAGATGGAAAATTATACATATATTTACCACAGTTAAAAAATAATAAGGGCTGGCAGTGAGGCTTAGGCAATAGAGTCCTTGCCTAGCAAGCAGGAAGCCCTGAGTTCAAGCCCGAGTGCCACCAAAGCCAAGGATAGTTTTAATAATGTAATATATATTTTATGTAATATTCACATGAGAACAGTGTTTAGTGCTGGAGCTAAAATGTTCATCCCACCAATTTTCTCCCATCTGCTCTCTTTGCCTCAGAGTTATTGACTTAGGTGTCATGACTCCCTGTGACAAGATACTGAAGGCTGCTCTTGACCACAAAGCAGGTACTGTGCAACTCTCCCAGGGTCACTTCCCAAGAGCGTGTGTCAGGAAAGCCCAGCCCATTTGGGTCTGAGGGACATCCAGGCCATTGAGGACCAGCTCCAGTGTGGGCTACCGTGTGGCCATGCACTGGGGGTTGGAAGTGGTGACTGAGTGGCCACGTAGCTCCTCTAGAGCTCTGGAGATGGAGCGTCATGGACTGTGTGTGGTTGCTGTTTTCATGTTTCTTTGAACTCTGTGCTGTGTTCTGGTCTGGGATATCATGAACCAGAGAGACCGTCTAGCACCTGGCTTCTTCATGCTAGCAAGTACATCATTGCACCTTAACTTTTAAATCTTTTTACTAGCCAAAGCAGAAGGCAAATCTAAATCCCTGACAGAAAAGATGTCTTAGATTTGGGAACTGGAACTTCATGCTTGGTCTTGTGGGTTTTGTTACAGTGCTTTAAAGTGGATCTGCATAGTTTTCCTCTTTTTCTCTCACCCTCTTCTCACAGCTCTTACTGTTCTTTCTTCTAGATATAATTGGCCTGTCAGGACTCATCACTCCTTCCCTGGATGAGATGATCTTTGTTGCCAAGGAAATGGAGAGATTAGCTATAAAGATCCCACTGCTGATTGGAGGAGCCACCACCTCCAGGTGAGCCCTGCCAGCAAGCTGGTGCCAGTGCTTTGTGTCTTCCCTCATGCTTAACTCCTTGGCTCCTCATAGAACTTTCTAGTCCTCACTTGGGCAAGTGTCAGAATTTGGAGCGCCCTGTGGGACACGCCTCTGTGGTTCCCTGCTGCTGCCTGGTTTTTTGGATTCCTTTTGACTTGCAGTTTTCTTTTCCTTAATCCTCTCACTTTGAATTCAGTTCCTGAGAATTGCAATGAAATGCTACCGCTCTTGAAATCAGACAGTGGAGAAGCTATGCTTTTTGGCACAAGGATGTTACTTGAACTTCACACTCTGTCTTGAAGCAGGTGGAGTCTGGCTGAATAATTATAAGTTCCCTCATAGATTCTCTAATCTTATAATAGTTTAGAGACAAACTAGTGAAAATGAACTAGAAGGCCTCTTGGGGTAGTTGTTTCAGGAAGGAGGACTTTTGGGGGAGCTTGGGGGTGAACAATGTAAAGAGGAGAAGGTTCACATTTAGTCACATGACCATTACTTGGTTTGTCAAATTTTTTCTAGGATCGTAGTCATATGATTTGGTGAGCGCTATGTTAATTATGGGCACTAGACTTCCGCAGTATTCTTTATGTCACTCATCATTTACTTTGGCAGGAAATAATCTCAAGCTCTGGAGTATTGCACTTGATAGTCCCATTATGTGCAGTTATTTTTTCTGGTGCAAAAATTCAACAGTGGCCTGGTCATAGGTATTCCAAATCTCCATAGAGAGACTGGCTTCTTCTTGTGATGCTGGGCGTGGAACCGAGGGCCTTGTGAAAGCCATGCAGATGCCCTTCCACTGAGCCCCATCCCCAGCCTGAACGATTTATTTTAGGGAGTTGACTGATGTGATTGAGGGCCTGGCAGGTCTGAAATCTGCAGGCCAGAGACCCAGGCAAGCATTGGTATTACAGTCTTGAGATTGAAGATGTTCTGAAGGCAGAATGTATTTTTCCTTGTGGAGAAGGGGCAGGAAGTACATGAGGGTCCTTAGTCTTTTCTCTGAAAGTTTCAACTGTTTGAGCAGGTCTGTCCACATTATTTCGGAGGAGAATCTGCTTTAGTCAGAGTCTACTGATTAAAATATTGGTCACATCTTAAAAAACATCTTCATAACAACATTGAGTCTGTAGTTTGACTAAAAACAGAATATCCTGTCCTAGCCAGGTTTACACATAAGTTTAGCCATCCTGCCATTTATAACCTGAATTTTCACAAGTAACAAGTGCTACATGTCTTTATCCATGTGTGACTGTTGTTCACACTAGCAAACTGGATTTGTTTTCCCACAAAAGACATAATTACTAGGCTGAGTGGCAGAATTGTTCTCAAGGGGTATGACCAACCATGGTAGCAGTTTTTAATGACCATGGTCTTTTGTAATTGATAGTAAGCTTTTTTGTTTTGTTTTATTTTATTTTTTTGTTGGTGGTGCTGAAGTTTAAACTCAGGGCCTACACCTTGAACCACTCCATCAGCCCTATTTTTGTGATGGATATTTTCAAGATAGGCTCTTGTGAAGTGTCTGCTGGGGCTGGCTTCAAACCACGATCCTTCTGATCTCTGCCTCCTGAATAGCTAGGATTACAGGTGAGAGCCATGGGTGCCTGGCAGTAACAAGCTTAATAAGGAGAGTGGCCAGAATATGGACTATTGTCAGAATGAAAGACCTTTAAAACCTGACTGTAAAATAGAGTAAATATACAAATACCTAATTTTGAATAGGTTTCATTATGGCCTTTCATACCTGCACACAGTGTGCTTTGATTGGGCTGGAGATGGGGTTCAGCAATAGATACCTGTCCAGCAAGTGCCATAAAAAAAAAAAAAAAGACAGTAGCAATGTTCTTTGATCATATTCTCCCCCTTGCCCTCTTTTAGAATAAATATTTAAATGAAAAGATGTATTAAAGTGTATTATAGATTTTGTAATTGTGACATTGGTTTCAAAATTAAGATCTTTTTTTATGATAGGACACTAAATTTAGAAATTTAAGATCAGGAATTTGCTACTTGTGCAGATTGGATCTTGACCACATTTTCTAGTCTATACTGAGAGTTTTATGGGAATTGCCAGATTCAAGAACAAAACATCAAAAAGCAGCATGACCAGTCCTCAAGATACGTCATTGGCAGAATTAGAGTCATTGATGCTTTCACAGTTTCCCCTGACATATTAGATGAAAATTAATGAGACAGGAAATCACCTACTGTGTCTTCAGGTATGACAAGGTATTTATTTTCATTGTTTGCAGAGCTGAAGACAGAAAGGCAGTTCTTGTGACCTGGCCTGCAGTAGCCTGAACAGAATTAGACCTGTGCTCCCAAGATACTCAAGTAGGGGTTAAGGCTGTCCAGTGGAGGGTCTGTAGAGAGGTTGAAAGGGTGACACAAATTCGGGGCCAAAGATGGGTGGGAATATGCTTGGATAGTCCCTTAACCTGTAGCTACAAAAGAGTAGATGATAGCATATTCTGCTGTCTGCAATGTAGGTGGTTTGACATCACATAGGAGAAGTTAGTGGAATCTGGTTTTCAGGGCACACATTCTGGCAGCTGACTGTTACGTTTTAACTATTTTATAGCCAGTTACTACAAAATGTCTTTTTCAGTTATTTTTTTGTACAACTTGGAAAATTCAGCAGGAAGTCACATTGCTTTAAGATGGAGATAATTTTCCTAAGTGTGTGTTTTTTTTAATTGCTAAGAAGTAAGGTACTAAATCATATAAGTGCTTTTACTTTCTTCTTTTCATTGACCATGGGGAAGCTTAGAATTTAGGCCAGTGTATAAGATTTCATGGAATTAATTTTATATGCTAATTCCATTCCTGATTTCATCTTAACTTTCCTTTTTTCCTCATTGATTTTTTTAAGCATTGCTTATGCTATATTTATGTAAAAGACTCTTAAATTAAACTCTAGAATAGGGTATGATATGAGATAAATGCTTAGAGTACCTGTTATTATTGAGAGTATTAACACCAGAGATCAACACCATTGTGCCCATCTGACAAGTGTGGGAGGCAACAAATCGGATTGTAAATGTCTGTGAGCGAATTGGCAGAGACAGCGTTGGAGATTCAGTCTTAGCATGTAGCCCTTCGCTCTGTGCAGAAGGGTGGAGGGATTCCAGGGTGATGCATCTGTCAGACTGCAAAAGAAGTCTTCCTGCTGGAGAAGCTTCCTTAGTGGACGCCTAGCAGAAAGAAAGAGGAGTTGGTGTAAGATTATTTTATAAGGAAGCCAGAAGCAGTCTTTGGCTAAGCAAGCTCAGATTCCATGCCTGTGGCCATCAGGCTTTGTCATTGTCTCTGTTGGGAAGTAGCACTTTGCTTTATTTATTTTTTGATAGTAGGACCCATCAGTTTCTTTTAGTGCCTTCACCCACAAGATCATCAAGAAAGGATTGCCCAGAATTGACTGAGAACCCTGGGATGCTTAACAAGTACTGTGTTGATTCTAAAGTTTTAACGGTATACCAGGTCTCTGAGAGAAATGTCAGCTGAGTATTGTCAGGCTTAAAGTCATGCAGGATGTGTTTGAGTACTCTAGGGAGTTTTCTGTTCAAGGAGAGGAAGCAAACTTAGTTTATAATTTTTCCTACTGGGCTGAAAATCCTTCCCCTTGCAGAATGCTCAGGTATCTTCAAATCTTGGGCCCTGAATGCACACTAGGCAAAGGACAGGACCTCAGGAGGCAGTAGGGTTACTCCACAGCTCCATGACCAAGGACTAGCTCCTCTGTGCTCTGTACCCATCTCCCAGTCTGAGCTGTGTCGCAGCTGACCTCGGCTGGAGTGGCCCTCTTCCAGTCACTTCTCCTGGCTTAAGGCTTTAGTCCCTCTCTTCTAGTTCATGAACAGAGATATTCGTGGAAAGCTGGAAAGTAGAAACTCTTTCCAAGAGTGTCTGTGCTCATGAACTGGGAAAGAATATGAAAGCCCTTGACTGGGGAGAAGGGAAGAGCAGGAAGCATGGAGGTCACCCACAGTGGGGATTACTGCTACCACCCTTCAAATGGGTCTCCATTGTTATGCCCCATGTTGACCACTACAGGGAGGCTGTGCATGTTTTCACTTTTCTCTTTAATGTGGTATGTTCCCTAATGAAATAGCAGATGTGTTGCCTATGCTATTGCTATAAGCACCCAGAAATCAGGGAAATTTGTTTTGTACTTGAGTTAACTTGGTAACATTAAGGATTAAAGGTTGTTTTGTCCCAGTACTGACATTTTCAAGCTTGGCAATAGGGACTTGGGGCTGAGCCAATCTGAGTATGGAATACTTTGTTGCTTTTATCTCTGTTTCATTTTGTGTTTGGTTGGGGCTTGCTTACTACAAGTGTAAGGTGGCCTTGGGGCCCAGAGGTGTTGATGTCCCACAAAGAGAACAGCAGCCAGAAACATGCCCTGTGTCCTATGCTGGTCATGGTTTCCTGGGAGCCCTGGGTGGTCTCCCAGATCTCTTAGAGGAAGGAACCCAACTCAACCTTGATGACAGCAGAGTGCCATTGCCTGTGAGTGGTCCCTCCCTTGGTTTACTCAGGCTGTGATGAGTGCCAGGTCCTGGGCTCTCTTTCTTGGCAGTTAGTCAAGGACAAGGTTTTTCTCATTTTGTCATAGACTTGTCTGAAGCATAGGACTATCAGTTCATGTCATTTCATCTTCCTTTCCCATCTTAGGATGGGGAAAAGTCATTCTTGTTTACTAGGGAAATTTGAAGTTCAGTATTTGAAAGTTAGTACTTTGAAATCTTTATTTGGAAAACACCATAGAAATACATTATCACTAATGGTTTGGAACAAGAGTTGTGTAGTAACTGTCAGCGCTGATGGATATGCTTTTTTTTCCTGACCCTTCTTTTCAGAACCCACACAGCAGTTAAAATAGCTCCACGATACAGTGCACCTGTAATCCACGTCCTGGATGCATCTAAGAGTGTGGTGGTGGTAAGTGGAGTGCCTTCCATTTTATTTCAGATGTGTTGTAGAGAGAACAAAAAAAAAGTATTAAAAGCTAAGGTATCACCCAAAGATCCATTTATTTTTCCAGTTCTACTAAAGAAATGTGAAAGTGCAGCATCTGCTGTGCCAGAAGGAGGCTCCATGAGCATGTCCTGGGCTTCCGGAGACACTTACGGAACTGAGCAGAGCAGAGGGAGGGTACCCATATACCTTCCACTTGGATACCTACCCAGACAGACCTCTCCAATTTATAAACATGAACAGACGCTTCCTTGACCACTGCCAAAGTTAAGTTGAATGTAGGATTTAAAAAATCACCCTTTTCCAGATATAAGATCACCTGAGAATGGGAAAGACAGAATGTTCACTGTCTATTCAAAACCAGATTAGCACATTCTGCTTACCAGTGAACATGTCTTTTCCCTTCTTTACTCCTGCAGGAAAGCCTAACATACTGTCTTATTATTGGTGTCATTGTTTTGCTAAAAAATATGACACAACAGCTAGGGACATCAGAGAGACTTTGTGTCTAGTAGTTTCCAGGTTGTTCTTAGCTGTAGAGTGGTGTTTGAGTTCTGTGGCTATAGAGTTCTTTGCCTGTAAGCGGTGTTTCATCTGGATGCTTGGTGTCCAGATGAGCTCAGGCAGCCATTCCACCCTTCACCCCACTCTTAGTTCTCATGGAGAGAGCACAGTCCAACAGCCACCAGCGTATCGAACTTCTGTATTTCTGTAGGGGAGAAAAGTGACAGAAGGGGCCTGGTGATCTGGGAGACGTCCAGTGACAATGTGTCACTGTATAAGAATGGCCACTTTTTCTAAGCCATCTTCCAGAGGGATTCTTTCAGATCTGCAAATTTATTTATAGGGAATTTATACAATAATCACGTAATTGAAAATTTATAGTATGTTTGGTACTGAACTAATACTTCCTGTGGGTTATTTTACTTAATCTTCAGAATGACCTCAGGAGGTAGATGCTTTTATTATCCTTATTTTAGAAATGAGGAAACAGGAATAAAGAGGCTAGTAACTCCTGGGCCACCTGTCCATCACATGGAAGGTGTGGGATGTGAATGCAGGGTCCTACTCTATGATAAATTGTATTTGGTTCCATTAATATTTATCAATTCTTTAATGGGATAAAATTAAGTCAAGCTGAAATCATAGAATTGTCATTTTTAAATTTGCTATTGACATAGACTAATGTGCAAATAAGCTGCATTTCTATAACTCAATTCTAAAACAACATTTATATCTTATTTTTTGGGTTATGCTTCATAGGAATTTATAAGGTGCATGGTTAAGTGAACATTGGGCCTTGTTTTAAAGCTTGTTGCTGTTTGCGAATGTTATGAATGGCTCTAAACATTTTCTGTTTGGAGACAGGGGTGTTGGATGTACCTCAGTGCCCAGTGTTGACACTTCCCCCCTAGGTAGGGAAGACGATAGATTTCATGTTTGGAGGACAAACTCTTCCTCCATCCTGAAGAGCTCAAGCAGCCCAGGCCTTGCTCAGAGCCAGACAGAGGACAAGGAGGGGACCTCATGCAGTTTGGCCCCACCAGGTAGCTGGTCATGCTTAGCTCCTCTCACATACAAAGAAATGGCCAGTTTTTGAAGTGGCTCAAATATGCATCAGCTGAGAAATCATTTAGGTAACTGCTAGTGACACTTTCCAGGAGCCAGGAGTGTCATTTGTTTTGCTCCATTATCAGCTAGGGGCCTTTTGATCTCAATGAAATGAACACGGGGCAAGACTGTGCTTTAGTGACTTACTTCCTCATAGATTTGAAAGGTTCGAAAAAGATGTAGCAAGCACTTAGTGGCTAGAGTCAGGTCTGACTCATGCTTTTTTGTCTTTCTTTTAATAAAAGGCAAGGTACCAATATTTATTGCTTTTTAAGTTATTAAAAAAAAGTTCCTCTCATTGTGCAGTTGCTGCCACGAACAATAAAATAAAGGAAAATGGTGGCATTAAAACACTGACGGATCCTGATATTTTGGTGAAAGGATATCATTAGCCATATTTTTAATCATGGGCTTGCTTCTTAAATTCAAGCAACTCAGACTGGGCAGGAAGGGGCTGTGGGAGCTTAAGGCTCCTTGGGAGGTAGTAGCAAACTGTAGAGGTATGTTCTGCCTACCCAGTAGTACCTGTGACAGGGCTTTGTGTATTTTCCAGATGTTAGGGAAATGAGATTTTGCTTCCTCAGGGTGTATAGTCAGTCAGACTAGGCCTGGTTCTATGAATGAGAATTCTGTGGAGGTGAGTTTGATGTAAGTCAGGGAAGTACTTCATTTGGGAACCTGTTCTTAGGCATGCCTCAGTGGCCTTTTTTGACTTTATTCCTTAATGGAGTGATTTTATTTTATACCAACTCACAGGTGATTGGAGTATTAACAGTGATACTTGGAAAACTCACTGGGAGGCATGTTAGCAACCATCTAGTCTACTAGTCTACTTGTGTAATTTCAGAAGAAGATACTGAACTCCTGCCCTTTTTGTGTTAGATCATCCTGCCGGAGGGTGAGAGAGGGACAATGCTGTGGCTTTTAACCAGTGGGATCATTAGCAGCCATTTCTTTCTTTGTAATTTTATTTTGAGTTTTGATGGTAGCTAGTCTTCTACCAGCTTGATAATATCATAAATACTTAGCTGATTCCAGCTTTACAATTTAATAAGTAGCTTCAATTTTTTTTTTTTAAGATTATCGGGTTTTTTTTGCATTTTAATCAAAGCTCACTGTTGACCATGAAATGAGCTTCTTTCTTTGTTAAGTAATCAGCATGTGCCTGTAAGTGCTAGGCACTGATCTGTGCACCAGGGCACCAGGGACTCTCAGGGCTTGTCCTCCAGGACGAGCATTAGACACAGGCGCAGCTTCTGAAGACCTGCAAGCAGCACAGTGCTGAATAGATGGAGTGCTGATAGAGTGTCTTTGGAACACTGGAGAGTGCACTGACCCCAGTGTCTCAGTGACCCCTGGGTCACTTTCAGGTTCAGTGATTCACTAGAAGGACTCAACAGAATTCAGAAACACTATACTCACGATCACAGTTTATTATCATGAAAAAAAATACAGCTTAAAATCAGCAAAGGCCAAAGGCACACAGGGTGGCACATCCAGGAGAGACAGACTGAAAATTCCAGGGTATCTCCCTGTGCAAACTAAATTCTCCCACTGATGACATGTGTCCTTAGGAGCATGTCCAACCAGAAAGCACTTCTCAGTGTGGTGGCCTGGACTTTTATTGGGTTAGTCACATAAGCATGGAATGCCCATGCATCTAACCTTAGTTGCTCAGTCTCCAGCCCCTCTCAAGGTCTAACAGTCATAGCCTGAGCCAGGGCCCCCTCTGGCCCTGGCCCATTGTCCCAGGTTTACAGTGATACTCTTACAGGCAAGATACCCCAAGGGCTTAGAGCTGGTCTCCCAGGAACCAGGGCAGGGCCAGGTCTATTGCCTTTGTGGGTTTGACATCCCAGTCCACTGAGATTACTGGCAGTAGCAAGCACACTTGTTGAAGTGAGAGCAAAGGTTGTAAGGGAATGCTTACTGAGGGCGATGTTGTCTTTGTGTTGCTGCTCTGTGGTTATTGAACTTTCATCGTATCTTTCAGTGTTCTCAGCTATTAGATGAAAATCTGAAGGATGAATACTTTGAAGAAATCATGGAAGAGTATGAAGATATTAGACAGGACCATTATGACTCTCTCAAGGTAAGTGACAGAAACTCTCTTTGCTTATTTGGGCTATAAAGTGATCCACAGTTTTCCATGTTACTTTATCGACTGCTTTGAGGAGGTGAAGACTTGGGGTCTTTTCAGAGGTCTGTTTCCTAGTTAAAAATCATAGTTGTAGATTGCCAGTCATTTTTGGTTGTACTAAAATGAACTTTAAGCTAGGCACAGTGGCACATGCTGGTAATCCCAGGACTCCAGATGCTGTGGGAGTGGGGTAGGGGGATTATGAGTTTGAAGTCAGTATGGACTACATAGCAAAACCCTGCCTCAAAAACAGTGGTGAGGTGGGGGGGGGGGGCGGGGATTTTATGAGTTCAGCCAAATATGCCGGGTTTCTGGTAGGTCTTAGGTAAAGTACTACATACTAGAGTTCCCAGAATGGGGACGGCATACCCAGAGCTAAAACACGACCTAAGATAACACTCACAGGGAAGTGGACACATTAGCCAGGACCATTGTGGGCCATCAGGGAGAGGCCTTGCTGTGCAGAATAATGCGGCAGGCACTGTCCTCCTCTGTAGGTGTCAGGGCTCCATGATTGCCCTTTTGAAGTCACTGGGCTATTTCCTCCTGGTGACCTCCCTTCAGGGCTTTTGTGTGGGCAGTTGCTGGGGATGTTCCATGAAAACAAACAGGATGAAGACATGCGGGTTTGTTGGTGGGGTGCTGGTGAGCTCCCTGTCCTTAGCTCTGCCCTCTGGTCCTCAGGGTGGTCAGTGGCAGGCCAGTATTCTGCAAGTACTGGCTGGCTCCCTCACTATCAGAGCTGCAGGCTTGGCTTCATGGCCATATTTCTGGAGGTAGTGCTTGCTCTTGCCTTTACTGTCTCCTGTGCTACTCCCAGTGTGAAGCCATATGGGATGGAAAGAGGGGAGCTTTTTACAATAAGGATTTTCATTTAAATGTGTATTATTATTATGCAAAGCTTCTATACTGGCTTTCTTGGTCATGCTTTTATAGCAGAGTTGGAAAAGCTAAGAGGCTCTCAGTAAATAACTTTTTTTTTTTTTTTCCTTCAACAGGAGAGGAAATACTTAACCCTAAGTCAAGCCAGAAAAAATGGTTTCCACATTGACTGGCTGGCTGAACCTCACCCAGGTCTGTGACTATTGCTGGAGACAGCTGGGTGTGATAACTGACGGTGTATAGGGGATGTTTGTAGTTACTTGGCTTCAAAATGAAAGCAGCAGCTAGTAGCTCTCAGTTGTGGATCATAATGAGTCAGCCTGGCGATGAAAAGAAACTACATGGGTACTGTTTAAGGAAATCCCATCATGTCCAGACACTGTCCCAAGATGGACCAACCCTAGCTTTCTGAGTCCTTATCTCTGTTTTCAGGTGAAGGAGCTGAGTTTAGATAATACCGTGGAAGGTCACTAGCATTCTCCCTCAGATTTGTCTTGTGACCCATCCTCTGTGCTGTGCTTGAGTTGGGCCGGCTTGGCTCATCCAGGTCTCCACAAGCCCAAGGGCAGACATGGAATGTTTAAAATCAAAAAACCCTCAGCTAAGCTGGATCCCTGTTTCTCATTCACACTCTTGTTTTCTCTCTAGATGCTTCCCTTTCTTTTAATTTCTTTTATTTGGTTTCTGACCTTTTTTATTTCTGGGTAGCTTTCTTGCCTCACATAGGTATTCATGAGGGAATAGAATGTGTAAGATGTTTTGACAGGCTTAGAGAGGCAGGAGATGCAAATGCAAAACCAAGATGGTGAACAGAGGTTGTATTCATTGAATCCATATTTGCAAGGTAATGTCTCAAATCAGCCTTCACTGCTCAAGGCATCTGTGTTTTGCTCATGCTTGGCAGAGCTGAGAGGATTCAGTTGGAAATGTAGGTGTGCCTGGTTCTAATTTCATCCCTGCTGAGCTCAGTGTGCCTTAGTACAATGTCAGGATGGGTGCTGGGAAGCCGGGGTGCTTGTCCCAAAGAGCCTGCAGGCTCTGATTCACCAGTGACCCTGAGTGTCTTTGACAGTTTCTAATGTGTAAAAGGAGGTTACTTTATGGAAGTGCTGACAGGGTACAGTAAGGTTTTATGTGAAAAACTTTGAGGAAATGTGTCTCTATAGAGTTGATGCTATAGTGTGAAACTGGCCATGGCCTTAGGGGCAGGTTCATCCTGACCAGGTCAAACATCCCAAATGGGAAGGCCCTCAGATATGTGTGAGAACAACCCAGGTTTTGGGGAGCTACAGGAAAAAAGAAGGGTCTTCTCTTCAGGCTCTGTGTGGTAGAGCCCGAAGCAACTCCCAAACTCTGGGTACAAGCTTGACCAAGACCAGCCCTGTCTTCAGTGGCAGCAGGCTATTACTCCCTGCCTGCCGGCAAGGGACCATTATCACCAGAAGCACACCAGGGTCTCCTTTCTCTCCTGAGGTGCCTGTAACCTTTTTTTATGATTATGTTAGTACTCTATCATTCTCTTCCTTTCCCTCTTTCCCTGAGTTCCATAGAATAGTTCCACTATTATAAACATCTTATACATCTGAGTTTGTGTATGATCCTGCTTGTTTTTGTGTGTATGTTTATCTTTTGGATCTATCTTCCAAGTATGAGAAAAAACATGTGGCCTTTGTCTTTCTGAGCCTGGCTTACTTATCATGATGTCGTCCAGTTGCATCCATTTATCTTCAAACCACATGGTGTCATTATTCCTCATGGCTGAATAAAACTCCATTGTGTATATACCACATTTTCTTGATCCATTCATAAGTTGTAGGGTACCTGGGTTGTTTCTGTAGCTTGGCTGTTGTGAATAATGCTGCAATGAACATTGGGTTACAGGTGTCTCTACTGTACCCTAACTTACATTCCTTTGGGTAGATGCCCAGGACTGGTATCACTGGATCATATGGCAGTTCTATCTTTAGTTTTTTGAGGAATCTCCATACTGTTTTCCATAGTGGTTGTACTAACTTGCATTCCTACCAACAGTGTATAAGGGTTCCTGTTTCACTGCATCCTCGCCAGCATTTCTTGTTGTTTTTGCCCTTGATTATGGCCATTCTAACTGTAGTGAGATGAAATCTTAGTGTAATTTTGATTTGCATCTCTTTTATAGCCAGGGAAGTTGAACACTGCTTCATGTATTTACTGGCCATTTGTATCTCTTCCTTTGAGAATTTCCTATTTAATTCATGTGAATGTTGATTCTTTAGGGGCTGAGTATTTTGAGTTCCCTGTAGATTCTGGAGATTAGTCCCTTATCACATGAGTAGCTGGCAAAGATTTTCTCCCATTCTGTAGGCTGTCTCTTGAGGATGACTGTTTCCTTTGCTGGGCAGAAGCTCTTTAGTTTGATGCAGTCCCATTTCTTCATTTTTTTCTCTTTGATGCTGAGCCTTTTGAGCTCTATTTAGGAAGTTGTTCCCTATGCCTATATGTTCCAGTGTATTTCCTATTACTTCCTGAAGTTGTTTCAATGTTTCATTAAAGTCTTTGATCCATTTTGAGTTGATTTTGGTACAGGGTGAGAGACAGGGATGTAATTTCAGTTTTCTACATGTGGATATCCAGTTTTCCCAGCAGCATTTGTTAAAGAGTCTGCCTTTTCTCCATTGTGTCTTTTGGGCTCCTTTGTTGAAGATCAGTTGGCTATAGATGAGTGGGTTTATGTCTGGGTCTTCTACTCTGATCCATTTGTCTTCCTGTATGTTTCTGTGCCAATACTATGCTGTTTTTATTGCTATGGCTCTGTAGTATAGTTTGAAGTAGGGTATTGTGATGCCTCCAGCATTGGACTTTTTGCTCAGAATTGCTTTGACTATTCGAGGTCTTTTGTATTTCCATATGAATTTTAGAATTGATTTTTTTCTATCATTGTGAAGAATGTCATTGAGATTTTGATAGGGATTGCATTGAACGTGAAGATGCTTTTGGGAGTATGGGCCTATAACCTTGTTACTAGAAAAACCAATAAAATAGTATTTAGAAAGATGGGGCCATCTTGTGTAGTAGAAAGGTGACAAGGCACCGCTGAGAGGAACACTGTACTCATGTGTGAAGCAGAGATTCCAGGCACAATTAAGACCTGCTCCTGCTTTTCTTCTGCTTTCCTCTCGCATCTCACAGGAAGCTCATGGGACCCTACTCACAGGGGAGGAGCCAGGGCTTGCAGTTTGCAGCAGGGTCTGCGTCCTGGGCTTCCAGCCTACTGCCACGGGCATCCCTCTGCGTCCCAGGGACACAGCATTAACGCTCATCAGCATTATTTACATTACAGTGAGTTTCAGAGAACTGAGATGTAGAGAACAGTGTATTGAACATGCAGGCATACCCACAATGAGCCTGAGAAATCACCTCCACCTGTTTTTAGAAAACAGAACTATATGTGTGTAGGATCAGTCCCATTTGTGTCCCTTCCTCCCCTGAAGAAATAACCACAGTTCTGAATTTGGGACTTTGTTTCCGTGAAGGTTCTTATGCTTTGATGTGCATGGCAGTAGGCAATACAGGTCATTGTTTCATGTTTGTAAACTTTATATAGGTAGCCTCTTTCTGTGGAGGTCTTTATTTTACATTGTCTTCATCTTGGACAAGTGAAGATTAACTTAGTTTCTTCCTTCTCTTGGGCTGGGGCGGGGATGACAGGGTGGTGGGCAGTTTCCAGGGTGGTGGAGTCAGTCAGCCAGCTGCATGGGAAGAAGTTTTATTTCAGATCCAGTGTGGAATTACTCGCTCTCCATAGTAATGGAAAGTTCCGCTCTTTGTAAGACAACTCATGTGACAGGAGGGAGGCTGAGTGTGGGAGGGAGCGAGCAGTGTGGTGAGGAGCCGGGGTGTGCCGTGGTCGGGCTCGGGGGTACCCCCCCCCCGGGTCGGCACTCATGGCTGTGCTTGTCCCTAGTGAAGCCCTCCTTTATTGGTACCCGGGTCTTTGAAGACTATGACCTGCAGAAGCTGGTGGACTACATTGACTGGAAGCCTTTCTTTGATGTCTGGCAGCTCCGGGGCAAGTACCCGCATCGAGGCTTCCCCAAGATATTTCATGACAAGACAGTAGGTGAGTTCAGTAAGTCCCTCCTTCTTGCCTGCCTTGCAGAGTGTTGTGTTGTGACTGTGAACACAGCACTGGAGGATGAGTGTGTTTAGATCATGTGGGGTATAAGTTCCTGCTGTTCACCTGCTTAGCTTTTAGATGGTTTTTAGACTGGTTGGTTGGTCCTTATCAAATTGGCTAAATTGGACATTTCATTCATTCATTCTTTCAAGAAGTGTTTATTTGGTATCAGTTGTGTACAGGGCATTAGAGACAGACAAAAGGAGACAGTATAACCTCTGCCTTCTGGCTCCTGACTTAGTACAGGGTACCCACCTGGCTCCTTCTGCGGGCTCTGATGATAGGTCAAGGCAGGCTTCCTGGAGGAAGTGGTGTTTGAACTGCTTTTTGACAAATTGGTGGGAGTTACTGAGGCTGGGCCTGAGGATGAGAGGTGGTATTAAAGAAAAGAATGTTCTAGGAGGAGCATGAACAGCCACAGACATGTGCCTGTGTGGGACGTGCAGAATCACTGCCTGCAGAACTCAGGAGAGGAGAGGGGTTTGGGTGACAAACTAAAGAACTGGGTGAGTTCATAAATTGCCACTCCTTGTTCTGATGTCTCATCCTTGGCCCTACCCCAGAAACGTGGGACCACAATGCGAAGCCATTCAAAGGATCTGAAAGTGGCCAGAACAGAGTAGGATGGAGGGTGGACTCATAGAAGTATGGGATTGGAGCAAGGAAGAACGTGGGGAGCCAGCCCGTGGCTTCCCAGAGGGGTTCTGGGTGTATACCAGGATGCTGAGGCTCAGCAGCTCACAGGTAGCCAGGAGTGGGGTATGGGCTTCTCATTGTAATGTCCTGTGTCACCAAAGGGGAGAAGTCAGAGGCTGAGGGACTCACCCCTACACAGCAGGGCTGTGGCAGATAGGGAGCCTGGCCCCACAGTGCAGGTTCCAAGGTTGTCCAAGTGCAGCATTGAAGCCGCTTAGGAGGGTGTGGAACTGCGCTTCACCACCCATCCCATCTCATCCCCAGAGGTCTCTGCGAAGTGTGTGGGATTTCGTGTGCGTAGGAATCGCTGCCAGTGAGCCTGGAATCTGGCCTGCTTTTCCTTGCCCTCTGACAGACTGCTTTGTCGAGCCACAGTGTTGGCTGTCTCAGCTGCCTCTTGTGAAATGGGAAAATGAAAGTGGCTTGAGCTGGGGGAAGCCGACTGTAGGGGCTGCACGTCACAGGAGCCAGTAGCCCCTGGCTTCTTCCTCTGATGCTGTGAGGATGGCAAACCCTGAGATGGGGAAGGGGAAGCTGGCTGAGCAGGGCAGGGGTTTTAAGAAGCATTCTTTGTGAGCTGTTGTTGGCATCTGTAAGTTATTTCATTTCTTATTTTATTTTCCTAAAAGGCGAAGAGGCCAAAAAGGTGTATAATGATGCCCAGAATATGCTGGATGTGTTGATTAGTGAAAAGAAACTCAAAGCCAGGGGCGTGGTTGGATTCTGGCCAGCTCAGAGCGTCCAAGATGACATCCACCTGTATGCAGAGGATGTGGTGCCCCAGGCTGCAGAGCCCATAGCCACCTTCTATGGTCTGAGACAGCAGGTATGGATGACATGTGCACAATCAGAGCACTGCTTTTACTCTCAGGTTTGTGTACTAAACTTAACAAATGTCAATGAGAATTAAATAAAAAACCAGAACTTTCTATAAATGATGGAGTCTGCTCCACCTTGTCCTGAGTGACCAGCCACAGACCCAAAGCCCACAAGGCATTTGTGAGGATGATGGAGAGGAGGTATCAACATGGTTGTTGACAGGGCCTCTCCAGCTCCAGGAGGAGTGGTGTTCACTGTCAGGTCTGCAGATGGGCAAGAATCATTGTTGCTGCCCCAGGCTTCACACTGACTTCTCTGACTCTCAGTGCTATCTCCCAAAGCAATGTGCTTGTGTTGTGCATGGTACTAAATACACTGGTAGCTGGCCCCTGGGAGACAGATGAAAGCGAACATTCCTTGCATGTCCACTGGATACCAGGTGACCAGGAGGGTGCAGGATGGGCCATGCTGCTTAACTTCTGCGCAGCCCTGTTATCAGGCACTGCCCTCCAGGTACAAGGGGTGACCCCACCATACGCATTCCCTGTCTGTTCTTCTGCTGCACTGACTCCCTTCAGTGTGGCTAGAGTTGCTCCTTTCAGCACAACTCCTTCTTTTACTCTTGCTCCAGCTTTAAGAATACAAACATCATAGTCATCACTGTGACCCATGCCTGTGATCCTAGGTACATGAGAGGTGGAGATCAGTTGGGAGGACTGAGTTCAAGGCCACCCTGGGCAAAAAGTTTGCAAGACCACCATCTCAATCAATGAAAGCTAGGTGGGGTAGTGCACCCATCATCCCAGCTGTGTGGGATGTATAAATAGGACATCATGATCCAAGCCAGCCTGAGCATAAACGCAAGGCCCTGCTCAAAAAAACAAACATACCTAATGCAAAAAGGGCTGTGGCTGTGACTTAAATGGTAGAGTTGCTGCCCAGCAAGTGTAAGGCCCTGAATTCTGTCCTAGTACTGCCATAAAAAAAAAAAAAATGCAACTGTCATATACAGGTCCCTTTAGCTGCTGTAAGTAGTAGTCCTAATCAACAATTGGAATCAGAATGTAATAATTTGCAGTAAATTACTTTTTCAGCTTTACTGTCATTTTTAGCCACTTAAAAGTGATAGTATTGCCTTTAACCACAGTTGTAGTATAATTCATAATGACATGTGTTTTGACCATAACATCTGATGGGATGTTTAAATTCCAGGCCTTTTGCAGTACCGTAAAGAATCAAATGAGGACAGCCTCATCCTTACTGCATGCATGCAGGCTCAGTAACTCCTAGCTGTGTGCTCTTGGGCTCAGACACCACAGCATACAGAGCCGGGGGTTCTAATGTTCCAGTGCTTCCTCACCAGGGAAACTAGGTGTGGCTGAAGTCACATACCAGTCCTTCATCCTCCAAGTCCTCCTCTGTCCTCTTCCAGAGTGAAGTGAAAAGCTATTTATGCACAGCAGTCTGTGGCATATCACATTAGGGCATTTGCCGTAGGGGTTCTCAGAGTCCACCCTCCACTAGTCCCTGGGCAGAGGAATGAGGAGGTGCTCTTCTCAGTGCCCTCAGGAAAATTCTGGCCGCAGTGCCTCTTTACTCTGGGAGCCTTCTGTCCTGAGGAGGCTCTGGTTGCTGTCCTTTCTGAGGCACTGACCTGCCTGTCCTGTGCTCCAGGGAAGCTTTGTGTCCTCTTCTGGCTTTTGTTAGCAAAAAGTACCACTGAAAAATGGCTCTTCATGCATGAGTTCTGTGACACTTCTGTGTGCCTTTATCAAATGTCTCGCCTGTAGCCACTCACTGACCTCTGCCTGGGTCAGGCTGTGCATGCTTTCATGGCTGGCAAGTGGCTATGAAGCGCCTGGGTGTCCATGTGTTGACTAACTAATTAGGCACCTGGCCTTAGAGAAAATCCAGAAGTGAGTTCTGCTGCATTCTCTGGTTTTAGGCCGTCCTGGGGTGTCCTGTGTGCTGCACCACCGCCCTTGGCAGGCAGCATGCAGCAGTTTGTCAAGCCGCATCTGCTGATGCTGAGTGGAGGCTCATACCTGTAACGGAACCACTTCCTACACAGTGCCAGGACTTCACGCTCATCTGAATTGAAAACACTGTTAGGGAAAAGATTTTTACATATGATTGGTTAAGGCTCCATTTCCTAGCACAGTGCCTATAGGCATTCAGGAAGTGTTTGGTCTGTGTGTGAATGAGCATCTGGCTTCCTGATTGTATGTATTATATCATGTCAGATACCATCTCACTTGTGTCTTAGTGAAGAGCTGAGACTGGGTAATTTATAAAGGAAAAAGTTTATTTTGCTTCACGGTTCTGGCCACTGGGAAGTCCAGGATCAGGTGGCCGCACCTAGTGAGGACTGTGTGCTGCTTGACATGGTGGAAGTCAGAAGAGGGGAGAGGTTTGTGCACAGGAGTTAAAGGGCTTTGGACTCCAGTGATCGCCAACCCATTCTCACAAGAAAGGTGTGACCCAAATACCTCCTGTTAGGCCCCACCTCCCAGCACTCACATTGCGATTCAGGTTCCAACACATGAACTTCTGGGGGCACACTCAAATCATAGAAGTATATTTATTCAGCAAGCATTTATTGAATACTTGCTATGTGTCAGGCGTGTTTTGAAGTGCTGCAGATGTTCACAGTGGACACATCAGGCAAACATCCCTGTGTCCTAAGACTTACAGTCACGTGAAGACGGCAGATTGCCACTGTGTATTGGTGGCACATCCATGCTAACAGCCCCTCTGCCACTGCTTGGGTTTTAAGGCCGAGAAGGACTCTGCCAGCACAGACCCGTACCATTGCCTCTCAGACTTCGTCGCCCCCCTGCACTCTGGCGTCCGTGACTACCTGGGCCTGTTTGCTGTTGCCTGCTTTGGGGTGGAAGAGCTGAGCAAAGCCTATGAGGATGACGGCGATGACTACAGTAGCATCATGGTCAAGGCTCTGGGGGACCGGCTGGCAGAGGTAAGGTGGCGGCAGAGCCTTGGGACACCGAGGCCCAGTCTAGGTGGTATAGATCCCACAATAGTGTCAGAAAACTGATGAGCTACAAAATCTGTCTTTTTCTCTTTTTGTCAGCTGCCACTTTAGTGTTTTCATATCTTAAAACCATGTATCCTCTTTGGGCAAAGAGGAGCCTTCAGAGCTGCTTTGATTGGCTGTTGCATTTAGAACCTTGATCTCTTGCCTCATCTCTGAGGTCCTCCTTTGCTAATTGTGATGCAGCATTTTCCTGAGGTCCCCCAAAAATACTAAAAGCAGATTTCTATTTCGGAGCCTGTCCCTTTAACCTTGTCATCTTCTGTAGTCTTCATCTTGCTGTGCATGGGGTGAAGCAACCCAGGTTGTAGGGGGGCCTGACCCCTTTCCCTGTGGCAAGCCTTGGAGGAACACAGCCCTTTGGTTCCCACTGCTCGTTCTGGCAGTGAAGCTGTGGATGGAACTTCAGGCAAGCCTTTCAGTTAGCAGGCCTAAAACTCTCAGATTTCTAAACGTGACACTTCAGGGCCCAAGTCGAGGACACTGTTGTGCAACTGGGCAGCTGATGAGAGTACAGGTGTGAGAACCCAGCCTATCCCCTCCTCCCAAATTCTCTCTGGCATGGGCCACGTGAAGGAGGCTGCTCCGTTACCCGTGGCACAGGTGTGTAGGATGCTTTGCGCTCCCTCCTCCTGAGCACGCCTTTGCTTGGGCTTCCCAGGCCTTCGCAGAGGAGCTGCACGAGAGGGTCCGCAGGGAACTGTGGGCTTACTGCAGCAGTGAGCAACTGGACATCACAGACCTACGTAAGCTCCGGTATGGTGGCATCCGGCCAGCTCCCGGCTACCCCAGCCAGCCTGACCACACCGAGAAGCTTACCATGTGGAGACTGGCCAGTGTCGAGCAGGTCACAGGTGTGTGCGGGAAGGGAACTCCGATCTTTTCCTGACTCGGTAGATAACACTTTCATCAGGACAGTGCCATGCCTGGTGAAAGTGGTTTTTAACGGAAGCGCTTGCGCTGGAACATTCTGTATCCTACCCCTTCTCACTTACAGCTACTCATTCTGCCACTCTATTGCTGTATTGTATTTTTGTTGCCATTTTAGATTTATGAGTTTAAATCATTTCCTCTTGACCCATCATGGGAATTTAGCTTGCTCAGACATCCACCTCCTCACCTCAGCTTTCTGTTGTTAGTGCTATAGCGTCTTTCATTCCTCCTAGCAACTGGACTCTGTCCCGTCAGTAGCATCACTTGCCCTAGGCCCGCACGGCGTGCCGATGGTGTCTCCAGACACAAGGCTGGCAGAGCTCCCAGCCTTTCCCTCAGCTCCCTGTCTTTTACTCTGTTACTAACATTGGTGGCTCCTCTGTAATCGTAATTCTCTCTTATGTTATGCCCGTAGGTTGATTCTTACAGTTGAAAATAAAAAATCGGCTTGTGCGCCCAGCCTCGGCATCCTTGGCCCAGGGCACAGTAGTACATGGTCCTGTGGCCTCACGTAATCCTGTTTTTGTCTTTATGTAGGTTCCAACCCTTGCTGCCTAGTTTGTGAGGTTGAGTTCACAGCTTTCGGTGGAATTAGTTAAAAGCATGCTGCCAAAGCTGAAGTTAAAGGAACTTAGACTAAAGAGGGGAACCGTGAGCAGTGCTGAAGCTGGGTCAGCAGAGACAACAACTGACCCTGGGAGTCACGAGATCTGGGTTAGGGTCCCATTTTCCATAAGCAGCAGGTGACCTTTGACAGATGCTCTACCTTTGTCCACTAAGTGAGTAGAGTAGAATGTTAAGTCCCAGTAGGAAGTGTGGCTGCCTTCTCAGTGCTCTTGTGAGCTCAGACTTCCAGGGTCCCAGCTGCTGGTCACACAGATCCTGTGGAGGGCTGTCAGCAGTTCTCTCCTGTATATGAGACCTAGCACTCCTGCCTAAGAAGGCCTGGGTGAGGGACAAATTGGGCCTCTGCAATTGGGTACCAGGGAAAGAATTTAGAGTCTTTTTAGACCTGTCCCCACTGGGAAAACCTGTGTGCCCACTCTTTGGTTTTCCACCTGGCAGGCATTTGCTAGACTCATCTGGTCACAACTTCCTTGTTGTGTCACATGTCTGCCTAGAAGGCATGAGTTTATTTCCATTCACTTACTCAGCCAGAGACCAGGCCCCAAGCTAGGACTGCGTCAGTGAGCCTCTCCTGTGCTGCTCTCTCCAGGCATTAAGCTGACGGAGTCCTTGGCAATGGCTCCTGCCTCTGCAGTATCAGGCTTCTACTTCTCCAACTTGAAGTCCAAATATTTTGCTGTGGGGAAAATTTCCAAGGATCAGGTAAGTGTGTGCCTTCCCTAGATCCTTATCTTGTTTTTTAAAATTTATTGTTTTACATTTACTTACATGACCCTCACCCCATTCCCACCTATCTTCTTGTAAATGGAATTCTAGAGCCTATTTTATTTTAAATGAGAACAAAATGAAGGGAAGAGAATGAAGAAATTTATCCCAATGAATGTCTTAATTTGACTTCAACCCATTACTGTGATTCTGGCCTTCCCTCTGTACCCACGTGCGCACTCAGCCAGCTTCTGAGCACAGTACATATTTACTACGTGTTGTCTTCAGCCCAGAGAGTAAGACAGCTGAGCAGAAGGAGATGCTTATCTCCATTTACCTCATAGATTGTTTTTATGGCAAGAAATGCAAGGTACTTAATTGTTCTTGGCAAAAATCTGTGGAAACTTTGTTCAGAAAGTCTTAGCACTTTGATCGAGCAGATGCTTTTGTCTTTGCAGGTTGAGGATTATGCTTTGAGGAAGAACATGCCTGTGGCCGAGGTGGAGAGGTGGCTTGGCCCCATATTGGGATACGATACAGACTAACTTCTATTTTTTAAACCTTCTTTATACTCGTTGACCTGCAGGAGGTACAATCCAGAGTGCCTTAGAAATAACAACAAAAAGCCCGAGTGCTTCTGGTCTCAGAAGATTGTCTGGTGGCACTGTGTAGAGGCGGATCTTCCTGTGCTTTCTGGGAGAGAAGCACTATTTTTCAGTGCTTGAACTCTGAGGCTCATATTGTCTCTGGTCTCTCCCTGGTTCCTCAGGGACTGTGACACTGTGGAGATAGAGGTCTTTTGCATTTCAAAGCAAGCCAACTAGCTTCTTTTCCATCGTTGCCTTAGATCTAGGAGGGCACATGCTCCTGTTTTTTTCTTTGTTTGTTTGTTTGTTTTTTCCCTTCTAGAAAAATCACCTGAAAGTGGAATAGAGAAATGTGGCCCTGTGGCAAGGTGCCACTGTGAGAAATGGGGCATTTTAATCTAAGTGCTTCCACCAGTACACTCTGACAAGGAGGAAAGTATTTCTGTGCTAGCTCCAGCAGACCTCGTGTTCTGAAGCTCAATTAAATGGTTGCAGAAATTCTTTTGGAAAGGCATGCTCTTACACTTGCTTGTCAGAAATACTCAAGCTTTATGTCCTGGTGTGGCCAAGTACAGTCCATCATGCTTTCTGAGATTGTGTGTGTGTGTGTGTGTGTCCTGTATTCATAGTCCCTTCCCTAAGGTGGGGGGAAAGGAGAAGTGGGAAAAAGTGACTATTAGTTAGCATCTTCCAGCTATTTTCAGAATTGAGCAAGTTCTCAGCTGACCTGTGGTACTGTGGTATCCCGTGCAGGACCTGTGGATTGCATTGTGTCTCTCAGTTCTTTTTCTGCACCATCCTGACTCCAGACTCACTACGGTTTGGAAATAGCACATTGACTCATTCCGGGTTATCTCAGGGGAATGGTTAAGAGCATGCTGGAAGTGAGGCATGCATGGACTCAAATTTTAGCTCTGCCACCTAATTGCTGTGTGACATAAGTAAAGTAAAGAACTCAGCCTTTTCAGCATTGTTTTCTCATCTGTGAAATGAGAGAGCTAATACTGGTTTCTTTCTCATTGATCTGAGTGTGGATTAAATGAGCTGATGTGTGTAAGACAGTTGACATGGTGTCTGGCACGTAGTAGGTGCTTACTGAGAAAGTAGCTCCTGTAGAGCTCTATACGCAGCCCCTCAGCTCAACACATAGCAAGTGCTCACAGAAAGAATAAAAGGTTATTGGAGGGGAAAAAATAGTGGGAATGATTGATTGACTATCGTAGGTCCCCTTGTGAGATTACAACCCCATCTAACATTGCCTGGGAAGAAGAAGCTGCCTCTTGTGATATATGCATCACTTGGACTTGTTTTCTTTGAGACAAACCCTCCCCTACTCTTGTGAGGTTAGACAGCCTTATCCCCAAAGCAGTCAAACCACATTTCATTCAGGTACAGTGGAGGTGCATCACTGCAAATGACAGTTCTGTGTATCAGTCATGTGCTCATGTCTCCTTGCAGAGCATCAAACATTTACAGCCCTTCAAATGCAGAGGATTGCGAACTGGGGTTTGAACTCGGCTTTGTGCTTAGAAGGCAGGCACTCTACCAGGTGAGCCATACTTCCAGTTACATGGTTTTTAAAGGTACATTTAACTTGTGCTAGGTTGAGCATAGGGTGCCTGTATTCTGAGCCACTTGGTTTTAGGACTCACTTCCTGTTATTTCACAACATGTATATTATTTAGGCTTTGGAACATTCTTCTGTGAGAAAGAATGGCCTCCAAATATTTTAATGTATTTTACCCGAGCAGTTACTAAGTCTCTGGATTCCAGTGCTTACTATATCTTCTCTCAGCTGGTTGTGAGACAGAATGGCCTGCTTGTCCAATCCCATGACAGAGGCTTTCATTCCCTAAAGACCAAAGTATGTTTGCAAATTCAAGTGCCTAAAGGTCTTAAGAAATATAAAAATAACTTGAAAACATCCTCCTTAATTTGTTCTGGGCGTGCCAGAGAAGCAGGACTCCAAACAGGCAGATAACATAGTGACCTGGGTCTTGCCATGCTGTTGACTGTACCCAGAAACTCTCCTCACCACCAGCGCTGGGGACTCTGACATTAACTGACTCACACATGGCGTTTCCACATCCACTAGGGCTCTGCATTTCATTTCCCTCTAATGAGTTGTCCCCATCTGGTGCTTATGTCTGCTGTCTACGGTGAAGCTGGTTTTTGTGGGATGGTGGATGTGATCAGGTCTTGTGATGCCTTGTTTCTCCTTTGACTTATTCTGTTCAGCATTCTCCACCCACACTGAACTCACGTATAGGATAAGCTGCCTAGGCAGATTTCTCCTAGGATGCCCTCCACAGATAGCTGGGTGTTTAATATGTACCAGCTATTTTCTCCTCCCATTCTCTCCTTAATTCAGCGAAGAGAGAGAGAGAGAGAGTGTGTGTGTGAGAGAGTGTGTGTGTGTGTGTGTGTGTATCTCCCATCTCTTACCACTAATGAGCTCTTCATTGCTAGACCTAATAATGTTCCTTCCAATGGATTTTCATTTCTTTGGTTTTGGATAGTATTGAGTACTTCTTCTAAACTCTCCTTACCCTGGTTCCCCCTTGACATCACTCTTCTCATTAACCATCTACATTTATGATAATTTCTCAGCCATTTTCTGAATTTTCTTCTTTTCTGCCCACATAAATCCTCATATCCTGAAGGATCTATCATTAGTTGCCTTTTTATTTTATTTTGGTGGTACTGGGGTTTGAACTGAGGGCCTCATTCTTGCTATGCAGGCATGCTACCACATGAGCCACTCTGCCAGCTCTTTTGTGATGTCTTTTTGAAATAGGGTCTCACAAACTGTTTGCCTGGGACTGACTTCGAACCTCGATCCTCCTGATTTCTGCTTCTTGAGTATTACAGGCATGAACCACCAGCACACTGCTATTAGTTGCCTTCTTGAGCATATAGCTCCATCGGGCAATCTTGTCTAGGCAGTACTCCTAGGTTACTCCATTCATACTCCCTGCTTCTTATGAACAAAGCTCTATGCTCAGTTTCCTTTTGGAGGACTTGCAGTCATCTCTCACTCAGCAGCTTGTCTCACGTCCTCAGTGCACTCAGTAGTGAAGACTGATGCTGCCACCCAAGCAGCAGACCTCAATTTCACCCCACATCATCATTTTCTACGGTTACAGTCATTTCAGTTTTGTACATTAAAGATACAGTTTTCCTACTTTAGTTGGAATGGTGGTGTAAATATTCAGGGAGGGCATGGTTGAGTTTGCTTTAGGACTTAAAGGATAGAGATGAAGCAACAAGGGAGAACAAATGAAGAATGGTCTACATTTCCAAGTAGGAACATTAAAGGATATGAAGGCAGCAGATCTCTGCAAACTGAGCTGTAGATTCAATGCTACTTGGAAAAGAAATTCTAACCATGTAACAGTTATATTGAACATAAGCTGATACCTAAATTTATTTGGAATAGCAAAGGATTGGCTGCAGAAGAGGTTTAGTGGACCTGCCTTACAGTGCGTCCAGACTTATTGTAAAAGAGGGTGATGTACCTGCTACAGGGTGACTTTCTAAGCATTTGGCTTGTGCACACGTCAACCTTTGAGGCAGGATGGGGTGGCTGGCAGATGAGTGGGGACAGGAAGAGCTTCTGCACAAGTCGTACTAGAATAATGGCTATCCATTGGGAAAACAAGAAAAAAGATGATTTCTGCCTCAGACCTTACCCAACAATCAATTCCAAATACCTTAAGGGCTTCAATACAGAAAGTAAAAGTTGTCTAAGTGAAAAAAAAACATAGGTCAGAAAATCTCAAGACAAAGCTCTCAGTAATCATACAAGATGATTAAATCAGCTCTACCAAAACTAAGGACTTAGGTTAAGCAAATGAACAGTTTGAATGAAAAGACAGGCCACAACTTGAGAACACATACTCTCAACTGTTAAGGCATAGTCATCAGAATATGTAGAGAATTTCTACTTTAAAAAATAGAAAGGAGAAAGGCATTTCATATAGGGCCAACAAGCAAAGAGATGTTCCCCAGCATTAGTGATGAGGAAATACGAATTAAGACCACGATGGATTTGACTTTACACTCATAAGATTTGCAAGAATTGAGCCCTGTGTTACAAGGTGTTAAAGAGGGTTGCTGTCACACACATCTGTCACATGGAACCCCTGCAGTAGAACAGCAGACCTAATTATCTAGCTTCTGACTTCCAGTCATGTGGTCTGTCAACTCTTGTACTTTGGTGTATGCATGAATGTGTGAGAATGTTCATAGTAATATAGTTGTGATTGTTAACTAGAAAAAGTGCAGTGTCTGTCTATAGTTCAGTGGGTTAATATATTAGGTGTATTTACCCTAAGGGATATTATTCTGTAGTGAACATGAAGGCACAAGCTACAGCTGTATCTGCAGTGCCAAGTGTGGTGGTACACACTCCTGTAATCCCAACTACTTGGGAAGCAGAGACAGAAGAATTGTGAGTTTGACGTCAGCCCAGGAAAAATTAGCAAGACCCCCATCTCTAAAACAAAGATGTACACAGAAGGGCTGGGTCTGTGGCTCAAGTGGTAGAATACTTACCTAGCACACTAGCATGTGCAAGGACTTGGGTTCAATCCCCAGTACTGGGTGGGAGGGGAGAAAGAATCCTAGAAAACATTAAAAGGAAAAAATAAGTTCCATGAGACCACATATGACATACTATTTTTGTTGAGCTCAAAAACAAGCAGTACCAAAGAATACATTGACTAAAACCGTGTTGTAAAGAAACAAGTAACAGAATGACAAACCCAAAACTTATCTTAGTGATTGCCATGGGAGGAGATAGAGAGAAACCCATGCTTAATGAAAGTTGTAAGTAACATTCTTGTTCTTGAGTGGGAGGGAGATGGTGTTTATTATATACTGTATTTTGCTTTACAACAGTTTTATACATTTCAGATATGCTGTATTTAATGTGTGTTAAATATATTGTAAAAAATAAAGGCAAAGTGAAATGACCCAAAATGTGCTATGATGAGTTTGTATATGATGTTTCTATAGGTCAGATACATTTTTGAAGGAAAGGAACATTTTAGCCAGAGGAATAGCCAGTATGAAGATGGCTGGGTAAGACGGGTGCATTTGTGCACCTGCCTGTAGCTCTCGAGCCTAGGTTTTGGTGGATGGTTGTACCATTTGCACTTCATTCAGTGCTTACCTATGTGACATTGTTTCACTTATTTTCTGCGTATTTTCAGTGAGAAATTTGCGAAACGCAGTTGTCCTGGTAGATAGAGCTAAGCATCATTAATTAAAAATTCAAGGCCCTGGGTTCAATTCCCAGTTACAGGTGCACACATTGGTGTACACATGCACATGCGTGTGCGTGCATAGACACACATTTCAGGGGAAACAACCTTGGTGTCAAAATCTTGGTTATTTTAAAAATAATGCCACTTTTCAACAAAGATGGCAGTTTGCTCTAAGACATCTCAATGGCTTTTATTAAGTCTTTTTTTTTTCCAGCCCTCCAAGCTCTTATGTTGCTCTGGACAAGTACTAACATCATTTAAAAAACGTTGAGAAAACTGAACCCTGTACAGCAAATCTCAGTTTGGTCTCCGGCAGAGCCAGGACTGGTGTGTGGCCTGCAGAATTTCATTTCTCCCCACTAGACGTTTTTTCTTTTTTTTTTTTTCCTTCCCTTCCCCCTTCCCTTCTTATGGTGGGTTGGACTTCCAGTCCATTTTGCTGTGGTTATTTTGGAGACGGGGTCTTGGAGACTATTTGCCTGGGCTGGCCTGGAACTTCCATCCTCTGAATCTCAGCCTCCCAAGTAGCCAGGATTACAGGTGTGAGCCACTGGTGCCTGGCTCGCCACTAGAATTTGAATAAATTCTTGGTGAAAGTTAGGATCAAATATTAGTGAGTAAATTTATTACCCTCCCCTGAAATTTGTGAGTTATATGGTAAAAGAAAGAAAGATTTAGTCCATTTCAGCTCAGCATAGAAATGAGATTTTCAGTTCTCTTTTATAATTAGAGAAAATTGTCAATAAAAACCGGAAATGAGTTAGAAGGCTAATCTGTGTCACACTGTGCATTGTTACCAACAGATGGAAGAAGTCAAGGGAAAGACCCTGCAGAACTTGCAGTCCGGTTTTAGAAGTGACTGTCAGTTGGGAAAAACAGACAAAACAAACTTTTCCCAAATGTGAGGCATAGAGAGGCGTGGGACGGCTCTGACGACAGAACACTATGTAATAATGACAACCAAAGATTTAGCACCTCCTGCCAAGCACCAGTAGGGTATTTGTTGAATGGGTAAAAACATATTAGAGGATTGAACACCTGGAAATAGACTCTAGAGCCCTTCAGTCGTGGTCAGAAATCTGTACCTACCCAGTGCGAGAAAATAACTGCACAGAAGCAAACCTGGCCCATCCACCGGGGCCCTTCCAAAACCCACAATTCAGTAACGTGGATATTCATAACGATGACTCACAAGTACTGTGGTATTCTTGTAGTACCTTCCGAATCATACAAGACTCATGAAAATTCAGTGTAATTTCAGTGCTGAATACATCTTACCAGGTGAACTGCTGTAGTTGAAGGCTGGCCGCCCAAGTGTGATGACCGGAGTGCAGGTTAAATAAAATCTGTTATGCTGAAGAGCAGAGTACCTTTTGCCTCTATCACCACGTGGCTGAAGAGCCAGGACTGATTTTTAAACTGGAGACTAGGGCACTGAAGTGTAGAAGGTGGCTTGTCAGGGTTAATGGCAAGATGCTAGAGAGAAGTGACAAGATGGGGGAGTGTGTCGTGACAGGGACGCTAGCACAAGCTCTGGAAGCCGAAGGGGCTGGTGGAGGGCAGGGGTGAGTCACTTGATGCCTTCGGCATTGAGGGGGAAGGAAAGTGCTAATTCTGGATGGGTTGGATCAGATCAGCAGGACTATCTCACTTTAGAAAGAGTAATTACTGGTTTTTTTCAAGTGAAAATTGAAGTTGGGTTTTGAATGCCACTATCAGATTTTTACTCGAAACAGAGGGTTGAAAGGGATGGGGAAACGGGTTTCTGGATGGTGGGAAAACGAATCAGTTTCATAAAGGGTTTGGTTATAGGATTAACCTTCCTTTGTGGGCATATTTGGGGTGAGAGACACAGGAAAAATAAATGTAGTCATGACAGATGGGAGTGGAAAGGATTTTTCCCGGTAATTTCTTCCCAGCCTTAGCACACTCCCTGCAGGTGTTCATTCCAGTGGGATGGGTGTGTTGTTGCCTGTTGCTTTGATGATGCGCCTGCATTTCTATTGCTCCTTTCAGTTAAAAATCTGTAACTATTTTATTATTGATATCTTCTTGTCAGGGCTGAGCCAAGAGTTGCAGTCATAGGAGCAAAGCCATTTACATACATCTCTTAAACTTCTGTTCCAGGAAGTTCAAACAGTGGTCATGACCTCAGGTAAGAGGCTGGCTGGCAACCTACCTCTACTTTTCCTTCAGCTGAGACTCCCAAGAGGCGAGTGTATTTGCTATAATAGGAAATGTGTGTGTGTTTTCATATTCACTCAGTAAATATATTGGGCCAGGTCCTGCGCTAGGGCTGGGTACACAAAGATACCTCCCTGCCTGCCCTGGAGAATCAAAGTCGCTGCAGTTTGGGGTGAGCGGATGCCCTCCTGGTCTTGGTAGCTCAGATCCTAAACTAATCCTAATACTCCTGTGTGTTACTTGAGGGAACATTGCACTCCCTGTGACTTTTTTAGAGACTTTTAGCTGAGAGTAGCTAGCACCATTACAAAAT